AATCAGAACCTAGACCCTGCTGGTATTCTGACCTTACAGTTCCTGAGCCCTTGGTGCTCCTGGCATTCAGTCCCTCCAGTTCCTATGCCTGCCTTGTCTCCATCTGAACCACACTCATTGCTTCCCACTTTGTGGTCACAGCCATGCCCCGCTTCCGTGCATTCTGCACCCTCTGCCCATCTCTGCACCCTCTGCCCATCTCTGCACCCTCTGCCCATCTCTGCACCCTCTGCCCATCTCTGCACCCTCTGCCCATCTCTGCACCCTCTGCCCATCTCTGCACCCTCTGCCCATCTCTGCACCCTCTGCCCATCTCTGCACCCTCTGGCCACTTCTGGTTGCCCTTGACACCTCTGGTCAGGTCAACACTCCCACTCCCCTCTGTACCTCTGTTGGCCTTCATGCTGTCCTTGTGTGACAGTGCTGACAGATCAACCTCTGTTCACGGACTTGTGTCGGCACCGCACCGACCCCGCTTATTTGCGGACTTGTATCGGTGCCGCGTGCTGTCCTCCGCTTTTGTCCTCTGGCCATTTTTGTCACTCAGCAACATAACATTCATTCCTTGCCGAGTGCCTATTATGTTCACCCCAATATTGGCATTTGATCCGTGTGCTATTGCACTTTCCTATTCATTCATTTAATCTGTCAATATTGGTACTTGATCCACTTTGACCTTATTCATTCCTTGCCTCCCATTTCCCAGGTTCTTGTCCTTGGTTTAGTTTGACAAGTCCCCGCTCATTTCCGCTTATTTCCACACTGGACTGACTGGTCCCTCTTTTGATTTCTCTTACCTACTTATACCTTGTAAATACTTTCGGGGACCTCAGTCTGAAATCAACTAGAGTACCCCCCTGTCTGGTCTGAGTCTCTCCTTCTGCAAAGGGGGCTTCCCCCCTCTGAGCCCATGCTCATGGAGTCCGCACTCCTCCTACAGGTCCGCTCTGCCCACAAGTCTTGTTTGAAGTCCGCTGTGAGTGTCAATCCGTAAATACGGGATCTCCCCCAAACGTCAGGCTCAGGGCACAGCGCTCCACCTGAGTCGCTGAGGCTGCGATCCCACTCTGCTAACCTTGAACAGCGCTTCCAGACGTGCCGCATATTTCCACCTGCATATCCGCACGCACGCTCCAACAGACCTCTGCATCACCTCCGACCTCAACTCAGACAGAACCCAATCCATCTTCCATCCACCTCCTGACAGTGTTCCGTCTCTGACAGACCGCTACCTCCGGCACCATTTCTGGGGCTTCTCTGCCCTTGCTGGTTGAGGACACGTTTTTCCTCTTCTTCTTGGCAATGACTTGGTGGAATTTAGATATCGGCACTGGGTTAGGCACCTCACGGTATCTACACAAGCTAGTACTATCGCCTGCAGGCAGCCAGGGCGCATCCCTCACTGGTCGCCGTCCTGAAAATCCTCTTGGGCCTCCACTTCCTGCCCTTCTCCCTCTGTCTCTGGTTCGTCTACCAGCTGTCTCCTCAGCCCCTCCATGAGTGCTCTGAGGTCTTCGGGGTGCATCCGTCTGGCTCGGCAGGTTTTCGGTTGCGGGCAGTCCCGCGTGATGTGCCCTGGTGCGTTGCAATTGTAACACAGCCCGTTTCACCCCTGGTCGATCCTCGAGCAGTCAAGGTCCATGGGTTGTGGCCCTGCTCCTGCCGTGGGGCAGGGCGCATGGGGCTGGGGTGCAGCGGCAGTGGGTAGGGGGCATGGCTGCAGGAGAGTGGTAGGGAGTGGGGGTCTCGGGGGCAAGAGTGGGGGCCTGGCAGGGGCTAAGTGGGGTTGCATCGCCTGGAAACGCTGCCACTGGTTGTCGAGGAGGGTGGCCTCGCGTTTCCACTCAGCCCAGGTGGTTGGCATGGGGCAGAGGTGGTAAATGCTCTCACGGAGCCAGGAGTTGATCGCCTGTTCGAAGCGATCCACTAGCCCCACGTCCCCTAGCTGTGAGGTGGGTCCGAGGATCTCAAACTCCTGGATGATCTTATCCATGGAGTCGCTGCCCTGCCACAGAGTGGCCAGCTTCTGTCTGGCTGTGGCCTCGCAGTTTGGGTCCTGGAACATGGCATCAAGTTCCGTGTTGAACTCGTCCATGGTGAGCTGGGGGAGCCTGTCATCAGTAGCGAGATGGTGTGCTGCATCGCCCATGCCCCCGCAATCCCTCCCTTCATATAGGACAGGACAAAGAGGATCTGGGAGAGGGCGTTGGGGAATTCCGCTGCTTGGACATGGAAATATATGCCGCATTCGGCCTTGAAGCGGTCAAGGTCTTCAGCTGCTCCAGAGAAGGCAGTGGGGGGGGTGACTTTAGGCGGTTTGGGTCTGGGGGTGGGTGCAGGTGTTGGTGCGGGAACCGGTGCCAGTGCAGGCGCAGCTGGGGGCTGGTTTTGAGCTTGGCTCTCTACGATGGCCTGGAGCTCTTGGAATCGGGACAGCAGTTCATCGTACTGCTCTTCAGTCACCATAGCAGGGGAGGCAGGGGAGATGAGGTTGAAGCCTTCTTCTGCTGTCAGGGACAGCTCTGAAAGCGGCAAGGTCCCAGTGTGCAGGACTCGGTGGGACGAATAGCGGCTGTGCATAGCGGCAATCCTGTTGCGGGGTGAGCATCCCCGACCACTTAGTCTGAAGTGGGAATGTGAGTTATCATTAAAAGGGAAGGCTACACTACTTGCCTGAAGTGGGAATGTGAGAAGAAGGCTACTTCTTCGGTTCCCCCTCCAGCTGTTATTATATACATGCGGGATTGATCACGTGGGGCACGCCACGTCACCCTCACACACACAGCCATGACTCTCCAGGTGCCTCCGCAGGAGATCCTGAGAGGGCCCGCTGTGGGTGTGGGGCGAGTGCGGCGGCAGTAGCGGCGATATAGGGATGGTAAGATACAGGAGGGGAAATGGGCATGTGTGCTGGTGATACATTGAACAGCGGTCCATGTAAGAGAGAGAGGAAGAAAGAAAGAAAGAAAGAAGAAAGGAAGAGGGAGAGGAGGGAGAAGCGGTGCGGAGCGGGGAAGCGGAGCGGGGGTCAGGCGGGGCATGTCGGGGCATGCCCTGACATCAATCCACCAATCAGGTGTTGGAATTTGCACATGGTCTTTTAGGGAAACCTAAAAGTTGGACATACTGGGAATCGAACTCCAGTCTTCTGGATCGCGAACTCAGCGTGCACAGCCATTACACCATACGCCCTGATAGGCTGAGGTGGTTATTTCAACACACCCCCTTCACATTGGATCGACCATGTGATCCACATGTGACCCAAACCACCGGGGTTCCAACAACCCGTGAGCCGTCACCCCCTGAATTCATATTCAGGCCGGACTTACTGCTAATCTCCTACATGTCCATGTCATGTGGTCTGAAGCAGCCGGATTTGGGTCCTTAGTGCTCTGAGCTACACCCCCTGAAACTTTGTCAGGCCGGCTAATTTAATGCTTGACTTCACATGCCCAGCTCACGTGGCAGCAACCGGATTTGGGTGTGCTCGGTGTATTCCGCAGAATGTCCACCAACTATATTCATTCATTTGGATTAGTTTCCTTTTTCCCTCAGTTCTCGCGCATTAGCTTGAGACTGAGGTTAGTTACAACATTCTTTTACTCTTATTCCTTATACATTGTAACTCATTGTATATTACCTTATAGCTTTAGCATTAGGTAATATTATAGTTCTCGCGCATTAGCTTGAGACTGAGCTTTAGCATTAGAGCAAGCGGTTATTCCGTTATCAGGTCGTCCCCCGGGTCTTAAGACCTAGTCCATTGAGTCCATTTGCGACTATGAGTGCAAAGGGAAATGTCAGAGAAAGCCAAGTACGCGAAGTCGAAATAGGGAATGTCCGAAATCGGACTCGAGGCCGAGGGATGGAAGGAATGTCAGAGCTGCAAGGCAAAACCATTCTACTGAGGAATATCGGGCTGAAGGGGGAGATGCAGAAGAGCAAGGTCCAAAGAAGCGGAGTCCGGGGAAGCGGCCGAAAAGAGTCATAGTGTCGGGAGCTCAGATGGTCAGCCCCACATAACAACTCCGGCAGAAGCACCCCACCTCAGACAAGACGAAAGGGTCGATAGAACTGCTACATCACCCATGGACAGCACGGACTTTATCATCGACTCTGGTGCAACTTCGCACATGAGTGCGGAACCGCTCACTCTTCGCCACATATCAAATTTTTGATCAGCCTGAGTGTATCCAAGCCGCAAATCAAATCACCAATGTCCTCCACGTTCCATTAATCACAAATCATTTCCTATCCATCCGCCAACTCTCCAACGTCGGACTCCCAACCACTCTTTACACAAAAACCGCCAACATCCAAGACTCCAAATCCGGGAAGCTCATTGCTAGAGCAAACTGTGACGAAATCATTACCGACTCCGAGTTGAGACATTTAACCCGGAAAGAGCGAAATGCGCCCTACAAGTCTAGTCCAGTACGCCTACATGAACCCGGAATGTTCAAGCTCATTATCTCTTTTACCGCTGCGAAAATGAGTTGGATCTACAGTCAAAAAAAGCACCAAATGCATTCATCAGGCATCAGCGATAGCATACCAAATAATAGAAAAGTACAAACATTTTTCGTATCAGCGGCTTGGGTTCAAGCTAGAAGACCAACCAAAAATCACCCTACACAAGACCGAACAAAAACTTAATATCCAGTTCGCCTGCGAAAACTTAAACTTGGCTGCCTTGTTCATATCCCTCCCATCCACAGTGCGGCGGAGATGCTCCAAGGCCCCTTCAAACCCCTCACACTCCGCTCACTTATATCCTCGTTGACCCTCCTATCTGCCACACTCCCACTCGGCCTTCCTGCACCACCCGCATTCCCACCACCCTGACATGAGCCGATGAGCAATGGGAGGGAAAATGTCTTAGAGTAAGAAATGTGATAATAAAATTGTAAGATCATGATGCGACTGTAATTCGTAGCAGAGGAAACTTTTTAAATCTTTTATCCATAGTTTGCAATCAAAAAATGGGGTTGGATTTGTGGGCGTTGGCGAGCCGAATATCCAATTCAAGCTCGCCCACCGTAGGCAGGCAGCAGTGTGGGCAATGCAATGATGGGGAGATCACGCTCAAATGTGAACCATTTGTGCTTCGGAATGACGACCTAGATTAGAAAGAGCATCACGTAGATCGTTGACTGATCTGGCCAATTCTCGGGTGTATGCTCCTGGGTTAATAGCAACTAGCGGGCGGTAGAGCTTAACACTTTCTTCGATGAATGGGAGCGCCTCCGAGTGCCGTCCGAGACCCGAAAGAGTCATATATAGATTGTTGAGTGACAAGGCCAAGTCCGCAGCATATAATCCTGGATTAACGGTAACTAGCTGGCGGAAGAGTTTGATGCTTTCTCCAATGAATGGGAGCGCCTCCGAGTGCCGTCCGAGATTGGAAAGAGCATTATGTAGACTGTCGAGTGACATGGCCAAATCCAGTGTGTATGATCCTGGGTCAATGACAACTAGCTGGCGGCAGAGTTTGACGCTCTCTTCGATAGATAGGAGCGCCTCCGAGTGCTGTCCGAGACCGGAAAGAGCATTATATAGATAGTGGAGTGACTTGGCCAAATATGGGGTGTATGCTTCTGAGTTAACGGCAACTAGCTGTCGTCGGAGTTTGACACTTTCTTCGGCAGGTGCGAGCGCCTCTGAGTGCCGTCCGAGATTGGAAAGAGCCTTGCATAGATTGTTGAGTGACTCGGCCAAATGCGGGGTGTATGATCCTGGGTTAACAGCAACTAGTTGGCGTCGGAGTTTGACGCTTTCTTCGATGAATGGGAGTGCCTCCGAATGCCATCCGAGTGCGTAAAGAGCATCATATAGACAGGCGAGTGACCTGGCCAAATGCGGGGTGTAGGAACTTGAGTCTACAAAAAGAAGGTAACGGCAGAGTGCGACAGAATCGTTTGCTGCCTCATAAGCCTCATGGAATCTTGAAAAAAATCTCAAATTCCGCGGAAGCCAGGTAAGCGCAATCGCCAGTGTGCTAACAGCCCTATGGTCAACAGCTAGCTGGAAGATCATGAGGTAGTTTCTTTAACACAACCGATGGCCCATACCTTAGCCCACTCAGGGAGTAACAAGACACTGACATAGCTTCCCATTCTCACACAGACTTCCACCCACCGAGTCGCTTCCTGACTCAGAAACATACCAACTGACACAGCAAGCTCCTGTGATGGTTCCTGAACTCCACTGAGGTGATGGACAATGTGATGACTTGCATAACGAAAGTGCTCAGAAAACTCCTCTGGAGGAATACTCGACATTTCATCTTTTTGAGACGAGTTTTCAATCAGTCCTAAACCCTCTACAGAGCAGAGATCCTCGTTCAAAATCTCGGTACATCGCAGGGCAACCCTGGCATTCTCCACCCCCACAGCTACGGGAGTGCAACGAGAGCTGATTGTTTGGGGATCGATCCGATCGACAATAGAGTCGCGGAAAGATTGGTGTAAGATGCGAACCGGAATGTCGGAATCTTCAACTCCTGAGAGGAGAGGTGCAAGTTCAGCCAACACATATCGAACAGAAGACTTGAGGAAAGGTGACAGAATCACATCCCAGGCTCCGATGGACAGAGGCTGCTGAGCGATGAAAATTGCTCCCATCATGATTGGGTAATCGTGTGCAAAATCTTCATCCTCCCAAGCACACTTCTTCAAAATGCTTGCATACAAGTCATCCATCATCTTCTCGGCAGGGACCTCTGGTCGTTTGGCACCCGTGTCGAGCAGGCTTTCTAGTGTCCTCATAGGATCCTTGTTGGCCGTCTTCATGTAGCCAAAGATGGTACTGATCCAGATAAACAAGCCATTTGCTCGTTCTGAGATCTCTTGTACCATTCTATCCTCATCCTGAAGATTACGCTGTAAATCTCGATGTAACCTCTTTAGCTTTTGCAGCTCGAAGCGTATGTATCTATCACAGTCTTGCACGTTTGCCTCATCCGAGAGATCAATAGTGAGACGATCGATGGGGTAATTGGGGGAGAGGTAGCGATTCACGAGATCAAATTGTCTCGATGTAATGAAGAATTTGACTGAGGATGGTAGTCTCGGCACTTCGTCCCCAAGAATTTCGGCAAGGGACTCAAACACTGTCTTGTCACATTCATCCAAAGCGTCGATGATGATCACCATAGGACGGTCGGAAGGTGGAGGTTTATGGAGCAGAGAGGGAGCCACCAATTTCTTGAATTGCGTCACAAATGAAGCCGTTGAGAGACTAGGGTCATTTCGAAGAGCCGAGGTAATGAAAGTACGGTAAACAGGGTCATGGTCTGCCAAAGCTTGAGCTATGCCGCTGAATAGAAAATCAGGCCGCGACCGTTCGCCCGCTTTAAAGAGGAAGTGCAGCAGCAAGGTGATGTCCCCTTCACTGGCACACCGTCCTGCTATTGTGAGTGCAATCGAAGTCTTGCCGGCACCAGCCACAGCAGTTAACAGCATTAGCCGGTTCTCGCTATCCCCAGTGTTGCGACACCATGTCATGATACGCTCAATAAGATCAACCCTGGTGCCTTCTAGGCACGCCTGGGTAGGATCATCACGGGTAATAGAAGGGTCTCGGAGACTATCGAGAATTTTGTCTTCGCGTTGACGACGTTCTATGGCCGCTAACTTGGCACTGGTTATCAAGTTCGTCCTAACCTGCATCGGCCAACAATCAAAATGGTCATGGGGCGATACTGTAAGGAAAGTTACCTGAAACGATGCCAATGCTTTGTCAAAATCCTTCTTTAGGCCATCAATTCTTCCCGGGTCTTTCAAGTAAGAGAATGTTTTTCTGATAGTCGATCGTGTTTCTACTTTTCCCCGTCTTTCAATTTCGGACTTTATCTTCTGTAGCGCGCTGGGACTTGATGTAAATACGATATTATTGAAGACCGCCGAAGCGGATACAGACTTACCCGTCAAGCTCTGTGGCACTTTCCACCCATGGTTTCGCCTCTTCCGCTGACACATCATCGGACTCTATGGCTGAAGCTACCTTGACCATGGTGTTCGCCACATGTTCACCGAAATTAGTCCATTCCTCTGCGTTCTCTTTGAACTTCTACATAGGGCAAGCCAGCATGAGCTTTTATTCGTGAACAAGCATGAATCATTACCAACTTTGACCTCGTCGAAGATGAAAAGCACAGCACTAGTCGCATTCTTTAGGGGTGGACACCAATCAGCCGTAGCGTTGACACCTCTGAGTGTCAAAATCGCCGTGTTACCCGCTGCTGCGAGGAAATCATTAATGTTTTCCCTCGGAGTTTGCTGCAGCGACATGGTCGATAACAGGAAAGGAGAGAGATCTTTGGGCGTGTAACACACGTGTGAGTGACAATACTCAAAGCCACGAGGCCTTTGTATATACAGTCATGGAAGGATATTAGATACATTCACACAGCCCTCCAATCTTATATCTATGGCGCCGCTCAGCGGCCGGGCCCGGACTGGTTAAGTGAAAGGGCTTAGATATCGCAGGAACCAAAGCAATTGGGACGGGTGATGATCTAGCTTTAGTATATACTACGGGAGAACCCAGGCAGGCAGGTAACTCTAGAAAACCAGTATTAGCCTGTCTAGAACTAGAGGATGAATGGGGTTAGGAATGGACATCACACCGAGGTACAGGTCGCGGCGCCGGTGTGGCACGAGTACGTGAAGTGCGTCAGTTGAATCGATGATCGATTAACAAGAAAAAATCACCTGTGACCTAAGTCGGAGGTGAATAGTCGAAGCTAAGGCTTCCATACAGCTGATGCGCAAAAAATGCCATTGAGTCGCTTCGACTCGGACGCCAACCATCCGGCAACCAAGGCACCACTGAGGCATCAGAATTCGGTTTTGAGTATTTCTTCGTCCAGCATGATCGGGGGTCTTCGGGGACTGGAGTTAGGAGGGGTACGACGTAGTAGGTAATAATACGTCCATGTTCAAAAGCAGGGCCACGAAATCGGCCAAGTGTGTTCGAGCGGTTTCAAAGCATCATTGTTAAGTATACAACCATCATCCTTCCCCAGAGTATCGGAATCCACAACAAATCCCACTGCAGAAGTGTCTCGTGAACGGACAGGAAAAAGGCGCTGTGTGTGACGTTTACGAGGAGTGCGGCGCGTTGGGTAAGACAGCACAGGCCAGTGCACGCAGCTTTCAGAGCTTTTACAACTCGAGCGACCGCATGAGTATCACCACGGTTTTCCTCTGGATAAAGGATGGATTTGCTGAGCCCAACGGAAGTCTATTTGACAGACGGTGCGTGGGAGAATCTCTATGGTGGAGCTCGGGTCCCCATATGCTCCTCTTAGTTCCTGCATACGGCAGCTCCCGGCCTTTCACTGGTCGATTATCGATTATTGGACATAATTGGCACTTGAACGGCTTTCCAACTAGCTCGGAACTCCCAGCCATGATGCGCGTTCTCTGTCCAGCACATGCACAGTGTGTGGCCGTACTGGAGCAATAGTAGCTCACTTGTATGCATGCATGCATTTTATTATAACTGTCCACCGAGCTTCTGAATAAATCTGTCCTAAACATCACTTTGCATGCCACTGCCGGCCCTGCATGTGGAAATGTCATAGAATGGATACGCACGATTGTGATCATCAGGAAAATAGCTCGGCGCTGCGCATGCTTAAGGAAAGAGGTTTTTGTTCCTTGTTAGATAAAAGACCTGATGTAAAATCGACGAAGGGCTAGTACTGCTATCGATGCACAATTATTGCACAGCTGGTACCGTACCGTCAAAATAGAAAGAGAAAAAGATATGGCACCCAACAGCCGGCAGCGGCACCATCACCTCCCGGACGCGGGACAGAACCAAGGAAAGATAGAATAACTGGACCGACTGCGAAGTTTGAGAACGAAAAAGACAGGATAATTTGAAGATCGTCGATCTATTGCTGTGCAACCCGGTCGTGAGTCGAAAATGAAAATGCGTGAGGGCGAGCGATGAATGGTGTAAAGAAATGATGGGGAGGGTAACTTGTGTGCGTGAGCCAGATCATAGGAGATGAGGATGAGAGAGTACTGGGGAGTCAGGAAGCTAGATCAGAGGTTGATGTCATAGCACCCTCGAATCAGGTCGAACATCAAGACATTCAAGTGGCGGAATTCGGCTATTCGGCAAGAAAAGAATCCATGCCGAATTCATTGCCTGTGCCTGGTAGTTAAGGATGGACGGGGGCGCGGACAAGGGGGGTTACATGCGAATATGGCTTATGCGCGAGAAAAAGTGGACAAGTTTAAGTTCAATCCATCAACTAGGTCATCTCTTGAGTCTTTGACCTTGGATTGGAAGCGGGGTGTGCAGGGACAGCCGATATTATAGTTACGAGAGGACCTGGAAGGAAGAACTGAGCCAAGCGGGTCCCGCGGTGCGTACATCTACATGATCCCGGCATCTTTAAGCCCATTCATCTCTTTCATCGCTGCAAGAACCAGTTGAATCTACGGTTAAGAACAAGCACCAGAGACATTCATCGGACATGATATCAGTGATAGCATACCAAACAAATGATAGAAAAGTACAAACATTTTTCGTATCAGCGACTTGGGGTCAAACTAGAAGACCAGCCAAGAATCACCGTCATTAACTCTGTACAAGACCGATCAAAAAAACTGAGGATAAATACTCAACCTCACCCCGTTCGCTTGTGGAAATTTCCATAAAATAAATTCCGGCCCGCGCGTAGTACTGCGGAAAGATACTCTAAGGCTCCCTCAAGCTCAAACCTCACACTCCGCACACCTACATCCTCATTGACCCTTCTACCTGCCACACTACCTTCTTGCACCACTCGAATTCGCACCACTCTGTCCTCCGCTGCAACCTTCCCCGCAATTCCATAAACACATCTTTATTTCATATTACTTCGTCAAAAAGAACCACGTCGGATTCATCACGGAATCGAACAGCACAGGGGGCTCCATCCGGTTCTGGGTAGGATTCTCCGTCAATGGTTCCAATAAGGACACGCAAACAGATGTTGGAGGTGATGGATTCAAAACAGTAATCCACTTTTTACGCTTAGGGCATTGAGGGCGAAGGCGAGGAAGGGAAGGGGGTAACTTAACACACGCAATGCCAAAGGGGATACATAGTTAACTTCGCCTCCCCGTGTAATCCCTGTCATCTCAACCCTCGTCATCAACACATTGGTTGAATAATCCTTCGAATATATCCTCCTCGCATGACTCAGAAAATACGCCCTTCACCCATTCTTGCTACAGACTATTCATTAGTCCACCACTGCCATCACCACCACCACCTCCGTTACTCGCAGACGATGAAAGACTTAATGAATTGGAATGAAGCGTGGAGGAGGATCTGATTTATCACCGAGCATGAGGGATCGTCAGTACAAATCAGGTGTTCCCTGGTGTGTGTAGGTTGGGAGTCCTCGGGGATTGGGTCGTCGGGGTTTTAGTGTCTGTGTATATCGATGGAAGGGGAATATTAAGAAAAATTAAAGTCCGTTTCTGCTCTGCTGTCTCGGCCTGCACTATCTCCCTGCAGTGTTTTCTGGTCCTGCGTTCTCCAAGTCATGTCCGGGGTCGGGCTCATCTCTGGTGTTCATTCGCTTGTTGGCTGCATGGGGATCTCGCAGTGATGAGGGGTAGTGACCATACGACGGGGGCTAACGGCAACTAGCTAGCCCCAGAGTTTAATACTCTCTTCGATGAATGGGAACGTCTCCGAGTGCCGTCCGAGTTCCAAAAGAGCATCACATAGATTATTGAGTGATGTAGCCAAATCCGATGTGTACGATCCTGGGTTAATGGCAACCAGCTGGCGGTAGAGTTTGACGCTTTCTTCGATGAATGGGAGTGCCTCCGAGTGCCGTCCAAGATGGGAAAGAGCATTATATAGATTGTTCAGTGACATGGCCAAATTCGGTGTGTATGATCCTGGGTTAACGGCAACTAGCTGGCGTCGAAGTTTGACACTTTCTTCAATGAATGGGAGCGCTTCTGAGTGCCGTCCGAGATTGGCAAGAGCATTATAAAGATTGTTGAGTGACAAGGCCAAATCCGGGGTGTATGATCCTGGGTGAACAGCAACTAGCTGGCGGCAGAGCTTGACACTCTCTTCAACAAATGGGAGTGCCTCCAGGTACTGTCCGAGATTGAAAAGAGCATTATGTAGATTGTTGAGTGAGTTAGCTAATTTTGGGGTGTGCGCTCCCGGGCTAACGTCAACTAATTGGCGGTAGAGTTCAATGCTTTCTTCGATGAAGGGAAGCGCCTCCAAGTGCCGTCCGAGATTGGAAAGAGTATTATATAGATCATTGAGTGACATGGCCAAATCTGGGGTGTATGATCCTGGGTGTGCGGCAACTAGCTGGCGGTTGAGTTTGACGCTTTCTTCGATAAATGGGAGTGCCTCTGAATGCCTTCCGAGATTGGAAAGAGCATTAGGTAGATTCTTGAGAGACATAGCCAAATATGGGGTGTATAATCCTGGGTTAACAGCAACTAGCTGGCGGTGGAGTTTGACGCTTTCTTCGATGAATGGGAGCGCCTCCGGGTGCCGTCCCAGTTTGGAAAGGGCACTATATAGACTGTTAAGTGACTCGGCCAGATGTGGGGTGTAGGAACTTGAGTCCACAGAAAAAAGGTAACGGCACAGCACAACAGAATCGTTTGCTGCTTCATATGCCTCCTGGAATCTTGAAAAAGATCCCAAATCCCAGTGAAGCTGGGCAAGCACATTAGCCAGTGTGCCAACAGCATCTTTCGACCTGTGGACAGCAGCCAACTGGATAAGATCATGAGGTAGTTTCATTAATACAATTTATCGATAACCCATACCTTAGCCCACTCAGGGAGTGAAGAGATACTGACATAGCTTTCCATTCTCACACAGACTTCCACCCAGCGAGTTGCTTCCTGGCTCAGAAACGTACCAACTGACACAGCAAGTTCCTGTGAGGGTTCCTGAACCCCACTGAGGTGATGGACAATGTGACGACATGCATAATGAAAGTGCTCAGATAACTCTGGAGTAATGCGCGGTATTTCATCTATTTCGGACAAGTTTTCAATCAGTCCTAAGCCCCTTACAGAGCAAAGATCCTGGTTCAAAATCTCGGCACACCGCAGGGCAACCCTGGTATTCTCTACCCCCACAGCTACAGGAGTACAACGAGAGCTGATTGTTTGGGGATCAATCCGATCGACAATAAAATCGCGGAAAGATTGGTGTAAAATGCGGACCGGAGTGCAATGATCCTCAACTCCCGAGAGGAGAGGAGCAAGTTCGGCCAACACATATTGAACAGAAGACTCGAGGAAAGGCGAAAAAATTGTGTCCCAGGCTGTGATGGACAGAGGCTGCTGAGCAACGAAGATTGCTCCCATCACGATTGGGTAATCGTGCGCAAAATCTTCATCCTCCCAAGCACATTTCTTCAAAATGGTTGTATACAAGTCATCCATCATCTTCTCGGCAGGGACTTCTGGTCGTTTGGCACCCATGTCGAGCAGACTTTCTAGTGTCCTCATAGGATCCTTGTTGGCCGTCTTCATGTAACCAAAGATGGTGCTGATCCAGATAAACAAGCCATTTGCTCGTTCTGAGATCTCCTGTACCATTTTATCCTCATCCTGGAGATTACGCTGTGAGTCTCGATGTAACTTCTTTAGCTTTTGCAGCTCGAAGCATGTGTATCGAGCACAGTCTTGCACATTTGCCTCATCCAAGAGATCAATAGTGAGACGATCAATAGGGTAATCAGGGGAGAGGTAGCGATTCACGAGATCAAATTGTCTCGATGTGATGAAGAATTTGACGGAAGATGGTAGCCTCGGCACTTTGTCCCTAAGAACTTCGGCAAGGGACTCGAACACTTTCTTGTCACATTCATCCAAAGCGTCGATGATGATCACCATAGGACGGTCGGAGGGTGGAGGCTTATGGAGCAGAGAGGGAGCCACCAATTTCTTGAATTGCGTCACGAATGAAGCTGTTGAGAGACTAGGGTCGTTTCGAAGAGCAGAGGTAATGAAAGTACGGTAAACGGGGTCATGGTCTGCCAAAGCTTGAGCTATGCTGCTGAATAGAAAATCAGGTCGGGACCGTTCACCCGCTTTAAAGAGGAAGTGCAGCAACAAGGTAACATCCCCTTCACTGGCACATCGTTCTGCTATTGTGTGTGCAATCGAGGTTTTGCCGGCACCTGCCACAGCAGTCAACAGCATTAGCCGGTTCTCGCTATCCCCAGTGTTGCGACACCATGTCATGACACGTTCGATGAGATCAACCCTAGTGCCTTCTAGGCACGCTTGGGTGGGATCATCACGGGCAATAGAAGGGTCTCGTAGACTACCGAGAATTTTGTCTTCGTGTAGACGACGTTCTATGGCCGCTAACTTGGCACCAGTTATCAAATTCGTCCTAACCTGCATCGGCCAGCAATCAGAATGGTTATGGGACGATACCGTAAGGAAGCTACCTGAAACGATGCCAATGCTTTGTCAAAATCTTTCTTCAGGCCGCCAATTCTTCCCGGGTCTTTCAAGTAAGAAAATGTCTTTCTGATAGTGGATCGTTTTTCTACTTTCCCCCGTCTTTCAATTTCGGACTTAATCTTCTGTAGCGCGCTGGGACTGATGTAAATACGATATCGAAGACTGCCGAAATGGAAACAGACCCACCCGTCAAGCTCTGTGGCACTTTCCACCCATGGTTTTGCTTCTTCCGCTGACACATCATCGGACTCTATGGCCGAAGCTACCTTGGCCATGGTGTTCGCCACATGTTCACCGAAATCAGTCCATTCCTCTGCGTTCTCCTTGAACTTCTACGTAGCGCAAGCCAGCGTGAGCTTTCATTCGTAAACAGGCATGAATCGTTACCAACTTTAGCCTCGTCGAAGATGAAGAGTGCAGCACCAGTCGCATTCTTTAGGGGTGGACACCAATCAGCAGTAGCATTGACACCTCTGAGAGTTAAAACCGCCGTGTTGCCCGCCGCTGCGAGGAAATCACCCATCATTTTCCTGGGAGTTTCAGCCTCTTGCTGCAGCGACATAGTCGATAAAGGACAAATTGATGGCGTAACACACGTGTAAGCGAGGCCTTTGTACAATTATGGAAGGCCGATAATATGGTCATTCGATACATTCACACAGCCTTCCACTCTTATATCTTGAGCAAATTCTAGCACGCTCGGTGGCCAGGCCCAGACTGGTGAAAGGGCTTGGACCTCGTAGTAGTCGCGGTAACCAGAGCAATTGGGATGGATGATGACCTAGCTTAAGTATCTGTTACGAGAGAATCCAGGCAGGCAGGCAACTCTAGAGAGAATCATTGTTAGCCCACCTAGAATTGAGTGTGACTAAGGATGCAAATTAGATAAGGACACTATGAGACATCACGCCGAGGCACAAGTCGCGGTCGGCGGTAAGCGCCGGTGTGGCACGAGTACGCGAAGTACGTCGGTTGGATCGGTGATCGATTGACAAGAAAAAATCATACCTCAGGCCTGTGACCTGAATAGTCGAAGTTGAGGCTCTCATACATGCCAGCCATCCGGCAACCAAGGCAGTATAGTACCAGCTCACCAAGACATCAATGAATTCGGTTCTGAACATTTCTTCATCCAGCATCCTCGGAAATCCGCTGGGATCAGAGCTAGGAGGGGTACGACGTAGTATGCAATAATGCATCCGTGTTCACAAGCAGGGATCCACGAGTGTTCGAGCGTTTCAAAGCATCATTGTTATCCTTCCGGCCTCAGGATGTTGGAATTCACAACAAATCCCACTGCACAGTTGTCTCGTGAACGGAGAGGGAAAAGTGCGGTTGTATATATACTGTGTGCTGTTCACGAGTGTGGCGCGTTGGGTAAAGATAACACAGGTCAGCGCGCGCAGCTTTCAAAGCTCTTACGACTCTGCATCCTGACCCCGACGTGACGTCATGTCATCGCTTATGGTAAATATGTTGGAGTCGAGTTCCTAGGTTAAATATTCCTCCGTCCATTCGAGCTTGTTCTCATCAAGAGGAACCCAAAATCGTGGTCTGAGGAATATCGATGAATTTTGCCAAGAGACTGGAGAGCAAAGAGTAATCAGTTGAATTGGTGATCGATTAACAAGCAAAGACCATACCTCAGGCTTGTGACCCACGTCGGAGGTGGATAGTCATCAATGAATTCGGTTCTGAAAATATCTTCGTCTAGCATATTAAGGGATCCTCAGGGACTGGAGCTAGGAGGGGTACGACGTACTAGGTCATAATATGCCTGTTGGAATAGTAGGGATCCCACATCTGACGCTGTGCTGTTGACCGACATCCCACTATTCCGACACCGCCTCCCCGATGTGACCGTGCGTCCGTCGATCTGTAGCATAGCCCCGATGTAGTATAAATACACAATTAGCTAGGCTTGATAAACATTATCTTTTGGTCTTACCTCAGGTCCCTTCGTTATAGCGCGAGTGTAGCCGCAAGCGCTACGTCACTAACTGACTAGTCTCTACAACAATGCCCATGTTCAAAAAGCAGGGTTCCACAAAATCGGCTAAGAATGTTCGAGCGGTTTCAAAGCATCGTTGTTAACATACGACAATCATTCTTCCCCAGAGCATCGGAATCCACAACAAATCGGACTACAGTGTATCGCAAACGGAGAGGGCGGAGGCTGTACTATGTGTAGTGTTTACGAGGAGTGCGGCGACAGCAAAATTCTTCCAGGCCAGCGCACGCAGCTTTCACAAACTTGAGCGATCGCATGATCAGTATCGTCACGGTTTTGTTATACCTCTGCTGGATGAAGGATAGATCTGCTGAACCCCAACAGAAATCTACAAATCTAACAGAGGCCTTGCCAAAGGAAGAACTATATTCCGCGGTGTGTGGGAGAGTCTCTACGATAGAGCTCGCGGGAACTTACACCCCAGAAGCAGTTTATTCGCACATGTTGGGCTGCTGTACGCGGGGACTCGACCGGTCACAGCTTGCTCAGGGAACCCCTTGTTCGTTATGCGGAAAGGATGCTTCAATCGCAAACCCAACTGCCAAAGTATACTACTAGTGTGTAAACATAAGGACGGTAATAAACATGAAACGACGACGACGACGACGACCTATTCCGTGTCTCAGGCCTATTTGTGAGGTGATATTCCTGTTGCTCCAATCCATCGCCAAACCACAATCTCCTCACCATTCAGTTCCTGCACGTTCACTCGGATATTAGAATTGCCTTCGACAATTCGCTCAACTTGAGTCCAGATACGCTTTCGTTCTCTAGTTGAATGTATATCCCTCAGGACTTGATCTCGGAGGTTGACGGGGGCAATAAAAGAATGCGGTGCGCGAACGGGGTCAGTGTGATGCGCGTATTCCAGGTCCCGCAGTGTGTCGAGGGCCGACTGGACGAGTTCAGCGACTTGCCGCGATTCGATATGACGGATTGCGAGCCGGTGGCGTCCATATACCAAAAGGAGTGTCAGGGAGAGGAAACCTGTCTAAGGCTCGCAAAAAGGCTCAACACAGAAGGTGAAATTCCGTTACCATAGAGGTACCCCCTCCATTCGTCCCACGCATCCATAAAAAAGACTTTAACTTTGCAGCCTAATCCCATGTCCTCACGCATCCCAGCGATCCACGTGCGGCCTCTATGATATGACACACATAAGTCAAAGAATGACACCATCACAAATCACATACAATGCATCAAGCTCAGTTACGACGAGACCGTTGCTCTCTAACTTCTGTAAGGCATCATCAAATAGAGGATCCTGTTCCTCGAGAGGTATCTGCTTCTAGTTGTGACAGTTAGATGCACTTCTAGGAGGGTCGCATACGGGACAACAAACTCGAATCCAACTCTTTGCGACAGCTCGTAACTGCCCCTTTTCAAGACCAAGGACTTTGATTTCCGACTCCTTGATACGTCGTCCCCTCCCCTCGCAGAGAAGCTGTCCCTTGATTTTCGAAAGGTAGCCCAAGATGGATCTACCTAGCTTCCCAACTTCATGGATTCGCTCTCGGTTTTCGATGCACGTTGGAGGGAACGCTACAGGTCCAAAGCCGGGAATACCGTCAAATAGAGGCGAAAAGCCCGCTACAGCAAAAGGGTGCTTCTCAAGGATGTAAGCACCTTTGCACTTGACCTCGCTGCCTGAACAGTACGCAAGCTTGGGACATGGTGTACAGTAGTCAGGAGTAGGAAAGAAAGGCTCCAGAGGACACTCCTTATCATTCACGAGTCGGGTATTAGGGGCTTCTGGTCCGTGCTGTACCAGATGTGCATTGCACTCAGCGATTGCCTGGCGCTCTGCGCGAAGAGCACGAAGCTGCCTATTGCTGTTCGTCCCGGCGTCACAGTAACCAATACTCGAAGATTGAGCTTTATAGTTGTAGATGCTGTTACCAAAAGTGGTCAGGGCGGCGGCAATAACAATCCATTTGAGAACACGAAGTGAGGATGATCCTTTCGGATGGCGAGTCATGGCCCCTCTGGAGTCTACCGAAAGCTCACGAAGCTCTTCGGAGGCAGAATCATCCTGATTCTCAGCATCGACGGCTTCGGCCCTTGCCTCCGCTCGCTTCGAATCAGACTGACTTGGAGAATATGACTGAATTACAGAAATAGCCGAACCCGGCGGGTCCATTTCGGTGGGAGCTAGGACCACCTTTCTTCGTGGCTTCAAAGGGGCAGGCGTTGTGTCGTGCTTGTCGGCCTTTGGAGGCGATGATGATGAGGCCTGTGCAGTGGGGGAATCAGGCAAGCGCCCCCGACGCGAGGACTTTCGCGATGCTTTTGCAGGGGGGGTGTCGTCCGGCCCTGATTGAAAAACATTGTTCTCTTCCCATCCGCTGTCTTCGCCTAGTGATCTTCGTGGGTTGGACACCGTCTGATGGGGACCGTGAGTCAATGTGCCAGCGCAGAAGTGAAGAACAATTATACAAACCTTCGATGCTCTCACCGGACGGACGGGTGATGCATCCGGCTCAGATTCCGATCCTTCAATGACGATCGGTTCAGTTGCACGGGTTCCTTTTCTAGGCTTAGGTTTGGCGGTGGAGGGTGTGGGTTCTGCAGACCGTCGAGTAGATCTTCGAGTCTGTATGAAGTGGTAGGAGAAAGGTCTCTTAACGGAATTCAAGAGTCAGACTCATTCATACCTACGGGTTCGGTAGAAGGTTCGGCAGATGCTCTGACAGAACCAGCCTTCTTTGGCCTTCCTCGACGACGGGCAGTTGTTTGAGCCTGATATTAACATCAGGACTTTGTCAGCATGCATTAGCCCGTATGCACATTGTACACTAACGTCACGCTCGGATATTAATTCTCCGGTGACACCATCAGTGATGCCAGCATCGCTGGCTTGTGAGCCATCCAGAATGTCACGATCATGACGCAGTTGATCAAGATTTCCGGTTATATGCTCGTTGAATAGGGAGAGAAGTGCATCCTTCTTCACGTTTGACGGGAAACGAATCTGATGGTGGTGCAGTATGCCCATTAGCTGAGCCACGGTTAGGACGCGTGGGTTGTAATCATATTCAAGGTATTCAGCGGACGCGATAATGTCCGCTGTTGAAGCAGGCATCGCTATTTCTTTGTTCGTGTGGATAATTGTTTGAATGCTGGTGGACTGTTGCGAAGAGCGCAGAACAACAAACGAGACGAGTTGAAGAGTCAGACCGCGCTTGTGGAGAAAACAGGCCGGAGTTAAGTTTTAAGTCCGGCCCAACATAAACAAACCGTGAACTGAATTGAACATTGCAAGAACTGGAGCGGACAATGATAGGACATCATATAGCGAGACACATTGAATGGGGCTAATATTGCTTGCACCGAACACTCTAGGCCGGAGCAAACTTGGGGGCCCTAAAACCATTCTTGCCAAACCATTGACCATGGACCATTCGATTGAAATACACCCAAGGGAAGAAGTCCTGCGAGGCGAAGAGTCAGCGAAGGTTGAAAGTCATGGGCGACATCAAGAAGGAGCACACCTTTTTGAGATGATAGAAGGCCCTAGAGTTGGATAGGTGAGATGCATAAACAGGGAAAATTTGGAAAACATGCATACCGTCGCGGAACCGCTTGATCCATACCAAGCGCCTTCGCAAATGTTTCTTCAGGCTGCAGGCCGTACTTAAATTCACAGAGCATGAGCCCGTTATAACCTGTCAGCAGCTAGATGCAAGTAAGTGCCCAGACGCCCCTGCATCAACCAGTAAAAATCCGTACCGGGCATGAAGTATAACCATCATATGACGCCTTCCCCGTGGAACCTGATTCAAGAAAAGTGTATAAATTGTGGGCTAACACGGGAGCCTGTGCAGTTATAGCAGCAGCAGTCTTCGATGTTGGAAGACTGGATGAGTCGCCGAGTGAGAAAACATTGCTATACTTCTTGTGCTGGAGGGTCGCTTGGTCCACATCAACCCATCCTGCGGAATCCGCAAGGGAAGAGGATTTGATGAAATCCGGAGGACCCATCGGTGGAACGGCATGTAGTAACGTGTACTCCTTCTCAACGTTACCCTTCTCGGACTTGAAAGTTGCCGTACGCTTTGCAGGGTCGATGGAAACGAGATTATGACCGAAAAGACCATCAATCCCGCGCTCTATTCGAAGCTTGTTGAGGGCTTCTGAGTATTTTGGTACGCTGAACATGGTGGGTGCGCCAGTGACAAACTCCAAATCAATCTTTTCTCTCCTCCCAGTGCGTCGATACCGATCCCATGCCATCCACATAATTTTCTGGACCAGATGAGTGATAGATACAGAGTCCCTGATGAAATACATTTTGCCCACCTGAGGAGCACCTGCGCACTTGATGATTCCAGCGGGTTGCGTGAAAATAGTCTTTCCGGTCCTCAGTGCATCGATATCACTCCACGTTTTATCAGCCGTCTCAAAGGAGTAGATGGAGGACACGCCGGATTGGGGATCTGCCAAAGCCCTCCGAAGATTCGTGATGCCATCCCAGTTGCTCTTGAGTCCAGCGGCAACGACAAGGGTGTCGTACGCAATCTCAGAGCCACTTTCAGTTGTGACCTTATTGGCCTCTGGGGAAAACGATGTAACATTTTCAGTCCTGAGGGCAATATGCGAGGGGACCAGGTCTGCAAGCCGCCTGCGGAGTGCATACTTATCCTTTAATCCCGAGCCAACGAGGGTCCTGAGGTAAAAAGACCACGTCAGCAAATTGTAGAGAGACTGAATGACCTGGGAGTTTCACCAGCCGGGTTGGTAGTGATGGAACTCAGCACCATCCACGATTGCAATATCGCCGACGGAGAAGGCTTTCCCTTCTGTTTTGAATTTATTGTAGATCTGAAATAACACCAGATGTATCAAGCTTTATCACGCAAACAAAGAGTTTTTTCGACGTACTTGATTTGCTACACTCAAGCCGCCCGACCCTGCAGTCGTTATCAGTACGATCGACAACAAACTGGCACCATTTTGCCAGGACACTCGCCTCCGCCAACGACAAGGACTTTATGGTGCGTCTTCACTGCTGCTGCTGCTGCACGTCTGACCGCGGTTGGCCTCATTAGTTCCCCTTATCAACCAGAGCAGACGATTGCGCAATAGCGAGCCATACTTCACGGTTGTCTAGCATAGCCACACATACCGAAGCGTGCCCAGGAAACGAGAATGCATAAACCCCACGACCCCTCCAATGTTGGAGGGATCCACTCATTCTGCTCCACATCACCGCTTTGCCTCCTAGGGCGTGTACAGTGCATCCACCTCCTACCAAGATTTTGGGTTGCGCTCATGATCACTGTGCTACTTTTACCATGCTGCAAGCCACCGTAAATATGCTGGGTTTACTGGCCGACCAGTGATACATGTGCGTAATCTAGGATCTTGAACAGGTGCCAATTCGTCCCGACAATCCGCAGTTTCACAGTAGCACAAGTCCAGATCGACAGTGATTGTCCCCGGAATCACGGGAAACCATATTTCCGGGTGGTCCTTCCCTAGTGTATCACCCATTTTGGCCTAAATGGTTTTCATCTCGACGGCAGAAGTTTATTAAAGCAGAAGGAAGAACTACTTCCACCCCTTCCAGCGCCATCAATCCCACGAATACCAAATCAAGATGCGGCAAAACATGCTCAAGATGTGAGCTCGTGGGGACATGGCAGCACTCTTAAATACTGGAATGATCGGTCGCGCCACACGACGAGCACGAGTACAATATGTAATTGCTTGCCCCGTTGCGAGAGTTGATCTATGGCAATTTAGTTGCACCTATTACCAGTACGCCCTTCCAATATCCCGAGTCACAGGCGAGGTGTCCTCAGTATTCTAGGCCACCGATAGGGTCGTTGGCCCATCTGCCAGTATCTCAGCCCCGCGGATCAAACCTATATCTTCACCCTCCCTACTTTCAAGACAACACAACCGTTGGGATAGACAGTGGGGATGCCAATTTCCTTCGAAGGACGTTCAGTCGATGGATGGACAAAACCTCCATTGGTGGGAGGGCGACGGTCCGCAGAACAACGGTCCCTCTCCTCCAGCTCCGCAGCGCCCGGAGAGAGGCCACTGATGGTATCTACGCTCAATGATAATCGTTTCTCAACTTCAAGACTGATTACGTCTCGGACACTCATCTCACCGATTCTCTCATTCCGAATTTCTCTACTGACTGGTTGTTTACGGAGATCAAACGAGGTGCAGGTCTTTTCACTGGAGAAGTATAGGAGACGACAGATGAACAACCCAGAGTAGGCGTCTGCCTTCAGGCAGCTGATCTCCCACAAAGTCTCATAATCCATCCCACTTCCGAAGCTGCGGTAACGTCGGACTACAAGACTATCGGTTGTGGTTAGTCAAGAGAGTTATAGAGCACAGCCCGCTCGGTCACCAAGGCGGGATGTTTCGATGATGTTCCAATTTGCTGGTAGACACGAATCGGTCTGAGTGGTGTAGACGAAAGTGGGAGATCAGCAAAAACGTCTTACTTCTACCTGACGAGTCCTTTGAAGTATGATTAATATTATGTCTTCGCAAAATTGAATGCTCAACTGCATCAGGCTGTCCGGAGAGCGACTGATCGTGTGAACTTGTCTTTGAATTGTACGAGTGACGTGACCGTCGTGGCGACGATCACCGCGCTAAAATTTAGTTCTAGACTCTTGATGATTAAGCGTGGGCGTCGACTCTGCGTTCTGCTGCTGCATCTGCGGCATGTCGCTGCTGCTTAGTATTAGTTGATAGAATTATAACATAATTCCCGGCAGCGCTGCTCATGCTCCACGACGCATAAACGGAGGTGGCGACGGTCCATCTCGCTTTAGGGTTTCTTGCAATGCGCATCCCGACATGCTATGTCTTGGAAACCCCAATCATTGTTCGAATCGGAGGGGAGCCTGGGGCGTTTACAGCAATGCATCTAGTTACGCGCATGGCCATGGCGGCCGTGAATCATTGCTACGGTTGTTCCATCAGCGGTTGTCTCTGTCATACTGTGCGGCTTTATAACATCAGCTTGGTGTTCCTTTCACCTTTTCTCTCCCCACTTCGGTCGAGTTGATTCTCGTCTCGTTCCTACCCCTCGTTTCTTTCGTTCTTCTTCGTAAGTACTTAGTGTTTCCTATAGAGGACTGTTCATTGTTCATGGGTGTCATGTCGAATTCGCTATCGGCAGTTGTCTGCTCTTTGAGAGAGTTTCGCCTCTGCGAGGCATTTTTTCTAAATCACCCTTAAATATTTCGGCACGCCCAATGGTTCACTTCCTCCATTTCGTCCTGAGTGCTGTCCTCTCAAGCCGCGTCATTTCAGGTTCGTACCCTTATTCGTCTGCTTCTCTCTATTTCTAACATCGCAGTGAAACGCTCGCAGTCCCTATTCAAGACTCTTCAATAAACGAGCCTGGCGTGATCTCACCTAATGGGACCCCCATCACACTTTCTGAGCCTTCGTACGTTCTATTTCAACCGTTCGAGGACACTTTTTGAGAGTTTGACAGTCCTACGTTGACTATGATGCATGGCAACAAGGAAAATATTCATCTTCAGGAGAGTACAACCACCACAATGAAGGACTGGACTTCTACCGTGAAAGATAATAAGATGAAGTCCACGATGAAGGGGTACATCAGCACATCTGCGTACCAAGCCACCAGTACCATGTATGGCTCCGGCTACAGTAATTGGAATTCGGGTTACAATAATTGCGTACAACGTATGTGGCAAGGACGTGCAACAAATGTTCTAAACTTGACGTTCCATCCCCCTCAGAATGCATGGCCTCATACGGCGCACCCTCATCGACGTACACACCTCCTCCCTCTACTACGACGCAAAGCTCTGGCAACGGGAACGGTGGGCGGAAGACTCACACTGTCATTGTAGCGCCAAAGCAAGGGTGTGTTCTCTATACTCTTTTTGTAGCAGCTCTTTACCCATTACCTTTTTAGCGTTCTCCGCTTCGTTCCTTTCGCTCTCAATGTCTCTGTTGGGGACACAGTCCATTACCAATGGAATGCTGGTCCTCACACGGTCACCAAGTCTTCGGAACTTACTCCTTGCAACGCATCCTTGGATGCAACCTCCTTCAACTCTGGTCGCCGTAATGCCAGCGCTACGTGTAAGCATCTCCGCTTATCTTGGGTTTTTATGGGCTTCTGAAAGTGGGACTTTAGTTGAGATCACCGCCAACGATACAAACCCATTGTTCTATTACTGTGGAGTGCAGCCTCACTGCATGAAGGGAATGTTTGGCATAATCAACCCTCCAAACGCGGCAGGCCAGTCTATGAGCGTTGGCCAGATGATGCCATCTATGGTTGCTAATGTAGGTCGCCACAAATTTCACAAGTCAAACCTTGCCTACAGCATCCTTGTGTCCAGAACACCAACCTTGCTACAATGTTGATGTACACCAACCACAAGACTATGGGCACTTCTGCATATAACTGGGGGAACAGTTTCGACATGTCAGGCGTCCCCAATTGGGCACATGAGGATGCACTCACGAACATCATGTACACACGTCTTCTCTTCGCCGCAAATCCTGGGATGATGGAGCAGGGGGCAGGAGCCGCAAGTGTGAATAGGGCCCCTATCACTATCCCAGCAGATGTTAATCTACTTGCAACCACCGACACCCGGTCCAATGTCGGGATGAGAAGATCACCGCCGGCCCAACTGGTCCGTGCCTCAACAACATCATCGGCGTCATCGAGTACTTCCACCCACACGCGGCATGGTGGCGCAGGAAGCAAGGTCATGGTTTCAGGCACATTGATCAGTATTGTTTCAATCTTTGCCATGGTGATTTCATTATAGGCTTTGTATCCAGTCTTCGGTTTGTAGCCCTACTTCGAGCGTTCGCACCATTGTAGTGAATGTAATTTATTATGCACCGGCGCGGGAAGGACAGACTTCATCACGAAATTCCCAGGTTCCTCTCCGATCCCACCCCCATGACCTCTCGTTGCTCACAGCTAGAACCATTGCAAAACAATTGTGCTCTGTGCAATGGGTTGGATACTAACTGGTCTCCTTTCAACTCTCCCTCGGGCAACCGTAGCCAGTAACAGTCGTGCAAAGGAAACGTAACGCAGTGCGAATCAGCGAATGGCTCCACTCGAGATTTGTTCATGCACGAACTTAAGATCCCTCCGAGCCCACGTACCTTTGTTTCTGAGATTAGGTGGACGAACTGATCTAAAACTGCATTCTGGTTCGGTGATAGGTGAGAGCTGCGGTAGGTGCCTAAATGAGAACCACGTTTGCCAACAAAGAATAGGTCGAAGCTTGAGCCTTTCCAGCTTCCTGAGTCCAGATAGAACCCACTGATACTTTCTTGCAGTCTTACAATGCTGAAGACAGGCCACTCATAGTTCTCACGAACCACGCCACGGCAAAATCCATGCAATCCGCTTAGGTCCACTTAGGCGCAAAACCACGAAAGGAAACAATCCCCCCAAAATGTCGGTTCATGATGGAGGCGAGGAATCTACATCCTCACCAAACTCTCGCCATTCGATTGGTTCGACAACATCCTCAGTGTCACTTGAGACACTGGAGCGTTCAGAATATGCACCTCTTAGTCGGCGATCATCACACCGTAGCCGCAGAAGTACCATCAGTAGCATTGCGGCTTTCCAGTATGAAGCAGATTTGTTGCCCCTCAGTACCAGCGAGCCTGGTCAACAAAGTGTACCGGAGTCGGAAAAGACCGTGGGGTATCTGTCTGGTTGGTTTCTTATCTTGTCGGAACTTCAGAGGCAGAGTGCATATGCTGTTTTTTCTCCTTAGGCGTGGCTCTTATTATCAGTCTACAAATTGGCTCAGGCATATTGTTTGTCTTTCCTCCGGCTCTGCGGTGCGAATGGGCCCATGATGCCTTTGCTTCAACAGCTCGTCCCCTGGAGTTGTTTTAGCCGACGTTAAGTCAGTAGGGGCTTCTATTCTGGTCTGGATTATCGGGGGACTGCTCGCGTGGACAGGTGCCAGGTTTGTGAGGGCTACTTCTCTTCGTTAGATGTCGCTGAGAAATTCTTTCAGCTCTTACGCGGAACTAGGCTCGATGATTCCATTGAGTGGGGGCGCTCAAGCATACCTGAACTATTCGTATGGTCCTTTGGTGTCATACCTATTTTCCTGGACCAGTATCACTCTGGTCAGGCCTAGTTCTGGAGCTATGATATGCCTTATTTTTGGGTAGGAAACAACTCATCTCGCGCGGCACGTACCATCTCAACAAATTCTACGTCTAGAGAGTACCTATGCAGATTAATGTTTCACGCTACAGGTTCAGACACCCGTCCAGACGCCATACCCGATTGGGCCATTAAAGTGACCGCTGCGGTGTCTGTCGTCGTTATTACAGGGATCTGCGCGATGTCTGCTAGAACTGGAACACGCGCAGCCGTATTCTTTATGGTGTCCAAAGTACGCCAAATTCATGTAATCAAACAAGTCATAATATTCACCAGCCGGGAATCACATTCAAGTAGTTGGTCGCATTGGTGCGTTCCTGTCCTCTTATCGGATTCGATGTTGATACATTGCCGAATCAAGGCTGCTATCACTCTGACGGGACTCATATACTTCGTTCGCGGCCATCGATCGACGGCGCTCACAGAGCCGATATTTGCCGGTACATCTTCTAATCCTTCCTCTTTTGCGCTTGCACTATATTCCTCTTTATGGTAACCCGCTACTATGTATGATTTATGTCTCAGCTGATGAGAAATTGGTCTTCTTTTTGAAGGGCTTTTGACGGTTGGGACCAAGTCAACTTTGTTGCTGGGGAAATGACGGATGTGGGACGCGATCTGCCTCGAGCAATCCACACAAGCATGGCATTGGTGATTGTGCGTATGGTACTCAATCGAGTGTGTTGTGTACCTAAAATTGTTCATATTTCCAGTGCCTCTTTGTCGCCACTAACCTCGCGTACTTCGTCTTGCTAGATAAGGTACTTTGAGTTGAGTCATCTGCGCTTTGGATTTACATGGGTCGTATCGTTGCAGATGACTGTGATGTTGAGTAATACCGTTGCCATTGATTTTGGACGAGCGGTCTTTGGAACTGTGGGGGCCACCGTCCTTGCCGCCAATGTAGCGTTCAGCTGCTTTGGTGCCGTGAACAGTGAGTATTGGCCTAGTCACTTGCGTTTCCCTAGTGCCGGTGATGACACGGATTGTGTAGGCTCGACTTTCACCTCCGCACGACTAATCTATACTGCTTCTCGGGATGGATATCTTCCAGCCATATTTGGGCGCTTGCACTCGACACGAAAGACTCCGCTGAATGCGATTGCCTTACACTCTACTCTCATCATTTCATTTATAGCTTTCGGTGGTGGGTTTAGAGACATCATCAATTTTTACTCAGTTGCTGTATGGGGATTCTACCTTTTGACTGTGGGTTGGTTTGACGTAACGAAAGCCAACTTATCCGCTTAATTGCATTGTTCAAGGTCGTGGGCCTCGTGGTGCTTCGTGTGAAAGAGCCAAATCTCGAAAGGTCGAACCTCAACTTCTACTTTCGTGACCTTGATGCTCACCCTTGATGTGCATAGGCCGTACAAAGTCTGGATCACCACACCGTTAGGGTTCTCAGCGGTAGCGCTCTTTCTACTATGCATGCCAGTCTTCGCTGCTCCGCTCCAAGCTCTGGCTGCACTTGGTACGACCCACGGTTGGCAATGAACGTACTTCTGTCTGATGTTTTTATATTTTTGTGTCAGCTTTCATTCTGGCCGGAATACCGGTTTACTACATCACACAACGCCGAGCGACGCCCCATCTTGGCGCTGTACCCCGACGATCTCGGACTAACGAGCCACTCAGTGGAATATCAGGTCTGGCGCAGCTTCTTCTATTAAGGGAGCCTAAAGCACTCATATCCTGGATCTATTAGGCTTCTTCTCACGGGTGCTGGACCGGGTTCGTGGGCGACGGCACACCAGATTTTCCAGTTTAGAGCGGGAAGAAGAGACAGTTGAGATACTAGAAGCAACGGATCACTGACCTCTTATCATTCTGACATGATCTTTCGGGGCGGGGTGCGATATGTGCAGTTGGAGACCCAGAGTTTGTCTTAGATATCCCATGCAGAGCAGGCCTTATTCAATGACGAGTATGTCCTTGCGTCGGCCAGAGATTCGTCACGGCTCTGGGGAATGGTTCTCATGCTATCAAGCTTTCGTGATTGTTTGATTGACGCCGCCAGACCATCTTGGCAGGGATCGCTGGGTGACTCCGACTATCTTTAGAAGTTTGGTGAGGGCAAGTAAATACATTGGATAGCAAGTTACCACACTTAGGGCAGGATCTAGAAGTTGGGCGCAGACAACGGCGACTAGAAGTCATTGATTCCATATTCGTCAAGCTCGGAATCATCGTGTCCATCATCGTATCCATCATCGTATCCATCATATCCATCGTAGTTATAATCATCGGAATCGCCGCTGTAGTAGTCATGATTCTCATACCAGTCATCCTCGGATTCGGCATCCTCCCCGTAGTAAGTTTCGTTGAACTCGTCAGTATGGTGGTCGATGACGTCCAGGTACTTTGAGAACCCCTCATCAACTCCACTCCACGAGTATGGAGGAAGCACAATGCGCCGAACCGGGTATCCTATTTCCTTACGCGTTTTCACGAACGAATGCAACGCACCGTAAGGGAAACCAATGGGGCGGAGTGAGTTCAGGGAGGGTAGTAACACAGATGGCGAGGCCACATCTGTCGAAGGGCCAAGTGTGTGTTCGCTTTTAACCAAAAGGTTCAAATGCTCCAAAGAATAGCTGGTCTCAAAATATAGGGTCAAGTCCGTGACACCTGCAAATGATCGAAAAATGTGTTCGTAATCTGATCGTCGTTGAGCGGAAGACGTCCCTAGCATTCCAATGTTGAGATGTTTGATAGAAGCATAGCCTGTGATCGAGGAACGAATCGATGAAGGCAGCTCCTCTTCCCCTACCTCAGACCAATACCGAATGACGAGCGTTTCCAGACTTGGTGCCTTCACTGATTGCATCAGCAATGCCGCATGAATGACGGAAGGGAGCCGTTCGAGACGAAATGATCTGAGTAAAGGAAGAACGACAGGTTCAGGCGAGGTGTGGGGTTGAGAAGGATGACATTGAACCAATGACAAATCCACCAATGACAGAGCTGAAGAGAGCATTTGAGAGAATTGTGTCAAGGTGAACTGGGGTGTGTCTGGTCCTCGAAGCTGCAGTTGGGTCAAGTTGGCAAAGGGCCAATTCTCCCATTGAATGGTAAGTCCCCGTAGGCTGACGCTATGCGCGTGAGAGAAAAAGGAGATGTCCAGTCGTGGAGCCTCAAACCCAATTGGGAGACTCATTTCATCAGCATGAAGGACGAGCGTCTCGAGGATTCGAGGCTTGGTGTGGTAATTGTGAAGCCGTGACAGAAAGTTCACGTGTGCAACATAGTCATCAACCGTACACTTGAACTCCCTCCAACGGGATGAGTGCGGCAGCAAAACATCGAGGAAATTGTCAATTTCGGCCAACGAGAAAAGGTCATAGCTGGACAAGTGAATGTCAAGAGGAGCACCTTTGCTGCGGTTGAGACACAGTTTCGTCTTATAGAGGTTAACGTCGCCCGGAAGCAGCGTGATATACTGCCACATGGAGGAGGTGGAGAGTGCAATATCCCTCCAACGACGACAAACTGATGTGATGCCAACATTAAAATCGTAGGGATCCCATCGGTCGCTGTCCGGCCAGTGTCTGATGCACAGAAGGAATATGTGAGATATGAGTTCGGATGGTAGCTTGTCGAAATGGTTCATGGAATTGTGGGGCTCCTTCAGAGACTCGGTGGTCTTGCTGTCGTCAGGTTTTCTGGAGGACTCCCAAAACGAAATCTCCAGCCTCTCGAAATTCGAATGTTGTAATGAGGACCTCAAATTTGCGAAGTCGCATTCTGACTGCCTCTTCAGTAAACGAACCAGAGGTACAATTCCGGGAAATTACCGTTCTCGATAATGGTTTTGTTGTCGCCGTCCAATTTTGCTACACGTAGAACGACATCCTCATCGAGCTCTAGCGCGCGGCGAATTGCGCAAATAAAGACATCCAAGCGCTTCTCTGGGGTGGTGAGATGAAAAAAAAAAAAATGTCAGAGTCAGACGGGGCGGCGCTCACCGGTTATTCCATGCGTGAAACGCCGACCATCGGAACATTCGCAGATCACAGAACCACCTTGCTCAATCACACTCTGTTCCGAGGCGGTTCTGGGTCTCATAGTATTACTTATGTCGAAAACAGGGGCTACTAAGGCCGATCGATGACTCCGGTGGCGGTGTGGAACGCTGAGTAATGGATGATCACGAGCATCTTCCTAGATGCATTTATAAAGCACTAATCCTTTCCCCTGCTCACCGATCCCCCTCCTTGGACTCAAATACACACCACCTTATTTCTCTGATTTAGAGACTTGACACGATGTCTGTACGTATTTATCATGAGCACGCCCCAGCCTAGCGAGCATCCTGTTCACTCCATCTTTCCATCCTTCTAGGCTGAAGCAGCCTCTATTGATGCTCCTCCTCAGAAAAACACCTACAAGTTCGATGTCAAGGTAGGCTACAGTGACGCTTCTTTGTTATTTTAAATCCCTCATAGCCCCTGGGCTTCATTCAGATGTCGTGCTCGGGCTGCTCTGGAGCGGTGACAAGAGCGCTTTCTAAGAAAGAAGGCATGTATACGGTTCTCCTACTGTGTCGCCTGGATGCATTGTGAACTGCTGCTACAGGCATCGACACATTCAATGTGAGCCTCGATAAACAGGAAGTCCGTGTCACGAGTGGTCTTCCCTACGACGATGTCCTAGACACGATAAAGAAGACTGGAAAGGAAGTAAGTCGGCGTTCCATACTACCATCAGGGGCTGTAGCTCAAGTTCACTTCCGCCCTTATGTTTAGGTCCTCTCCGGCAGTGTTGTCGCCGAATGATTCGAAGCACTGTAATCGACATCGGTATAGTGTTTCGGGTATGCGAACTCCTTGTTGTACCAATTACTTAGCCAAATGGAAGTTGCCTATTACTAATTCTCACTCATGCGGCGATCGGGTCATTGTCTCGCCAAACCCCCTGAGAGGCGATTGCGAACGGATCAAGGTGTCGCCGGGACTTCCCGGGCCCGGGCCCTTGACGCTGAGCTAGCAGGTGTTCTGTCTATGTTTCTGTGGTTGTGCATATGTTCAATTAGACATCGTGTCGTGGCGCCAGAAAGGATGCTTCGGAGGCTAGTCGTCCAAAGAACACAGCCTCACACCCTGTCTTTGTCATGGGTCCACGATTAGTTGAATGGCGTCGGTGGAGGAGGTGCCGGTTCCCACAAAGCATGCCCTCCACTTACATACATAAGTACTTGGCAGAGCATAAACCAAAAATGCACAATAAATGTTTGGCGGGCAGGACCTTCTTACTAACGTCGTTGATCGATTCGCACTAAGTAGAGAAAATAATAATCTGGAATTTTGGGAAATAATTAGGCAGGAGCTCTGAGTTCGTAACATTATATTGCAAGCTTCCATCACGTGCCGCAGTCCAAAGACAGTCTTGGCAGTTACGACGTCGAGAGGCAATCCTTGCAACCCTTGGGAGCTTTCCCGCTTCATCTATGCGTGCATTTGTCACAAGCAACGATAGAAAGGAACTTCGTGTCGCGTTCTCTGTTAACTCCTAAGATCGTGACGTTCATGTCAAGTACTGCACCGCGAAGCCTTGCGGGGATCTTGCAGTCAGAAACTTTAAGCCGAGACCCTGATCCATCCACACCTAATATCCCTGATGATTTCCAGTGGGTAGAAAATTACCTTTACGTACACCAACTCTCTGGTGGGTTCTATTTGGTCCAAATTCGATCGCTTGCCTTGATTCTCGCCCAACACTCTTCAGGCAATAGCTATATATATGCTTATCTCCTCTGGATAATTCTACTCGTCTCTTTCGCTATCATTTCTTTCCTTCGTCATTCACCCGCACGGCGCACTACTGTAGGTGCGGTTTGGACCAAATGGTCAATAAGGCAACACTTCATCGACACCTCTCGCGGCAATTCGGAAGATTCTGTTTCTCGGGCTGGTGTCAGTGCGCGCAAGCGAGGGAGCCAATTGACAGCCTGGCCGATCAATGCTCAGGTCTTTGCCCTTCTGATGATGGTTACCATTGTTTCTGTTCTGACAGTGGCTGGCCCGGACTACATTGCGCCCCGCGCGCACGGTACTGGGTCGACATCTAAACGTTTTTATAATGATTCCATGATGTGTACGAACGCGTCCGCTCCTTCGACATCCCGCCGGGATGACTTGATCATATCCCAGCCCCCGGATTATACAATTCAAAAGGCATGGTGGACCGCTGGTGGTCGTAGCGGTTCGTCATTTCGTTCTACCGCACGGAGGGACATATTTACACCATTAATCAGGGATGATGGCGTTCAGCTTGATACCTGTCTGTGTTTGCATTGCACTCAAAGCCCCGCCATTCGCAATTCTTGCCATTCCGTTTACAATACAGCTTCATTCTGACCGTCTAATGTGGATACACCGCTGGATTGGACGTTTTATTTATCTACTTACTGTGGCTCATGTAGTCACTTGGACAATTCAACTTTGCAAAGACCGCAGGCATGGCAGCTTTGGGACGATTGCTCTTGGGTATACTTATTTATACGATAAGTTTATCTACGGAGTTGTTGTGGGTCCAGCTGGATATTTTGTTGGTTGATCCCACTAGACTTACAGCGATCGATTTAGGCCTTCGTGTGTATGACTTTCTTGGTGATGCTTAGTAGTGCACCCCTTCGAAGAGATCACTACGAGACATTCTACTTTATCCATGTTTTAACAGTCCCCTCAACCCTGGCCTTTTCCGCACTCCATTATCCTCCTCTTGGGTGGTTCTGTTGGAGTGCCTTACTCCTATGGATAATGGAACGTGTATGGAGAGGTATTCGATTTTTCTACACAAACGGTGTCTTTGTCAAACGACCTCCCGCTGACGCGGCTTTCGTACCGTCATCTGAGTCCAGAGATCTTCCGGAAGAATTTGACCCAGCAGATATAGATATGGACGCTGCGTCCATCTCACTATCTGTACACGATACTACCTCGTCCATCACCCGCTTGCTCATCCGCCACACTCGAAATCGATCGGTTGACAGCTCCGGTTCTTACATATCTCATATACCACCAGGATATGCTCGTGCTGAGCTCCTCCCGGGTCGCATGATACGCCTCATTGTTCATACGCCTCGACCCATGAGTTGGGTTGCAGGGCAATATGCTCTACTTAAGATCCCGGATGTTTCATCATGGACAACCCATCCATTCACAATGGCTTCAATGTGCCATTCAGGGAAGGGCTGTATCGGTGATGACGCCGAGAGCTTAATGTCCGCTGGCGGGCCACACGAAATCGTGTTTCTCATTCGAGCGAGGCAGGGTTTCACGCTTGATCTGTGGCATCATGTTAGGAAGCTCACTGCGCAGCCTAACTCAACATCCTATCGTGTGCATGAGCGCCCTTCCTCTGGAATGATTAGCGTGCCGTCTCAGAAATGGGCACCACTCATCCGGGCCCAGGTAGATGGTCCGTTCGGGTCGGCTGCACGGGCAATGTGGACGACGTATTCCACTGTTGTTATCGTTGCTGGCGGGAGTGGCGTTGCGTTCGCATTGAGCGTCTTGGAATACCTGTGTCACGCTCTTTCTCGGAAAGGTGGGGGCGATATGAACGATTGTTCTGTCACCCGGGTGAGATTCCTCTGGGTTGTGAGCGAGTACTGTAAGTTCTTACTTTCTGATCACCGAACTTCACACCCATCTTTTGCTACAGCCCATTTACTTTGGTGCGCTACGACCCTTAGGCGATGCTTGCAACTGGCACCTCAAGGATCCGTTCAGTTGGATCTTTTTGTAACCAATTACACACATCATATCTTAGGTTCCACCCCGCACTACCTTTCCCAGAGTGAGGTGTTCAGTGCCGCACCTGACGAACTCGCGCCCCCGACTATTCCTTTTGGAAGTAGAGGAGATTCGTCACCCTCAGATTCTGATACAGAATCAGGTTTGAGCGACACCGAAAGCATTGTAGACCTCCATTATGCTGCAGACAGCGAGGACGAGCGAGAAGGCGCTCATCGAAGGTCACTCAGCCACACTCAATCTCAGTATACCTCAATATATGGTGACGCGCAAGGAGAGCATTGCGCGGATCTCACAAATTTTGCGGGAGAGGATAGATCACGAGCTCCGGGAGAAGATCAGTTCTCCATGTCTGTGAAGAAAAAGGGAAAGCATATGCGCCGGAAGACGTTAGCTGGGTTTGTGAAGTTGCGTTTGAACACGAAACGAAATCCGAGTCCCCCCGCTAACGAACTCTTCGCGATCACCCAATTGCACCCGGGAATTCCGCTCACGCCGCTGACGGTACCAAGTAGCGTCAACTCAGAAGGTATTCACCCCCCCATCACCAGGGCCGTCTCTCCGACTTCAGTAGCAGGGCCTCGTAGCACTTCCCCTGCGCCGCGTCCATCTAGTCGGCCAGGTCACCTCAGTCCCATCGACAAGCAATCTCACCAGCCAACCCGCTCATACAGTCCGCTTCGCGCACAGCCTTATCCTGCGAGTGACTTTGGCGGGCAACCCAGCCCCCGGGATGACGCACCCTCCCCGGGTGATCGCTCCACCATGCATGCGCATTTACTGCCGCACACGCTAGGGGATGATTCCGATCACATCTTCGACCTCAGTCCCACGGATAGATCCGATCTTGAGTTTACTGCCGCTCTCGCTAGGCGTGGTCGCCCAAGACTGGACCGTATCCTTGCAGAAGAGGTTAATCGTGCTGCTGGTACGCTTGCTGTTGCCTGTCAGTATCCACTTTCATCAATGGAGGGCCATGCACTGATTTGCGTTTTACAAATTTAGCCTGTGGTCCACATTCTCTTACTGCTGTCGTTCGTAAAGTGGTGGCTGCCCAGATTCATCCTGCCCTGGTGTGGAAAGGCGATGAACGCGGCTACATAAATTTCTTTTCCGAAGAGTTTGCTTTCTAATTTCATATCATGCATGGACACTTCTGAACCAGTATGGTACAGCAATTAATAGTTAACCCCAACCATGTTCCTAAAAGAGTAGATGCAATGCCCATAGACCCAAAAATGTATTATTGAGGGTACATTGACAGCACTCGTGAGTTCCAGTGAGTAGGGTAGGATTAAGCCCGTGAGTGATTAAGTCCGTTATGATTGTAGGTATGAAGGCGGCAGGTGGGAACAGATGATGCAAAATGAAGGAATAAAACAAAAGTGATACCTCTAAGGCCGAGCTATAAACGACGGAAATGGTCAGATATACAGTTCCGTCGTAAAATAACGTCAGAATGGCGTACCCAACTGCTCTTTGCGATAGAACCAGAAATAACCAACTGCAGGGTGTGAAAGATGTGAGATTTCTGGACATGAACGTCATTAGTTTGTACCCACCGACGATAACTAGTTGGCAAATGCTGGGAGTGCATTGTCAGCGAGTAATTAGAGTTGTGAAGTCTTTAGAAAACTTACAGCGCCAACCAGAATGGGGCACTAGCAAGAGGACTCCCTGAGGAACAAGTAAGCATGACAGAACTGGAGTACATAGTTGTCTATATCTTGCCTTTCAATCCGCCTGGGAGGAAAAATGTCAGTATTCACATCAGGAAACAAAAGCCGAAGCGAGCGTACTTTGGAAGTCCCATGTTGAAGCATCCGGGAACACACTCGATGGCCCAATGCGATTGGGAGCGGTAGCATGAGCAACCATAACGGCAATAGATCCAATTACTTGCGAAAATGCCAGTGTTGCGCAGACGTGTAGCCGTGACAAGGTCTAGGTTGAGATAAACGGTGGGGATTCAGTCACCCAGCGTCCGTGTAAAAACTCACCTGCAGCAGGATCATGCCCAACCCGACACCTTGAACTGCATCCAATACTCCGAGCCAAAGCCATAGTGAAGTCCCAAGGTATGGACCAGCGGCTCCAGCCCAAGGTATGTACAAGGCAAGCGAAGAGGTACTCCACAATATCTGTTCGATGTTCTGGTCATTAACTTGGCGGCTAGTGGGTTTGGAGGTTTACCTGACACCATCTTGGTGCACCAAGACCGACGGCGAATACAGCCAAAAGCCATGTGTGAGACTGGGCGTAGTACGTCAGAATACCCATCACAACACCCCAAACGAGGATGAAGAATATAAGAACGAGAGCCAGGATAAAGAGCTTGCTGAAAGGGGCACTCCATAGGAAGGCCCAATTTCGTCCGTAGGGCTGATGAATAATGTTAGACCTAACGAATAAGGGGAGCAAATATGCAGCTTACTCCACTCAGCCAGTAGTCCCGAAGAATTTCGGAAGCCAAGAACCTTTTACAATATCAGCATTATGTGGTGTTGACATACTCGAACATACCAAAGAACAAGTTTTCTCCTGAACAAGGTCTTGAGGAAATGAGGTACCTTGGGTGGTACTTGACGGTAGTATTCTTGTTGGAGTATATCAATAAACAAACGAGCGACTAAATTCCCACCCTGCATACCTGGCAATCCGTACGCCATGCAGAAGCCAAAGAGCAAGCACATGGCCGAAAGCGGCCAGAGAATGCATACGATCCACCACGGAGGACGGTAGTCGGCAGGAGCGGCATTCAGTGAGTTACCCCAATACCATAGCGCCGCCACCCAGAGCTGTTGTGATCCCTGTACGATACATGCCCGTAGTGCCCAAACTTCCGTCGCAGCCCCCTACGTCGAGAGAATTCGTAAGCTCGTGAATAGTGCGAACGAGAAACACCTACAGCCTCTTCGCCAAAATTAAGACCGAAAAATGTGAACGCAGCAGCAGATGCAACGGCGTACGACCAAGTCGCCACCCCAGAGAGCAACTTGTGGACGCCCTCGAAGGCCGATGATATGGAGGGTAGACCGATAAGGAAGAACGCCAAAGCGAAGAAGAACCATGGAGCAGTGAGGATCCAGACTGATGGCTTCAGTCTGAACAGCGCATACCAGATCGCCGAAGCGACCAAGAAGATGCCACCAAGGACATACGCTTGCCACTGTTCCTGCCAATTCTGACCGGAAAGGAGTGTGATCTGGAAACTAGTGGCACTTAACATCTGAAGAAAAAAAAAGAACTCAGTGAGCCGGCTTGTGGTGTATGCGCACTTTGCACGAACCTGGCCCAAGGCGATAATAATGGTGTACAGGGGCCAGCTACCAATCTCGCGCTGCAGCAGAATCTGCAGCCTGGTCATCGGGGGCTCATCTCCATGTGGAAGAGGGCCGGAATACTCATCGAGATGGAAAGAAGAGTTGCCATACATGCTTGGAGCTGAGGAAACATGACTAAGACGACCGCAAAGCTTTCACGAGTGACATCACTCACTATCAGGACGTGAGTCCGATGAGGGACCCCACATTGAATCACGATTTGATCGGACACTCATAGCGCTCGAAAGCTTATCCTTTTTCACTTTCTCGAAGAATTGTGCTTCGCTCTTCGTCAAGAATTTCTCAATCGATAATTCTCCCTTTGAATTTTCAGCGTTTAGGTCTTGTAATTTCTCCACGAAGCTTTGCGCCACTTCTCCATCAGCGTCAGTGAACTGGAAACAACGCATGTCAGCAGTGGACTGATAGTTGGGTAAAAGATACTCACAGAGGCAATAGCCTTGTTCAATGGAGATGAAGCACCCTTTTCGTCCATTATAGATGTGATTGACTCCGCCGAAGAAAGCCGGTGATGAAGGAAAGGTCGATTGATCACGGCGTGCTCGTCAAGGAAGGGGTCCGGAACGTGTGTTTGGTCCTTTGCTATCTGACGATTTGCTCTTGACAAAAAGTTACCGAATCCTTCGTCCGTGGGTTGCGACCCATGATCGGAGCCAGATTCAACAGGGTGCGAGAAGTAGTCCGCGCCGCCACCTCGTTCATTTGGTGTCGTAGACGCAAGGCTGACTGTGCTTAAAGGTCTTCGAAGTTGGCCATATGGCACGTTTGGACTCAGGAATTGCTGTGAGTTGACGGCAACGCGCGAACCTCCAGCATCCCACTCAGGCTGCACGGGTTCTGGCTGGGCCTCAGGCTCCCAATCATCATGATCCACACCGATAGGCAGAGGTCCCAAAGTATCACAATCGGACTCCCTGAATGCATTTTCGCCTGCATGAGAACGGCTGACGTGAATACTTCGCCGATGGAAGTCCTCCATCTTCTGACGCCATTCAACTACTGGGAAACGTTGAACAGCAGACCGAGCACGAAGTAAGGCGCGCTCCTCGGTCGTTGATTTCAGCGCCAGTTTGATCGTCTTCGATAGCTGGGAAAGCATGTGGGCAGTTGAGGTAGACTCCACTGGGAACCACTGTACGAGTGCAAACGTCAGCCCATCACTTCAGGCAGACAGAAGCAGTCACTCACCCAGCCAGGCATTAAACCGAGGCCGCCTAGACGACTACCGACACCCAATGCACCTTTACGACCAAACTCCACGGCTACAAGTCCGAAAGGCTCATCTCGTGATGGAATCAAAGCAAAATCTGCTCCGCTAAAGAGGAAAGGAGGGAGGGCGGTGAACTCTGGCTTTGAAAAGACCTTCTCCGGATGCATCTTCATAAGACGGGCGAGTTTTTCCGCCGCAAATCTGCCGTAAAGATCAATGACGGGACCAACGCAGATAACTTGAATGTCGTTGCGTTTTGCCAACCTGGGCGAAGGCTGAGCGATAGAATGCGATGGTCGAGAAAAGCGACTTACAGCCCGGGAAGCACATCTGCGATAAGATCCACACCTGACGAGTGCATTAGCTTTGACTGAGAAACAAAGTACCAAAAGCGCCCACCTTTTTGCTTTGACCACCGACCAACAAACACGAACAAGTTAGAATTTGGGTCTTGAGCAATGCCTGCCCATTCCTGAGCCTGGCGCTTGAGCTCCGGCCGCGCGGCCTCAGCAACCTCGTCGACCTTGATTTCTTTCACAGATGGAGCATTCTCGTCAAGAGCTTCGATGTCACTCGGATCTATTGGTACAGCGACTCAGTAAAGTCTCCCTTTGAGCGTGGGCGACAAGCCTACCAGGATTAGGAAGAGAGTCGACGTGCTTCAGAGTCCATAACGCGGGATATCGAGCCCAACTACGCTTGCCATACTAGGGGAACTTGGTAAGTAGAGGTTGCAATTTGATCGGCCTCGCTGGGCGCACCTTATCGGAGACACCAGCCACGCCAATACTCTTCTGGTGATCCGCGATGAAAGACGCAGCGGCATGAAGAAGGTTGAAAGTGTTTCCAAATTGGACGTACTGAAAGGCGTCGTCAGCTTCGTCTGTATTTAAGGACATCTTGCCAGCTTACTTTGGTACAGGTTTCCTTGCTTATATTGAAAGCCGAACAAACTTCCCTCATTTCTTCCTTGGTTCGTAGTGGCCTACAGCCGTCACTGTAGTTAGATCATTCGAGGCCAAGAAGATGAAAACCATCATACCATAATCCCTATAGATCATGTTAGCGCACGCCACTCAAGCGGAATCGGAGGACAACAACTAACCTGGAACTCTGCATTGTGCAACGACAAACAAACAGGTAAAACCTTAGGGAGTAAGTAAAGTGGTACGAGAGCCCCGTGGTAATCTTTGCCATAAAGTTAGCAAATAATCTGGTGGTGTGACATGACAAGCCCCTACCATTGATGTGATATATGTCAACTAGGGGGAAGCGTATGACGGTGGCAGCGATGGCTTGATTCCACGTCGAATAGTATATCGCAGAGCTAAGGTCATCCATGCGAGGGGGGTAGGGATCCGATTTCGTTTGGGCCCGGAATACAGGGCTGTCCAAAATTACATAAGTAATGTTGTCTAGGACGTGGGTCTCGACCTCAATCAGGTAGGGTTGGCCAAAGATGATCACTTCAATGGGTTCTGCTGGTTCGCCTTGAGGATACTCGAGGTCCTTGACTTTTGGTATAACCCAGATTAAGTCGACATCCGTCATGGCTTTACCCATCAAAGATGACATGACTCCCAGACCGCCGATCCTAGGGATCCAAATTAAGTTATCAATTCACATGTGAATCGAATAGGATCGAACTCACTTGACTTTGAGCTTCCAATCGATGATCTCATACTCCATGGTTGCAATAAGGACCTTCCGACGTTTGTTCGGGACCTCAGGCCACCCAATGAGGTCCTTTTGCTTGCTGTGACCAAAATGGAATATACTGTCATCTTGCGTCGACCCATCCTTCTCCTTGGATCCCAAGAGAGGGAAATAAGTGTGATGAGAATCCTTGGGTTTTATACCATACTGATTGATCTTGATTCCGTAGAACGACCAACGGAAGATGAAGACGGCCAGTGTGGCAGTTATGAGCGGTATGGAAAGGAGGAGACCATACATGATCGCGGCAACGACGGAGCGACCACGAGGTTCAAGCCACCATCTTCCAGTGCGGTCATCGATGACGACTGCCCAAGCGAGATGCTACTCAAAGTCATTAATACATGTTATCATTGAAAACAAATTACGAATAACTTACTGGATGCGGAGGCTGATACGAATCGGAGCAAGATGTGAATTGTTAGAAGGGAATCAAAAGGACGACGTCCACAACTCACGGTTGTCATGTTAAGATAATTTGGAGCTGCGAAAGTTTGTGAATGGGATGCATTCAGTGCGGACGTTGCCACATACCAGCGGAGTTGGGGGGAAGACGATCCAGAACTCCATCCCCATCAGTATCGCCATAAAAGTAATCGTCGTACGCATATACATTGAGTTGGATGTTAGTGGGCCAACGAGCCATGACCTGTGAGCGAAAAGGCTCAGTGGAGTTGTAACGTGAGAGACAAATCAGACCTGCCTCGAGCTCCCAGTAGTTTCTATCGTTAAGCTTGAATGTAGACAACGTCCCCTTGTCAAAGCCCCACTTATTAAAAGCGCCTCGTGCCAAGTATTGAGGAACACGACGTTGCTGACCAAAGCCACGATCGGCGTGCACAATATACGTGGACGAAGTGACAATACTTGACCAGTCTAAATACGGAATCACACGATCATGAATTCCCACCTGGTCGAATGGAGGATTTGCAATATTGAAAGCTCACATTGTATCATGAGATGTTGGCCTGGCCAGCCTGGGTTCTTGGGGAACAAGGAGGATTCGATGGTGGTGGTCGATTCCCAATCTGTCCAATTGTTCCATGTCTGACCGAAATCAGTCGATATTCGGAACCTCTCTGCACCCAACGCCTTATGGTTGAACGTATACTTCCCGCCGGACGACCCAAACGAGGCGGAATCATAATCGCCAGTCAGTGGGAAAACCATTACGTTGTTAGCCGACCCTTTCCTCAACAGCAGGTGGTCGACAGCCTACGATGGAACATACGAGTTTTAGTTCATTGAGTATGGCGATATGAACAAAAATGCCCACGTTTGTGTTAGCATCGCCCGCAGAGTTTGGGGCGTTCGTAAGAGTGATCTGAACAATACCATCTGGCACGTTTTGAAGCGTACCAGACCACGACCAGGCTGATATTTGGCCCGAAGGAACGGTGGATGGAATGGGATTATTAACGGCACCACAATTACCCTGCTTGATCGTTGGCTGTGAGAATTGCCCATTCGAAGAAACGTTCACACTGAGGGCAGAGGTAACGCCTGAACAACTCATAACCGTATTAAACTCAAGCGTGATGTCAATACTGGTCGAGTCGGACAGAATGCGCGCATCATGACCAGGAGTAAACCTCGTCAAAGCCGGACGAGGTGCGACCCAGACAGACTCATTGACCAGGAGCTTGAAACCGTAGAGGGGCAGAGAGATCTTGGGTATACAGCCACGCCATGGGGCCTTGGAGTTATTGTAGTATGACTCTGGGGAAACTGAAAGGTTGTATGTTTCGAAGGGAGGCAAAAGATTGCGGACCGCGGTACCCGCCGGGAATGGAGCACGCATCCTTTGGCTTCCATTTTTTACCGTGCAGTCGAAGGTATAATCGACGGTCGCGTTCTCATTGGTGTAGATCAACCAAAGAGGGTCAGCTACACTGCCATCCTTGTTCGTAAGGTTTTGACCAGAGGCCGGCAAGCGCACAACACTCCATAACCCAACCTCAGTCGGAGTTCCGTTCGAGCCAGGCCGGTAGATGTCATACGTCCAACTGTTCAGCTGCTCCAAACCGAAGCCATCAAGGAGCGAGGGATAAGCAGACCGCAAATAATAGAAATGCGACATTTGCACGCGACCTGGGGCGGTACTATGAACAGAGGCGTTATTAGTTATCGAATTTCGGCGAGAAAAAAAATGCGATGCTAGCTTACGGATCAAAATGATCATACGAGTTCCATTCATCTTGACATCCAATCGCTGCTCTATCCATTGCCATGTGGAAGTATTGCTCCGACCCAAGCCTATAGCAGCCATGTCGTACCCATGCTTGACTTGAACTCATCGCCTGACGACTATAAAAGTAGAAGGGCGGCTAGTGAGTCCCAGCGGTCGAAAAGCCAAATTGACGACATGATACACACCCAAAGAGATAGTTACTGGCGGTGTTATCGAAGAGATAGAAGCCTTGCTCTTCACCATAGTAAACAAGAGCAACGCCTGGCATGAGCATTGTGGTGATGAACGTTCCCAACGATTGTCTGATAGTGCCATTTGCCAACCCAGGCCAGCGATACACATCGAAGTTACTCATCCCAAACATGTGCTTCGGATCGACTTCATTCGTATTCGGATTCAGGAAATCATTGTCGACGAACAACTGGTACCATGACGTGACGAAATTAGGTGGTAGATCGTACGCGGCCTCAAGATTACCATCCATTCCGAGGAACCGAGTAAGATAACGGTATACCGAATAGTGGAAGGTGATCGCATCGATACCATTCAGGCCTGCCTGGCGCATGAAGTACTGCTTTTGAGAATCGGAGCCGTTCATCGCCAGAGCGACATCGAAAGGAGGTCTTTGATTCGGCATACGACCTCGTCCGACGTAAAGTGAACCAAAGGTGTCACCACCAGTGACTTCACCAGTGATTAAGAAGTTGTTCTTTTTGAGTTTTTTGGCACAGCTACGTGTATGAGTAGCCCATGCAGCGATAGCGTTTACGCTGACTTGGATGGACTTGTCTATACGGATTGCATCTATGTCCAACGCTTCTATTGTGAGACAGGCATAAACTTGAATTTTGGCCATAACATCCGGGTTCCACTCCCTAAGACGATCTTGTACGCCAGCGAACTTCGACAATTGACGTTGCCCTTACGGTTGGAATCACAGTGAGCTGAGCACTAAAACCAAATCCCGGGGGAAAGTGAACAAAAACGTACAATCAGGGTGCACACCAAAAGCTTCCATATCACCATATTGATCAAATTCTGAAGCGTAGCACCCTTTAACGTCCAGAGCGTAAGGTTGACCATTGTCGAGCCAGAAGTTAGGATACACGCAAGAGTCATTGCGTTGATTAGAGTATTTGAAGTCTTGATACTCGTTTATGCCCCAGGGTGCATAAAGAGGATGTTTCCAGTAAACATCATATTCTCCAAGGTCGAATGGTGCGGATTTGTTGACATAACTAAAAAAGGGAAGAAGGATATTGATCGTAGTTAGCGGTAACCGGGGAAGTACATCATAAGCCATTCAATAAACGACTTTACGCAATTGGTGAAATACGTACGGTGCCCAACCTAGCAGATCGGCCATAGTACCAACGGTAAAATCAAGCATGATATACATGCCACGAGCATGGATCGCGTCAATGGCAGCTACCCAATCACTAATAGTGCCCCAATGTGGGTCCATCAACGAAAAATCCAGCGGGGAATAACCTGAACGATAGACCGAGGAGAGGAAAATAGGAAGAGAAATGTCAGAAACGAAAGGGGTGAGAAGGCGCTTGTAGACGTACTGTCGGCTTGCCAAGGCATATTCAGGAATGGGGTACCAGCAATGAAAATGACTCCGATACCCATCCCTTTGAGATAGTCCAGGTGGGCTACGAGGCCTTTCAAGTCGCCTCCATATCGAAGTTGTGTTTCCCGCCAATCATTTTCGAACCTGGTCTGGAAAAAATCGTTGTTTGCAGGGTCCCCATCTGCAAACTTGTCCAACAACACAGTGTAAACAGGCAGAGCCCGCCAGTTCTTTGGTGATGGTGTGTACGTTGTATTCGTGCGGTTGGTAGAGTAGTCAGTGACGAGCGTCGCCGACTGGTTCATGTTTAGGTTATAATCTGCCAGTTCAGCCTTGTAAACGAGAGCTTGAGTGGGCAGAGGACGAAAGGTGAAGAGTGCAACAAGCATGAAGCCCGCCGCCAACAGCGGCCGGTTCCACCAGGGAGGTGGCATAGTATGGCAGACTGGAAAGAGAGCAGGTCGAAAACAAGGAATGGAAAAGGCCAAGCGTGTTTGTGATTGAATTACGGGTGATACCGATTAAGGCACCGCTTACACAGGGTTTCGCCCACACATCCGTGCAATTCAAGGCTGGCGAACGGCAAGACCAAAGGCGGGGGACTGTGCCCATAGCTCACACCCATCGGCCATGTTCCACCCAGTTTTTCTCCTATTTTTAATTGCGTTCGGTAAATGGATTCCTTTATAACAAATTACATCTAATCCCATGTCAATCTCGCCCAGGTTAATGCTCCAGTGCGTTTCCAACGAGCGCTTCCTGCAATACCATCCGGACAACCCCGCCAACATAAGCAACCATAGACCAACCAAGCGCAAGCGCTAGGCAGACCACCAGCCTACGCAAGCGCTAACGCACAACTCGACCGGCAATCGCTCGGCATTGCCATCGATCACGACCTTATTGGGCATTGTCAGTGTGTAATCATTCAGTCCCACCACGGTTGAAGAATTAATGTTATCGACTTGTCTGTGCACTGGCTGCCATGCAGTAATCCATGCAGCGCCCCAACACAGACACGATAATCTCCACGGCCAACCGTGTTTGTGCCACCTCCCATTCAACGCTCATTGCTTTTTTGATGCAGATTTTGGCGTCTCATGCTCGTTTTTCACATTCCAATTGCTGTGCTTATAAAATTAGAAATTATAGAGGGGAATCGTTATGCATGCTGTGCTCGAGGCCGAGAGAAAGAGAGTGTGCGTGTGTGTGTACAGATGCCAGCCTGAACGTGTCGCACATTTTGGCTGTGACGCCAGCTCATTTTCAACTGGACTTCATGATCGTCACCTGCCAACAGGTACCGAAGAAATGCAGCGAGACTTGCATAACAACGTACCGGGCAAGCCGTTGGGCAACTGGAAGCCATCCGTAAGACGCTGCAGCAAGGTATAATTTTATCACCGCCAAATTGCGAATATCCCAAAATCGGGGGGACGGCGGACGCGAGAAGTGGCTGTACTCTATACTCTAATTGCCCGAAAAGGATAACTCACAAACTCGGGGCCGCCCGGTCGACTTGTAATCCCATGAGAATCGTACATAGTTGGGCGCCGTGAAAACGTGAAGATTCCACACCGACCGATTTTGTTGTAAACGCGGCGTTCCAAGTACGACAACCCGCCTCAGCGGTTCATTCGCAGGGCAGAAGTAGGATAATATAACTAAAAAGTACATACAGCCCATATTTATACTCTATTCTAGTTTTTTTCTCTGCGCAAGCGCTCACGCAGGTGCTTAGTCACCCGTAGAATATTCTTCTAACTGGCGGAATTATTGCCTTGATCTCTAATATAATCTGGTAGCGCCCGGCGCATCTCGTGGCCAAGTTTGGTACATAGTGAAAAATGCCCCTCACGAAAGGCCAAAAGGTGCAACATCCGTTAAGCACCCTGTGTGGTTCGGGTTTTCCGATTGGATGCTATTTTTGTGTTTGGCTGTGCACTCCCAGATCCCCTCGCCAGGTGTGGGCACGTTGGTATGCACTGGATGCCGAATGATCAGGTATCGCACTTCGAGAAATTCACGTTGAATTATCAATCTTGGAGCAATGATGTCGGAAACTCCGACTCCGGGACCGAATCTCGGTGAAAACTGATTCAGGGCACATGATGACCGGTGGTTGTCGGCTATTATTCCGAACTTGATGCAATGAGGTCACGCGCTCCCGGCTAAATCGAGCCCAACGCCTTATATAGTACCATGTACAGTGTATCTGTTTTGCCTTCATCGCCCCGCAGCCACCCAGAGCTGCCCGAATATGATAATCCTTACGTGACAACGACCGACCGCCCGCCTCACTCATCATCATCAGCATCGATTTGTAATCTTTTGATAATCTATCCATGGACATCGCTTCCGGCCATCCTCATCATGTCAGCGGGAGATGAAAGCAGCTTCGAACGCTGGCACCACGCCCAGGCGATATGTGACATTCAGGAAGCTGCGTTCCTAGCTCAAAGATCAGAGCCAATCAACAGCCCTCCCAACCCAAAGAGGCAAATCAGCCTTTCTCCATCGATCCAGTGCGCCAAAAAACGTGTCCCTTGATTTCTTTAATCTGGCATCAGCTCATCCTGCCCCAAACCAAGCACTCGCCATCTAACACCACCTCGAGCAATCTTCATCCCTTCTCTTCTTTTGATTCGGAACTGGAGAAACCCACGCGCACTCCATCGCCACGAGGAAGCTGTTTTCATCCACTTTTGGGCTTCTGCCGATAAGCCAAATGTTCAGCTGGACGCACCGGATATGGCGAAACAACCTTCTCAACCCTTCCACATCTAGGAACCACGTCCCACCGCTGGACCGGCATTCATAAAGAATGCCTCTCATAGTTCCCGTACCCGCCGCGAACAGACGCTCGGCGTTAAAAAATGGTGCCCAATACTGTCTCATACAAGACGCCCCCGTCCGATCTGCTATATTATCGATGACGTTGGACGATATCGTTCCCACAAAGCTCATGCAAATCGAGGAGACGCATTCCCACATGCATCAAAGGGTTTGTTATGATGGGAAATCGTGCAATCTGAAGTGTTATATGAATAGATTGCGGAAAAGGCGCGGGAGTCCTTGAGAAGTGAATGTTGGGATCTCAAACGGACGGAAGTGGCTGGCACTGGTGGTTCTCGTATGCAGACTCCAGTGAGAGGGCTGGCTAATCGCCGGTCACAAGGTAGGTAGCGTGGCTGCGGGTCAGCATAGTTCACCTTTCATACCGCTTCATATGGTGGTTGCATCGCGGAGGATCGATTCGTCCGTGGCGTGAGATATCCTCATGCCACCCGCCCGCAAATCCAAAGCTGATGCCATATACCAGACACGTTCTTGTTGGCCATACCAGAATGAGACGCATTCTAACAGTTGAGCGTTTGAGACACTCGGCGGCGGCGGTGCGGTCATTAATGCCCCCCGGGACGAGATGGGGAAGATTCAATTATCGTTTGATATTATGTTACTCGCGAAAACGAGGGATATGACTTGTATGAATGAGTTCTGAAAGACTGGCCCGACTCAGACGCTGAGTGAGACAAGTGCTTGCAAATTTCCAATGTTATGCAGCTCGACGGCCGAATAAAAGGATAAGGATAAGCTCAACGTCAGCCGTCAACGACCGCATTTTCCCTCCGAATCGCGCCTGGCTGAACATTCCGTTTACATCCTTGCTTTGCAAATTACGGAGCTGTCATATTAGTGATTAGTTAAACCAAGTGGCTGATTCTCGAAATAATAACCAAGGAAAGTTCCGTAACAACAGGCGATTGCGCGTCGCCTCGAGGGTTAGGTTCCATCTCACTTATAAAGAGCTAGTCACCGCCATCCGCTTAGTTCTCTCTCTCTCCATCCCCATTCCACAACATCCCCTCATCGTAAACCTTCATTTCTGTCCTTAGCGCTTTCCACGCTATTCCACCGACAACCGAGCAAATACTTTTCAGCGTCTATAGCATTCACACAAGCCAGCCACCATGCCAGCAAAACGTAGATGCCAGGCTACTCATGAGCAGTGCAAGTCCGCTGCTATTCGCATCGTGGGGGATTGTCCTCACTGCAATGCACACTTCTGTGGTACAGTACGTTCTGTGGTGTTAACGTCTTGTGTTTCGTCGCTAACATGTTCCCCCCCTTCCCCCTTCCCCTTCCAGCATCGTCTACCCGAGCACCACGCCTGCCCGAAGATGGCGGACTGCAGGCAAGAGGTGAGCCTATTCCTATTCTTGATCATCTTTGGACTTTATTCCTAACATACTGGTGATGTTAGTCCTTTGAGAGGAACAAGGCCAAGCTCGAGTCTGAGCGCACCGTTGCATCCAAGTTGGGCGTCGTATAACCTCAAGGGCTGATGTGAATGGCCCCCTCCCGAGGCGTCCATGTAACCTACATCTTTCCTTTCCTGCCTATTCTCATCCCAATTCCGCCTCCGCCTCACTCGTTCTTACGGGACTGGATGCCATCAACCCGCGTGGAGCGGACAACGCACAGCACAATCACCCTTTCACTGTTCATTTTTGGACTTCTTCGTGCAAGAGTGTTTGAAATGGGACCCCAACCCCGTTTCCGACCACGTCGTCCATTCAATCCTCGTATAGACGACACGTTCACCCTCAACATCTCTGTAATCTTCCTTCATCATCCAGCATCCCCCCTTCCTTCCCCTTTCTTCATGAATAGGTTCTTCTTGCATACCCCTAACCCTGATACGTATTTTCCTAAGGTCTTCATAACCGTTAATTTCATACAGCATACAGCCTTACTTTTCCAGCGTTTCCACCTCACACCTTCAGAGTCGTCTGACCGAAACTGGAACGTTAGTAATATGAATTTATCATAAAGCTTAACGGTCTTTCGCTCGGCCGAAGGGGTGTCTTATTGGTCTCACATGTTGAACCAGGACATTTATGGCTCATCCACATTTCCCCCTCCCTTTGACCCTCCCCCCCTTTCCAACCCCTTGCCCCCTTCACACACACACCACCACCACTACTGCACACATATCTTCTTATGATCTATTGGACATAGTGCCCTGATCTCCTCCGTATTTTCTCCCCCCTTTTGAGTATGCTCCTTGCTGTAGCTAGTCGTGTCGCATAGTTTTCTCTTTTGGTCGTCTGCCCATATACACATTAAGCTGACGGTTTCAAATTAGTATCATATTATGAAGTTTTCATTTTTCCTTGGTCCGATCGGATTAAGCGCCAATGAATTGAAACGACGCTGTTGTTGCGGTCAGTATCCAAATATATTGAATTGGCGTTTATATTTTTTTTCTAGGCTTCATGTAACATGAGAATTTGGTTGAAGGACTTATTGAGAAATGGATTGGGAATTTTCACGCCTCCTCGTGAGCTCCGGCATAAGGCTAATTTGGTTGTCCGTCTGTTGTTCTCTCGGATCTCTCCAACATTGTACCTACGGTTCCTCGTGTGAGACGTCGTGACGAACCGTGAGTGCCACTGAGCATCGAGAGCTATTGAGCTAACGTAGATGGTCCTTCCCCTATTTTACTCCTATCCGTTGGGGGAACTGTTCTGCTCTCCGTTCGATTTGCTCAAACCAACCCCCCACCCTCCGGTAGTACTTGGTGAACACGGAACAATTCGAAATTCGTCCGCTTGGGTCTTCCGTAAGAGAAATCATCCAAAGCTATGTCTTCGAAGCAAGTAGCCGGTCAGCGGGTGCAGCAAGTTGTTTCTCATCTCACCCCTTCCGATCATAATCCCGTCGGTAAGATGGAGTCCCTGTTCTAGTTCCATTCTCCTCCCCCTCCCCTTGTTTTTTTTTTGGGTCTACGTGTACATGCATGGCTGGCTTTGGAACCAAGCCTTGTAGAACAGATAGCGCGATATTGGCCGCCAGCGTGTTAAATACAAATTTTGAGGGATTTTTAACTGTGCCAGTGGGTAGCCGAACGCCCGTCAAGCGACGTCAACATTCCAAATTTTTCAATAAAATTCACTTTCCCTTTGTAATAATTCCAGATATCCTCTCCGTGTGCCATTGTGCAACGAAAAAAGTTCTTCCCAACTTTCTTCACTTATACTCGATTTTCACGCTTTTCACCTCTCTTGCGCTTTCACATCCTTTTTTCTTCCTCGATCCCGATCTTAGACTGACTAGTCATGTCTGACGACGTAGGAACATGGCAAAACGTTCCCCTCGCACCACCAGATAGGTCTGTCCCATTTCCTCTTCCCATCTCAACACCTAGAGACTGACGATCTTTCAATTGACTCAAACTTCCAAACAACTTGACTTCTTCGATTGGATTCGATCGGGCTTTCTCCTCGGGACGATGATGTGAAAACGAATATAGCATCTTCAAGCTCACCGCAGCGTATAAAGCTGACACGTTTGCTCGCAAGATCAATGTTGGCGTAGGTGCTTATAGAGATGATGATAATAAACCTTGGGTCCTTCCCGTCGTCAAGAAGGTGTGTACTCCTTTTCGATTGGCCGGGGGAGTTTGGACGAGTCTTTCTTTCGTATGGTCAGCTACTAACCGGACAACTTCGCCCTCGTTTGCATGCAGGCAACTGAAATCTTGTTGAATGACCCGTCGCTCGATCATGAATACCTTCCGATCACTGGTCTGCCGGAGTTTACAAGCGCTGCGGCCAAGCTCATCCTTGGTGCCAGCTCGCCGGCTATTGCTGAAGGTCGTGTGACTAGGTTCGTCCAAGGCATTTACGTTTTTCCATTTGCCGTTGCTTCCTTTGCAATCCCATCTCCATCGCGGCGAGTTGCATCTTCCGCGAAGTGGCGCGCGGCACCCAGTTGTACTTCTGCCGATAAATGCCACCTGGCTATTCTTCAGTGCGCTAATATCTTTCGTGGCATTTGTGTCCCTAGTGTGCAGACTATTTCAGGAACGGGTGCGAACCACCTTGGAGCACTCTTCTTGTCTAGATTCTACCAATGGAATGGTGAGGCCATCATTGGATTGAGTAGCCCAACATGGGGTACGTTCTTTTATTCCATCAAGGTCCCTTGGGGCTTTCTCCAACACTTCCACACTTCCATCAGCCAACCATCACGCAATCTTTAAGAATGTTGGCATCAAGCCAATCGATTATCCCTATTACGACCCACGTACGATCGGTCTGGACTTTGAAGGTTTCCTCTCGGCCCTCCGGAATGCCGTCCCACGATCTGTATTCCTCTTGCACGCATGCGCACATAACCCGACCGGTGTAGACCCCACCGAAAAGCAGTGGGAAACCATAGCCGATGTCTTCCTCGAAAAAGGCCATTATGCTTTCTTCGACTGCGCATATCAGGGATTCGCAAGTGGCGATTTGGATAGAGATGCCGTTGCCGTTCGGTATTTCGTTCAGAGGAAGGTCCCCCTGCTTGTGTGCCAGAGTTTTGCGAAGAATGCTGGGCTGTATGGAGAACGTGTGGGTGCACTGCATGTCGTGGCAGCCTCGCCCGATGAGGCGGCCCGTGTGAAGAGTCAACTTTCGGTTCTCCAGCGGAGCGAGATTAGCAATCCTCCATCACATGGTGCTCGCATTGTGCGTAGTGGCGAGGATTTTGGCTTTTGATGGTCTTGGGGGGCGGGGCTGATGACTAGTTACAGGTATCCTTGATACTGAACAATCCCGATCTATTCGAGGAGTGGAAGCGAGATATCAAGACGATGGCGCACCGCATCATCAACATGCGCCACGAGCTTCACGGTCTTCTCACTCAGGAGTTCAAAACCCCTGGAAACTGGGATCACATCATCAGCCAAATCGGAATGTTCTCGTACGTGTCACTGGTCTTTGTTTCACTTATTCGACGGCGAAAAATCAATTTCTCCTTCCACAAGGTTCACTGGGCTCAATGTCGTGCAGAGCACGGCTCTCGTTGAGAAAGCGCGTATATACCTTACCTCAAATGGTCGTATTTCCATGGCGGGGTTGAACTCGAAGAACATTCGATACTTTGCTGAGAGTCTTGATAAGGCTGTTAGAGGAACGCTGTAGTGTCATTGTGCTAATTTTTTCTTTTCGTTCCAACGATTGTTCCAGCTCGTTTAGAACTTACCCGTCGGTAATTCTGTTGTCTTTATACAGTAGAAAGTCCCCACAGTAGTAGAATCCAAGGTTCAGCGACGTTTGGAATCGGACAACACATGGTTGTCCATTTGTCACGGTCAGAGTCACATCGATCTCGTGAGCATGAGTCGCGAACTCAAAGCCAACGACAGTGCCCAGATGCTACGAGGGCTCATCTACATCACACTCGTTATGTCCATTGCCTTAACCATTCGCACTCTCAGCACAATCCATTCTCGTTCTTTTTCTGTCGGTGCTCTGCAACACCTCGACATGCGCACATCCAACATTACCGCAACACCGTTAAGTGGAGCCCCTGATCTGATTCTTGGTTCCTATAACGCTATACGCGCTGAACTCGGTCTGAAAGCCGCACCGACTCTGACTAGATGTAATATTGTCTCTTCTGCACACTCACCTCGCGAGGACAAACTGGGTTTCTCTTCGCGCGCGCTTATCGCTCCCCTCTTGTCATCCTCTTCGTCAAGCTCGAAATTACCGCATCATCCAGCTATTATTCGCGTTCGAAAACGCTCGTTACTCTCTCTTGAATCATCACAGGCCATTTCAACGCTCTCCCGCCGGTCCACTAAACTACGTTTCGCTCGGGGACTATCTGGCACCCAGACTGAACCTATCGAGGCTTCTTCTTCTTCTCCTGTTCCTCATGGAGAAACTGAGAAACGAGTATCCCTCCAAAATATCCTATCTTCCTTCGAGCGAGCGTATCGAACTGCGAAAGCCGCTGAAGCAAAGGCGGGCAAGAAACACTCATCAGTGAGGCGGAAGAAAATCGCCGGGATGAAGCTAGCCGTTCTTGGTGGATCAGGGTCAAAAAGAGTCATCCCCGCGAGGGTGCCAAGAGCCGGAAGAGGGAAAGCGGGTCGAAATGATTAAAACCTTTGGCTTTTGCAACAACGGGTGAGTTGTGTGTTCAAAACTAATTTATATAGTTTAACCGACACCGAGAGGTTGTTGAAATCAGATTGGGTGGCATTATTGGTTTTCCCTGATTGATAGGCTTAGTGCCACTGTCCATTTCCAAGGGATTTTCATACTCCTTTGTCTCGCATAGATATCCTGTGGCGGATGTATGGGAGTATGCTTGTATGTAGAGTATCCACCGTTGTGTGAGTCCGCCTGGTTGTGGCTGTTCGGGTCACGTGTTGACAAAGTTGTCAGAAATCCTGTCAGTGTTACTCGCATACAGAGTAGCGTTTAGTAAGAAGCTAAAACCACGGAAATTGATTTATTTTGTCTTTGGACGTTATACTTTGTACGTGATGCTCTTTTCCATTTTCGTCTCTTTCCTGGTCACGTTCTTTAATTCTACATGTTCTCAACCCACTTGAAGCACTCCAACATGACAGTGGCCAACGTCAGGTTTCACCGTTCAGCCCTACATGCAATCTGCCACTCGCTGCACGCCCTCTTTTTCGTGGGCATACGGAATTACTTAGTAATCCACTTCTTCCCTCGCGCCCCGTGGGACCCACATTGCCCCCTCCAAGGAGGAAGCGATTGAGATCTCACATTCGGCAACAAGGAATTCATCATCTATGTAGACGGCTCTAGAACGGACAATGTCACGGCAGCAGGAGCGTACTTGCCATTCATAGGCGCTCCAGTTCTCAGAGACGACCCTCCATTCTGTCTACGACAGCAAGCTAGTGGGTGTTAGACATCACGAGATCTCCCCCCGACACAAAGTAGGTTATCATCTACCTAGATAGCCAAGCTCCCACCACAGCTTTCGCGCGTCCACTAGGGTGTTAATCGGGCTAACACAATAATTATAAAAACTCTAAACGAGTGCTAAAACCTACACACATCCCAGCCTACGAATCCACCTCGAGTGTGTCCTAGGGCACCGCAACATTCTAGGCAATGAAAAAGCGGACTTGCTCGCCAAAAGGCCACCAGTCCCAATGTCCCCCATTCCCCTTACATGCGTGCCCCTCTAGCGGCAACTTGCCAGATGCTGGACTCGAACAACGAGCCCTCCACCACAAGCTCGGTGTTCCACTGCCGTGTCCGTGATAAGCAAAAATCTCGTAGATTTATCACTGCGCCCCTACTAAGGGGCACATCCCCCATCCTCTTCCGGCTACGATCCGCGCATGTAGTTTACACGCCTATCTAGACACGTGGACTCGCCCAATTCCTCTCTATGTTCAGAGCCTGAATTGCTAGAGCATTCTCTATTCACCTGCCGTCGTTTCTGCCGCTAGCGCCAAAAACTCAAGAGGGCTACCCTCCTAGCCTCCGCCAATGATAAATCCGTCCCAAATTGCTCTCTCACCTGAAGATCCTTCTGCACACCACCCGGTTCGTCCGCAAAACGGAGCGCTTCCCCTTGTATGCAACGCGATCTGGCCTGCCTCTCCTTTCTTGTAAACTTCTCTATCTTGCGTGGCGCAGAGCCAATCGAGCGAAGCGAGCACTCTGTTACTGTATAACGTTTTTAAACGCAAATTGTTTGTTTGTTTTTTAAAAACCCCCCAACAGTTAATGAGGTCAGATATTGTTAGAACCATGTTGGATAATACCCCAGGCTTAAAATTTTAATTGAATTTGGCTCGACGTCAATCCTATCATCAACAATTTTATCGATTATTCTACAGATGGCTCGCGAGATGGTTTATACATTCAAGGAAGAATAAGTGATACAAAAATGATGAGTTCTGGACGGCAATTGCATGGCATTGCAGCCATCATGCATATCTTGGGACAGTAGCTCAGTGTCTGCCAGTGAAAACGCGGAAAAGGACCTACTTTTTTGTCCACTCCTTCGCTGTAGCCTTGAATTTGCTTTCATTTTCTTTGAGTTCCTGTAGGGCCAGACCCTCGACGTGAGGATCCGATTCTCCGGTACAAGTGTGTAAACTCACAGCAGCGATATCAGGATTGAACGGATCATCGGGGCTCGGATGGCCAAGTTTGTCAAGTATCGTAGTGAGGACTGAAACGTGTGAGGAGACATAAAGAAGAGCAGCATATCAACTCCAGACCTTTGGACATAGTAATTGCAGGTTTCCACTTTAGTCAAAAATAAGGACCCAGAGAACGAGGCCAAAGAATGATGATTCTCACTTCATCCTTGAGCATGGGGAGGCAGATCGCACCCTCTTCGTTTATTCCCGGATGATAAACTTTGGTGAGGAATTTTACCTGAAATCAATGGAGTGAATCACACGCAGCCCTGCCGCATGGGGGCCCAGATCGCACGTTACCTCAGGGGCCTTGAATGGGAACGTGGTGTCAAACTTTACGTCCAACGTGAATTTTCCGCCTTTGTATGGGCTGTCCGGCTATAGTGAGTCTGAGATCGAAGAAAGGCGCCGAACACGCTGGAGACACGAACTGGCCCCTTCATGGACACTTTCCACGACAAAATGTTGTCTTCCTCGTAGTCAATGGACACGCCCTAAAAGGCATTAAAGTGAGCGGTAGAATTGGAGTCAAGCATCTAAGCGGCTCCTAACGGGAATGGGCTTGTTATTCAGCTCACTGAGTTCCTAAAAGACACAGTAATGCCGGAATGGCACGTAAGTGAACGGGCCAGGACGCCCCGATCTGCACAACACCTTTTGTATTCTCCTCACTGCTGTCATCGTTGGTATTGATGGAATGGGATGTCCACGGAAGCAAATCAAACCAGGCCAGTTGCATCGCCATCTTAGCGCCTCGGAAAGTGATGGAGGCGGTCATGTTATCCGTGCCACACGAGACTGCCGGGACAACGGGATACCTTCAATCGCTAGAAGAGTCAAGCGAAACTCAGTTGGTAGTTCAAAAAAAGCGGAAGGCGTCTTCTCTGTTCGAAGCGTCGGCCCCTCGTTCATCCTCGCCATTGGCAGCGTCCTCCAACTTGCAGTTATCCTCAGAATTTAAAGCAGAAAGCATACCGCCGCTCAACGCTATTGCTAGAGCGCCAGTTTTTTCCCCTACTACTGAGCCTGGATTCTTTACGACGCAGGACGTCCCGGCGGGTCGGAACTATCGGTACATTCCTTCAAAGGTGTCTCCTACATACAATCCATCAGCTGGGAAAGGAGAGCTTCCTTACTACCGTACGTCCGAGTCCCCGCCCACCGGGATCGTGCGCGTTAGTTGGGAAGATCGAAGTCCCTTTGTACGTGTCTCTGAGGATGGTCTGTCTCTTATGGGCCATAAAGGGTTCCGAAGCGCGCGTTTGAACGTCCCCATAAGGGAAGGCCAATGGTACTTTGAGATTGAGATACTCAAGTGTGATGGATCAACTGGCTCACACGACCCTTCCACATCTTCACATGTGCGCGTCGGTTGGGGTCGCCGCGAGTCTTCTCTGAATGGCCCTGCAGGTCTTGATGGATACTCGTACGGCTTTCGCGATAAAACTGGTGAAAAAATACATTTATCGAGAACCCGACCATATGGGAAGCCTTACCAAACCGGTGATATCCTTGGGTTATACATATCCCTGCCTAAACATCGGAAGGCAAATTCCAATGATCCTCTCGATCCAGCCCGTGTCGTCCCTAAGCGGACACCTATTCAATACAAAGGACAATCGTACTTTGAATCGTCTGAATACCTTCCCTCCAAAGAGATGATTGCTCTGATGGAATCGACCAACCCGCTCAAAACCTCAGCAAATGGTGGACTTCCCCCCCCTCCTACCAAAAGTGGCCCTCTCGTTAAAAATAGTCCATTGAATGGCCTCACGAGGAAAAGGCCAGGGTCAAAACCAGTGCCGGCGCCAGCACCCAAAGTGGAACCCATGCGTCCCATCCCCACTTTGAAAGGTTCGGCTATCAACCTTTTCATCAACGGGGAGGATCAGGGTGTGGCATTCAGTGACCTCTACTCGTTTCTACAGCTGCGTCAGGAGCAAGAACGTGTTACAGGGAGCCGAACCCCTGCGTTCAAGGAAAGGGAGAATTTCTTCGATGATGGGACGCTTGGTTACTATCCGTTCATTTCGCTATTTGGTAACGCTAAGATTCGCATAAATGCCGGTCCAGCATTTTCAAACCCTCCGTCGGATGATTTTGTGGCGGGCACAGCCACCCCGCTTGCTGAGGACTCGGGGAGGAAGTGGCGTCCGCTGTGCGAACGTTATCCGGAGTATCTCTCGGAACTGCTGGCGATAGACGAGGAGGAAGAGCGGCAACTGAGGATTGCCAGGGCTGCAGCACTGGAGGCGGAGAAAGCCGAAGAAGCCAGGAAAGCGAAGTTGGAGGAGGCATGGAAGGAAGCTGAGAAGAGAGAGCGGAAAGGAACCCCTTCCCGACGTGTCGATTCAAAGGAGGGCACACCAGCCGCCGAAGGAAAGAGGAAACGAGGATCGGTTTCTCCTGCTCCCGAGCTTGTCTCTCGTTCTTCTCGATCCACCGCACCATCCCGACTTTCCTCGATCATCGCTCAGGACGTACCTGCAACAATCCCTTCAGCCGCTGAGGAAAGCGCTTATGCACTATTCTCGGGGACGTCCGTGCCTCGACCCGCCCAGCATTTACCTGAAGATGATTCCACACCTCCAGGCTGGCGGCGGGCCAGGCCCACAAGCCCTGGTCAAATACCCCGGCCCGTCTCACTTCCCATATCTTCCAGTTTTTGGAACGCCGAGGACTACGGTGCCTCATCTTTCGCCTCTTCCTACACCCCCCCACCACCAACCAATCTCCAATTACCACGATTGGATCGAACTATCTATGATCCCCCGTCCGCTTCAATAGCTCCGCCTCCAGTCCCCCGATATCCCTCCTATCTCGGCTACACCCGCGTGTTCGAGGAATCGCCATTGTCTGCCCCAGCTTACAATGCTTCTAGCGCATCGAATGTAAGCACCACCACAAACACAAACACATCTAACCTCGACCTCCCAAGCTCTCTCTCTCTGGCTCCTCTACGTCCCTCATCACTCAGCTCCTTCCCAACCTCCAGGGCACCGCCCTCGGCATTATTCCAACACACACTATCCCATTCCAATGATTCTCGACCCAACACACCTCCTCTATCTGTCTCGCGCCAGATGACAATTGAAGAGTACATGACATTACGGATATCTTCAACCTCTGCTGGGCCTTCAGCCGCTGGGTCCCCTTTACCTCCTCCTAGCAGCAGGGGAACTGATACGCCGCCTGCAGGACCTGTTCCACTACCCTCTGAACGGGTGTACCAAATTAGCTGTAGTGTTAGAGAAACAGCTGCGCCCATTGACGATATCCTCAAGCCGGATGGTCCAACTATTGACACATCCCTCGCACCAGGTACATCATCAATACCAGAGGTTTGATATGGAGACAAAGCGTATGTTACAAGCTGTACATTTTCATTTGTTTCTTACTAGACTCAAGATGGACTACTTGCGATGTAGAAGCATTATCTCTCCGAAATCCCAGGACACTCCTTGTAATGTACACGCATTAAATCTGTATCTTGTCCTTCTAGAGGTAGATGATTACCTGCACGCTGTATTACGTTGAAACTGACGCTGAATCCTACGTGATCTTCCCATTTGCTTCGTTGCATGGGAAGAATTGTCAGTCGGGGGGGTGGCCATATAACAGGAGGTTTAGGAAAATGATAAGTGATTTATTATGCCGTCGGAGCAGTGTTGAAGTTGTGCTACAGTGGTGTTCGTCTCATTCCGGTGTGAGGGGGAATGTACAGGTGGATCAACTGTTTGCTTTGTAAATTTTTATAATCTGCACATAAACGGTTTCTCACTGACAAGATGAACGCGATAATGTATTATACAAAGCGTTGAGGATTCACAATTCACTGGTTCATTCCTCTACTGTTTACATGGTGGACATCGCTGATTATCAACATTGGGGGACCCCTAGGCAGGATCCCAGCCTCTACTAAAGTAGAGGGGACCCCAAGGGGCCACCTCTGCACCATGTAGTTACTGATTTAGATTGGTTGGGGGCCCCCATAGTAGGGGACCCCTTAGGGTATGTATGGCAACGCAAAATCGAGGCCCTATTGGGCCTGGATCCTGGCTGATTGGGCTGGACATGCTGATCGAAAATCCGGTCACGCGTATGCCAGAGCTTCTCGGGCCCCTCTCCATTTTCCCAACCATATTTTCTCTCAGTGCACCAGTGCACGCAGTCAAACGCCCGAAATCTAGGTAGGTTGGATGGTAACCCCAGGACATTATTTTTTATTGATTGGATCACGGGTAAGCGGTGAGTGGCTCTGGCTCGCGCCTAAAGCTCAACGGAATCAATTTGGATGTTTTCATGGAGTTCACGTGCTCCGAAAGCTGGCCCTGCCTTGAGGCAGACACGAACAATCTCCCAAGCCCGCTTCATCTTCCGAATGCGACCCTGCGTATCACATCTTTTACATCCTAGTGCCTCTGAGTAATATTCTGTAACGGGATCATTAGCCGAAACCGCGTTTGACAAGAATGCACCGTTTTAGGTGAGTTGGTCCGGAGGTTCATTGCAATGCGGCGCAGGAAGGCACTCAATCGCTGTGAACACGTTGTGACCCTTTATCTTCTCTTATTTTCTCTTCTGGGACAGGCGAAAGTCAGAGACAAAGCGTTCAGCTGCAGTGCCTGGTGCACCAGTCCCAGCGTCACCTCAAGCTCGTGCACCTCCACCAACTCTACCTCCGGCCTCCGATTTTCGTACGTCCTTAATCTTGCCTAGGTACTTATCCCTTCGTCAATTTGCTTGGGAGCCAGAGATACTGGACTAACGAGACCTTGAACTTACTCCTTTCAACAAAGTTTATCGCGTCGCTTCACCATTCTTCGTAATTCTAGTGGGGAACCTTTATCCCCGGCCCAAGTGCGAAGCAGGCTTGCTGAGCAGAGGTTGCGTGGGCTCGCCAATCACATCACCGAGGAGGAGGAGGACATGATGATTGAAGCGCTGGAGCACATGCGTTCTTCCACCTCTAATGCCAGCACCGACGCGTCTCTTTCGGCTTCACAGTCTTCCACGACAAATCCTGACGGGTCTTCTTCTTATTTTGCGGATTCTGACGGACCGCGCTCGCCCTCGTTATATCCCCAATCGTCATTTTCGTCCTCGCAGCTCGGGGGGCGGAAACTTTCCGATAACAATCTTTTCGCATCAACAAACCGACTTCGAGAGGAGGAATACCTTAGAACAGTGGTGCGTTCTAACAGGAACGCCAGGGCCGGAGCAGCGTCTGGTCCAGTAACTCCACCACGCGTACGTAACATCCAGGAACGCACTTCCGAGTCCCCACAAGACTCGAACAAGCACTCCATGGCTCTTGTCTTACCTACTCCGAACGTGTCACCCAGAGCAGTAACGGATCCCGCAGACCCGTTCATTGTCGGAAATAGCCGTCTAAAACCTGAGCGGCCAGTTACTCCCGGACTCGTTCGACGCGCTTCCTTAGCTTTGGCTCAAGCTCTTCGTGATCTCGAGCGAGAAATGGGTGCATTACAAGAAGGGAAAGAGTCGCCGGAGATACCTGAATTCGATGATGATGATACAGTCTTAGCCCCCTTTCAATCCACTGCGTCCGCGGTGAAGAGCGGCTCTGAAAATGTCGTAAGTCTCCATCAATAGTATGTTTCGTGCCTGTCCTCACCACGTTAGGCTACTGCCATTGACGCCTCTCCCAACTATGTGGCTGATGGAACTCGGTCAAGCGCCGTTTCGCCGATAGCGAACTCTCCGCGACATCAACGTATGAACAGTGCCTCTCCAGTCCCAAACACCGAGGCTCGTGTCCCAGGCTACATACCCGGTATGCACCGTCCTATCACACCGATACGCGATCGCGACTCGGACGTTGAAGAGTTTCCCACCTTTTCCAACACCACGACACCTCGGGCGTCGAGTCCCATATCGCCTTTACGAACCTCAAAAGGCGGAGTAAACTCTCCCAGCCGAAGCTATACCTACCCCCGTCAGCGGTCCAACACTGGATCATCTCAAAATATATCGTCAACGGTCACGAGTGAAACTGTCACTCCGACTACACCCTACTTCGGCTCGAGGGACCGGAATCCTCACACTTCAGTATCTGCTATTCCGCACAACCTGCCCTCAGTGCGATCGGGCAATCACTCATTATCTTCCTTCCCAAGCAGCTCGCCGCGCATCAATGGATCAATGAATGACCTGCGAAGCTCACCACGGACTGCAGCCCAAGGAACTGCACCGTCTGCTATGTTTGATATGTCTAGTCAACATCGGGGTGCTGGGGATGCATCTCCAAATGGCTTCTCTAATGAGAGGGGAAAATCACTCGATCCTACTCAGTCGTTATCCTCGCCGGCTCTACCAGGATCCGGTTGGAATGGCTTCCCGACGCAACGGGATGTCGATACCAGCCGAGGTGCAGGTATGAATGCCACCGCTGCTGTGTTAGCTTCTCTCCGAGAACATAACGTGACTCCTGTTTCTTTGTGCTCCCCAACCCGTTCCCCTGCAGGAGACAAGGTCATTGTATCTACATCAAGGCCTGTGAGTCCTGCTATGAAGGGAACGGGGACGGGTGGACATTACAGCCACACCCCAAGCTCCTCAGCGTCTAGCGCCTTCTTTCAGGGTGACAAATTTAGGAGGCCGAGCGAGAATGAGGACACGAGGTCGTTATCACCAAGTGGACTTCCTTTTCAACGCAACCTGGTCCTTTCGCCCCTCCTTAACTCTTCTCATTCTTCGCTCATTTCTGCTGGTTCCAGCTTCCACTCTGGGGAAGGGAATGACCCTGTTAATTTCAAGAAGCTTTACGAGCTGGACACTCTTGCAAAGGACGATTTGGAAGATTCGGATCCGACATTAGTTAACTCCGATGATTCTGAGGAAGTCCTTGAGAAACTGGCAGGCCTTCGTGCAGCAGACATAACCGCCATTCACCAAAGGCTTGTTGAAGCAGGGCTGGGTTCGCGCACCGACTCCAGCCGCTCGTCATCTGTGAAGCAAACCACGCCGCCACTAGTGTCAACACCTGCGTTGACCCCCTTTTCAGGGCGAACCCTGACTCTAGCACCTGATCCTGCTGTCCCGGCGTCAGCCCACCCCCCGGTCAGCCCAACCATCCTGCAGGAGGACCCAACCAAGGATATCATTGTATGTTCTCTATTCACCATCAAACCCACTAAATAACTGAACCGTTCCCTCAAACGCCAATGCTCAGACCTATAGGCCCCCGAGTAGAACTACTCCTTCGCCTGCTCCGCCGTCGATGAAATCGCGTACCCCCGACTTATTCAAATCAACCGAGCGCTCGCCCACTCCTGCTTCTGACCATGCCTCGAAACAAAATGCGCTGCTGAGGTCTGTGATGGACAGAATAGGGGGCTCTCCATCTTCGACTCCTCCACCTGCTTCTCAGGAACCAGTTTCTCGGATTCCACTTTCTCCTGATTTTTCGCCCGCGTCGGTGTCCACGACCGACACAGGATTTCAGAAGCAGCGGGAGCTCACCGATGCGTTATTCGGCGATGCTGCGCGGCGCGCTGCAACGGCGGAGACTTTAGACAAGGTAGATGACGACACGGTACTCCTTCAGGACGTTAGGCCGAAAAATAAAGCGTCGGAAAATTTCTCCTCTCCATCACTCTCTCCTTCACCGTCGCCACCCGAGAATCAGATGTCGGTGGCTGTGGAAAAGCCACAAACACAGTTGATTATTGATGTAGAACGTCGGGCAGCTGCTGCAACAGCAGCTTTGAAGTCGCCTTCTGCACTTAATGTCGCCGAAGACTACAATTTGGCGCGTCGACGGCCTACGAAGCGGATCAATACGTCTAAGATTTCGAATCCCCTTCTTGTATCGTCTACAACCAGCGTGGATGCCGTGCCGATCATGTCCCCATCGATGGTTTCTTTAACCAATGGTTCGCCAAGCTCGTCCTTGTCCAAATTCAGTTTCAAGCGACTGCGAGGGTCTTTGCGCAGCAAGGCACCCAATGGCGATGAGGTAACACCATGGACAGATGCCAGTGGCTCCCTGCCTGCGCACAAATTTTCAAGTTCTATCTCACACGTCAACCAACTTTTGAAGACCCCTCAATCACTTTCTGTCACTGCGTCACTCGCACAAGTTCAGACTTTGCCTCCAGTTTCTGCCAGTCCTCGCTCTGGTCTGAAAGGGTTTATGTCGCGGATAATGAAAGGCAGGAAGGATGTGGGCCTTGCAACCGGGCGCGAACTTGTTAAGACATCTGAATCCATGTCACCGTCAGAGCCTTCCCTTCAAGATTCAAGTTTGGAGCGGATTATGCCAAGCCGTATTGTTCCGGACTCCATTTCCAACCGTCCAAATCCTATGGCTTCCGCCAGGACGAATGAAGTCTCAGCAGCTATCCCCGTCCAGCAGCACCCCACAATTGTGGATGACCCAAGACCAACATCCCCTCCCCAGGACGAAGCTGCTTTGCACCATTTTATGCAAGCAGGTGCAATTTTGGGCCTGTCTCAGGATGTGTTGAACGATTTTCTCTCAAGGTCTGGCTCAATCGCTACTCAGAGGTCAATGAGGAAAGCGACGCCACCACCTGATCCCGGCGATCCTGTATCCGCTGCCTCGCCGAACGACTCTACACTCGCATCCCGGAAGATGCCTGACTCTCAGTCCTCTACTACAAAATCGACTACAGCAGGTGCCAATATAGGGCCTCATAACTCAGCGCAGGACGCGACGCCTGTTGTGGTTCGCCGCACTATTTATATCCCACAAGAAAGTAAACCAGCTCTATCCCCAGATCTCCAAAATGTGGTGGCTCGTAAATCGTCTCTGAAGCAAAACCGTCACAATCGGTCCGCAAGTTCAACGTCAACGCAGTCTGGTCGATCGATATCTGACCGTGCACCAACACCACCACCGTCACGGTCCGTACGTCATCGTTCCGTGGAAGTCTCGCCACCTGTTCCCTCCCTCCCATCGTCACTCCCGCGTGACTCACAAGTCACAGCCTCTCGTCGAGTTTCCAACCAGTCTGCTACGTGAGTTGGTCGCTGCCTAATTTTTTCTAGTTCTAAGTGTATTTATCCAGGCATGATGCGCGCAATAGCAATGGCAATCCTACATCGTCCTTTTCTTTCTCCTCGTTAGCTCCTACCTCTACCAACCCCTCCCTTTCACATCAGCTCAAGCCAAAAATGGATCCCCTGGAGCCTGCCGCAGGGCCTGGTCAGGCTCTGCAGTTAGTCGAGTATTCCAATGGCCAAGTGGTCTGGTCTGTAGTGGATGGTCTCCGCGCAGGCGCCGATGATGATTGGGACCTCGAAGACACTTTCGATGACACTCAATCATTCACCGAGAGGGACCCGCGACATAGAAGCCAAATTTCTTCAGTTCGATCAGGTGACTTCAATGATCCCGTGCAGCTTTTCTTCAAGGAACACAAAAGGATGCCTTCCAAGGAAAGTAACAGTTCGTATATTTCCAGGCGCAGAGTTTTGCCCCCCTCTCGAACAGCGGATCCTCGCCCTGAAACAAAGGTACGTAATCCCCCTCGTCATGCGTGATGATATGCCATAACTTCGCTTTACAGGTGTTTTTCAGTTCCGCAGCCGAGATTGAGAAGCTGATAGAGAGTATGTCGCGGGGCATCGATGCCGGGTCCTTCAACGTAGTGCCACACTCACCCACACCCCAATCATCGCCTGGGTTTCCCTTGCAGTTATCTCGACATCCGGGCCCAGACAATTCCGGCTCGCCACCTTCAAGTCACCAAATTTAGTTATATAAGATTCAGTAGAATCCCCGACCCCCCCATCCTTTTCTGTGTTGTTTCGCCTTAAATCTGTTGGGCTGACCCGACACTACACACGATCTTTGTCTGTTATAATCTCCATCTCCGTTCTCTTGGGACGTTGACGTATTCCCTCATGACTTACCCGGATGACCCATACGATCTTGTCACCTAATAACATACTTCGTTGGATGTCGTTTGCAGCTGTAGCCTTTCATCTTAAATCACTAATCGCATCGGTATCATGCCTTATGAAGGTCCATCCACCGACGAATTGTTATGCTGATGACGGCAAATAAAAGGAGAGTGTCGTCATGCGACCAGTGGTATTGCATGTACGCTATCTGGAGATCAGTATTGAGTGAAGGGATAAGGCTACTGCGTACGGTATAGATCATCAGTTTCAAAAGGGCCGCCTATGAATTCGGCACAAGCCTTCCCAGAGGGGACTTCGTATAACTATTTCGATAAAAACAGAAAGAGAAGTCCAAGGTTCAGATTAAGAGCGAACAGGATGAGCACCCATCTTACGGCGAAAGTTAGCGGCTGGAGTGTGCTGCGGCACCACTCGAAGCAACGTCCATCCCCAGGGATGTAGAATCGTGAGCAGCTGTCGAATAAAAATCCAGATGCATGAGTGCGGAGAATGCTGGGGGGGTGAGGCATTTTGCCTACTCTGATGTTGACCCCTCGCGGAGGAAATGAGCCATTGGGATTTGGGTGTCATTGGACACACATAATCCAAGTTGTGTAAGGCTTGCCCACCAAAATCTGCGTCAAGATCAATAATCAGTACCGCTCCGAGGTAGTGGAATGATCTATAGGCTCATATACTCCTAGTCGCATTGCCGAGGTTAAAGGACTTACTCAGCAGAAGGCCCATCATGACCTGGTCGAATAAACGATTTTGTTTGCACCGAGTATCCCGCAGGAGTAGTTATTGAGTATTCGATTTTCCTTTGGATATGGAATCCTTGGTTGGTATCGTATACAACTTCCTTGCCCCAGATTGCCGTTTCACGAGGGTCGCTACCTGGGAAGAACCAGATTAATGTGAGTGTTCTGGGTCGATTGCGGCGCTCGCAGCGTGGACTCATGTCCGCCACGGGGCCAACGGGTCTGAGGCTAGGGTTTAGGGAGACCTACTGGTCCAAAATAGCAAGTTTCCATTAAAGACTATGGCTGGTGTAGAGCCTGTGCTACTAGGGGATGTACCCTCTTGCTCGGGTACCACGTAGATGTTCGAAACTTCATTTGAGTTCAAGACAGGCGTGTAAATAAGCGCCGATGACGATAACTCCCACGGCCCAGGTCCGCTGAGAGGATCCTGGTCTGACATGACGTCGAATGGCGTTCCCGGTGTTAGGCCGAAGCAGAGCGCTCTGGGGATTTGTAGCGCGCCAGCGCCCAGGTTGGGATGATGTCCAAGTCGAAAGCAGTAGATGAGGAGAGACGCGCTGCTTACAGATGGTGGAAGGTTAGGTCTGCGGGCGCTTATGTAGTTGCCTCCGTTCTTGTGATGGGGAAAGATGCATGAATCGCTTAACTGCATTGGATTGGCCAGGGCTGAGGCCCAAACTGGCGAAAGGAACCTCGCATGCAGCTGTGCTGCAATTTTGCCCAGCCCAGAACTTCGTCTGCTCTGTACTGAACCCCATATCCCAACCTCACAATTCCGGGGAAGTATTCGCAATTTCTCAGCTAATGCTTGATGCGTAGGCAATCATGTGTGGGCAGGAAAATGAATAGCGTGGACGATCCCTTCGTATCATCAACCTGTTCGGATAATACATGCGTGTCGAAGAAAAACAAGTGATGCATGTGTGATTTGAGAAAATTGTGGCAAAAGTATACATGAGATGCAGTGTCGCACACGGCAGTTTACTTTTTAGTTGGTCACTGAGAATGTAGACAAGATCGAACAAGTCGGCCTATTGGCCAACCTTGAAGAGGCGTCGCTTAGCCATCCTCCGAGTGATGTGGACATTACTCTGCCCTTGATCTCGTCCTCCGAACGCCAACACAACAGATTCTGCAGAAAGAAAGCTGAATGCAAGGACATCAGAAATTGGGCACCGATTAAAATACCTTCCGCATCACGCGCAATGCCTTGTTTCCGGATCGCCAACGCAGCCTTGGCGAACTGGAAACGTTGGTGGTCATTACCTGAAAGTCAGCGATATAGGATCAAACTTTGTCCTTGAGGAAATTGAGTTTTGGTCACACACCAATAGGAAATTCAGGGGATTCTATAGCTGCCTTGAAATACTCGAAAGGAAGTTGTGAGTAGACATTTACCAAAACTTCCGACACGTTCGACCCAGCAGCTGCCAACTGCCCTGGAAGTGCAACAACGAGGAAGTGGAACACATCTCCCCGTAGACGTTCTGCATAGGGTCCAAATATCGCCGATGGGGGAGGTGCAGGCGGATGCTGGGTATATCCCGACCATTGTGTGTACCCATTCTGGAAGTGGTGATTGTGGGGGATACCGTTCTCGTTTGGCGTTGGAAGGGGAGATGCTGATCTTGGAGAAGAGGGCGCAGAAGAGAACGGTATGGTCGACAGAAACTCGACCCAATTGTGTGCATTTTCAAGGGTAATCGTGGTTTTGCACAGTTCGTAAGCGTGTGCGCACAGCTCCTCCATGCCGCCCAGAAGACAAGCCGTTGCAAGGACAGACCGCGCGTTGGCAGGAGTTACAAGGTTCATAGAAGCACTGGCATACAGGTATCCGAGGGCTATCGCAAAAGCCTTACGATGCGACGTCGCTTGATCAGGAATTCGCTGACAACGTTGGCGACGCTTACCTCTTCAGTAATATGAGGAAATTGTTCGAGTGGTATGTAAATCTGCTTGGTTGGTGTTGATCGTATCAAGTGGTCGAGGTATGGTGAACGTGACAAGATTAGGCAGTGGAGACGGTACGATCGGTTCAGGACAATCTAGTGGGGCCGGACACGGAATTAGTCCTGCGGAGCGTCTATAGTAGGAGGAACCCCACAAGTTGGATATCGGCATAGTTCTTGGGCAGAAAAGTCAGCGAGGCAGGTGCGGGAATGTGAATAAGTACTCACGCCTTGTTGAAAGCCTGACTGATAGATGTGCGCAACAATGGAGGCGTCATGCTCTTGCTGAGTTGCTCTGAACCAGTAAAGGGATCATTATAAATGAGAAGAGATATGGATGCTGTAAAGTTAACTCAACTGGAAAGCGGTGAAAGCGCCGTTGTCTAGCAAGGAACTGGCGCTAGCTCTTTCGCCTGATGAAGAAGAGGCCGCTTTCCTGCTTGGACCAGCGTCCGTGTGACCATTAGTGCTGGTTCCATTGCTTGCAGATGCCATGAGAAGCTGCAGGTTGTCCGAGAATGTTGGTCGTTCGGCGATGTGGATGTCTGAAGAGGACCCCAGTCAGTAAAAATTGGATCCGTGACGGCCACAACATCTTATAACCTAGAATAATTATGGATGTTTCAATGGACTCCCCACCATGCACAAGCCCTCGCGGCGCGTACAGGAGCATCTCGTACGCCAGTAGGAAGCGGGCACGATCTCCGGAATGGCTCCCATCAGAGCACGTACAGCAGGTGTGTGATTCATGCTGAAGCGCGTCACATAATCGAATTGAGAATAGAATTTTGGCTTCGTACGTGGATTAGGGACGACCTTTATTGCTCAATGCTGACTGCCAATCATTTGTGAAGGACCGCGAAAGTTCTGATGACTCCAGTCCTGATGTAAAACGCCTCCGTATTGGGAGTTCCAGCTCAAACTGCAGCTCTCGAAGTCAAAGTCCTCCCGTGACAGCCCATCCATGTAGCCAGCCATCGCAAAGCCCAGATGTAATGGACGTGAGTACTTTCTTGAATTCCACTACCACTGCGCTCAATTAAGAATACGACTAAGATGGCTTCTGACGAATTGACGTCGACATATTGCCGTCCCGCGCGTCAAGTTGGTACGCGTTTGCAGAGTCTTTATATCCCTTTTTGCCCAATAGGGTCTGCCCCGATTCAGGATACTCCGGCGGGGATTCGTTCACCTCCCAATTTCATACGCCATGACGCTCCATCGTCTGCCGTGCATCCTCAATGTCTTCAACCCGGAGAAACCCCTTTAATCGCATTCACGAGCTCATACGACGACAACAGGATCCCAGTTACTGCACAATCTGCTATTCCCACCCTAAACCGCAAAACACGAATGACCATGGGTCCCAGGGCCGATTGCGAAAAGTGCCGTATGAAGGCCCCGGCCATTGGATGCATGTAGATCAATATTCATGATGGACATTATTTCACTAAAACTCGATTCTGTGCTTCCGTGATCTTCAACCTTATCCCCAAACTGAAGGCGAGTTGCACCAGATATATCAAGTCAATGCGTATGTGGTGTACTTGTGGGGACATGCACTTCAATGGTTTGTGGTTGACGAACACGCATCAATGCCCCAATGTGCGTATAACCATCAGATTTAAGCGCTCCATGAAAAGGTGTCGGACTCAAGACGCTCTGTTTTTCCTTCGTGTCTTCTTGGCTCTCCGCCTTTTTCGCTCACGCTCTCTGGCCCATTTGATCTGTTCCTGACTGAGACCGGGGTTGTACATCTGATCAAGCTGCGCCACAACATCATATAGACGTCTCCATGCGGCGACTGTAGAGCACGTACCCGTTCTTGAAGCAATCGTCTGGCTAGTTTTCTATTTGTCTCCAGTGAGCGCGTTTCTTGGCAGGTTACTCGAATCCCTGTCGGTTTGTGGAGCAGGGCGACCTAGCACAGAGGAACGCATTCTTTTCCCACCCAATTCAGTGGATCTGGTGCCTTGCTCACATTAGAACGGGTTTTATTGATGGCCTGGCCTCCGGGACCGCTGCCTTAGAACGAAGTGATGTTTAAATGAGGCATTCACGCATTAAACTCCTACGCCTCACCCCTCACGAATGACTCTTCGATGTCTGTTTCATACAGCTGAGGAATTTTGCGTTCCCTGTGAGCATTGAGAAGTTGCTTCAATGTCACTGGGCGAATATTGTTCAATGAATCGATTCGTTGGCTGCGCGTGCTATCTAGGCTAAACGGATATTTGGATTGGATTGGTACAGGAGGGTAAAGATATGTTACCTTCAAAAATAATATATTATGATACAGCACGTAAGTGAAAGGTGAAGAAGCGACGAAAGGCGTGCTTACTTGGCATGCTCGCAGGGGTCATTCGTCTGGCGCAAGGGTCTCTTAATAGTTTCATTGTCCCCCAGTTCAACGCCGTCTCTCCATCGAATTCCTGTATTCAACAAGTGAGCAGTAAGGGGACAGGAATATATATTGGACTTACTCCACAGGTGCTCGTCTTCCGCATCATTTGTGGCTTGGACAATGTTTCGCCTTACAACACAAGCGCATTCGTTCGCGAATCTAATCTTCTTTTCGTACAGAGCTGCGTTCTGGATGGGACGTCCGGCAATGAACTCGTCTCTAGCTCTTTGGCGAAAAGCTGTGTAAAGCGATCAGCTGAAGTGGTGGTATGAGTCTTCAATGAGTTTACCGAGGAGCACGCTAGGGTCACCTAATGAAATTGGCAAATGAGTGGGGGAGTCCTACTGCCATGTGAGAGTTTAAGAAGTCAGGCCTTTAAACGCTACACGTCCTGCACGGAAAAGATTGCGATATGCCGCGCGCCCCCTCGCCAGCAAAGAAGCTGGAACGTCGCCACCCTGCATCGTGACGATATCCGGATAATAAGGAATGGTAGAGGAACACACCAGGGAATACGTATTTACCCCTGTTGCTGCCGAGGCGCTTCTTCCCTGCTTCCAATTTTCCGCCAATAACTCCTGCCTAAGCGGCGTATCATTGTCCTTGTGCTCTATTAGGCCGCGAACTGCATTCCAAAGGGGCGTTTACGGCTTGCACCTTTCCCTCTGTGTATGAATGCAGCCAAATCTTGTTCTTCCATCCACAATGGAATGCATTCAGCGTTGTCAACTGTTTTCATCTCAGCACGCTCTCCGGTCTATCGCTGAACGGGCTCATAAACCACACAAATGTCTTTGGGGCCACTGTTCTCGTATTTTCCCTTCTCGGCAGATGCTTCACCGTCACATGAAGCATCATACTCTACAGACTTCCGTCAGCATTTTTTGCGCCATCCATGACTCATATTCTGATTGGGAAAATACAGCCGGATCCACGGTATCGCTGCTATTGGGGTGAATGTAGTTCAGTACTTCGATTTGACACTGGGGCTATGCTCTATGACCACATGCTATCAGAACACATTGTGTCCCAGCCTTGGGAGTGTCCATTCATGGGTATGTTCGAGGGGTGGCACCGAATTCTGATACTCATAACAATCAGGTTGCAGTGGTTCTGTTACACAATTGGAGTACCATGTTGAGGAGGTTCATTCTGATGTGATCAGTTTGAAGCAGCTAGGCACCTTGACATCACCAGGTCAATTGGTGGATCAACCACTCCCTGATTTTGGGCCCCCCATACAATCATTCAAGTTGGTAGAGCCACATTTCCCACCTTCAATGCATCCAATTAGGTTGAAAGACATCAGTCAGAAAAAATGGCATAGGTCCAATTGGGCAGCATTTGAACTTGATGAGGATGAGATGTCCCACCTTTCATTGCAATCAGTATCTAGGCCACAAATATTGGATCATGAGGCTGGTCCATGTGGAAGGAGCTCAATTGTACCACTCCCACCTTTTCCCAGTCAACTTCTTTGTTGAAACCACTGCCAATCTGTCTACCTTCCTCCATTCCATGCCCATCATTGCTTCCCTCCCCATGTCCCTCTGCTCAGCCAGCCCAATGCATCAGTGTGGATGATTTGCCTGGCTTTGTCCTTCCAAAACCAGCTCAATCCTCCAGGTGCCTTGCTCAATGGGTCATGAAAACTTCATTATCAGCCTTGTCCCAGCCATATTTGCCAGCCATTAGCCAGCACCATGCCTCTCCTAGTCCCAATTATGCATTGGCAAACATCAAGGCCTGTACTGGGAGAGTGTATGTCATGGATGATGTCCATCACCAGCAGTCATATGACCACCACCCTCCAGTGCCTGGTGCATTTCTTCCCCTAAGCCCAGGAAGGAAATTGGAAATGGTTGTTAAGCTGCCTATTTTGACATACAGTGTTCCCTTGATCCATGCCCATCAGTCTCCACCCAGGCTACATCCTCATCAGCATAAGAACTGGACAGGTGATGCTGGTTGGATAGAGCATGAGAGTTCTTTGCTGGGACAGGCACAGTTGGAGCCGGAAGAGTCTCAAGAGGAGGTGGGGGTGGAGTCGGACATGGAACATCTGATTGAGGAGCCGTTCATCCAGCTCGGCAAGACAGTTCGATCTCAGAATGTCCTGTTGGGCCGAATCCTGACCCTGGCCATGGACTTTGGTGCTGCCAAGGGGCCGGAAGTTGAGAAAACCGTAAAGGGACATCTGAAGGCAAGCACACGAAGATCTCTTGCCTGGCGACTGAGACTTCGGAATGGAAGGGATTGGGGTTGAATAAACGTAATTATCTCTTGTCCGAAGAAATTTCACTCCCTTCTTTTCTATGAGTAAGCGCTTAGGACCCACAATATGCGGCTCTTCGTAGTATTCAAGAAACAGTATACATAAGGTATATGTATGACTTCCAACTATATAATCGACTTAATGATAGCTGCGAACAAGACAATCGACCAAACAAGTAGAGATGGAGCACTATAAATCAACTACCATGAAGGGCGGAGATTTTGTGGGGGTACAGGAGTATAAGGATCATAGCTGCCAGGCGGCCGATGCATTGCTCCCCGTCCAAGCGGCAGGGGTACTCCATATCTGGAAACCGGAGATGGTGGATAGCCCATCTGCGTGGGAGTCATTGGTCCCCTACTCGGATAGGGGTGCTGATGCACAGGTGAAGGGGAGTATGCGTTGGCGGTAGAAGGTGAAACAGAACCCATCATATGAGGAGTAGCAAGTCCTCTCCCCCGACCAGCATTCACCATTGTAGCCGCCTTTGATGCCGTGGGGACCATCGGCTGGTACCCTGCTGGGGCTACATAAGAGACAACTGAAGGATACGGCGACGGGGAGGCACGGTAAGTTTGGGGAGGCATCCACATGGATTGCTGTGACGCATCAGTTGCAATTGGACGTGCCACTAGAGATGGACTGTAAGGGGTTGAATACATCATAGAAGGTGTTTGAGGCATGTGATACGCGCCATACGACGACTGAGATGCAGCCAAATACGGATTGGGCGTCTGGGACGGTGTTGTCCGAGATGTCTGTGCGGAGGATGCCTCAGTTGGTGGAGGGGTTTCTGCAGTTGGCGATGTGGATTGAGGCACTTGTTGGAAAGCACGAGTGACATCCTGAACCGACACCCTTGGGAAGCGTCGTGATGCTGGGGGAGCTGGAGAATTTCCACCCGATGATTTAGTCTCTTTAACAGAATCATCGCCATCGGATTTCATTTCCTGCTCCGAAGTCGGGAGTACCGGCGGGTAATCATCAGCAATACCTTTCAGGGAGTTTTCGGTCGTTATCGCATTTCCATCCTTTGAGATATCCCATAAGGACTTGATCCTGTCCGACCCAGGGACCACCATGCTGGATGACGCATTCACTGAGTACACGATGGGTGACTTGGCCCAGGCTGTTGGGACCTGCGCCGACGGGGGAGGTGTAGAGACTCGTGACGGCGGAGTCGACATTGCCTATACCCAACATTGAGCACACGAACCCAGCATGCATCAATACAGAAAGGTGTACCTTTTCATTGTTCACATCGTTTGAAATGGGTGTAGCCGTCGCAAAAGTGCTCTCTAGCAGAGGCGACGTGATAGCTTCATCAACTTCGCTGTTCACAAAGAATCGAACGTTTGAAGACGCCACTGCTGTGGAAGTTGATGGCGGTTTGTAAAATGCAACATCAGTGCCCAACGGAAGTTTAGGTGTAACTTTGATTCTGCTGGACCCAGATTGCGAGTTATCAGATAGCGTGGACGACGACTTGTCCATTTTCGGGAGAGACAGCGATGCACCTCGATCAGGGGAACTTGGCGGAGGGGATTTGCTTGTGGGGTTTACGGTACCAAGAGACTTCTGCGGAGCTTCCAATTGCGGAAACGGCTTAAAGGACGCCGGAGCGCCAGAAGGCAATTGGACGCGTGCTGCTGGCACTGGCGAAGGCGCGAAAGGGTGCATTTGCTGTCCATCACCACCCATTGCTTTCCGTATGGGTAAAGCGACGACCACCGTCTGGTCGTTTCGTGGGAAGAGAACTTCCTCCAGGGAAAGCGACCGCCGTGACATATTAGCGACTGGTGGATCCCAAGACAAGATATCCCACCGTACGGGCTTAGGAGGAAGTTTCCACAAATGCAGCAAGCGCGTGCTAATGGGGAGCTGTGTGGGGCGGCGATTCAAAGCCTTTAAACGCACTCTCGGTTTCGTATGCTGTGGAGTTGAAGGGCGTGGAATTTGGCTCTGGGTAAAGTTCTCGCGCTCAGCTGAGGTGTGAGGATGTGCCGCGTGGATCTCTGCGAGACGTGACGCACGGTACGCTTCATCGTCTAAATTGTGAGCACCATTCACTGTCGTTTCTCCAGGGTGCATGGTGATTAAAGCGCCCTTAATACGGAGCATAACGTCGTCCAGTGCCGCCATAGGAGCCTCTTTAAACTGAAATCTTGTCGCAGGCAATTGTGGTCCAGGATGACGACCGAACACATGAAATACGGGCTGCGCCGGCTGTGGAAGCGGATGATGCGTCTCTTGGGCCTGAGATAGTTCGGCTTTCCGTAAAGAGACTCGAGGAGAACGGATGTCAGAAGCGGGCGTATCTGTCAAATTTGAGTCAGCCCCATTATCGATGGTGTTTGGATGAATTTGGTTTGCTTCATGACCAGCTGCAGTAGACAAGCCATAGACGAGATGCGAAGCACCTATCGGAGCAGCTGCAGGGGTTGGGCTTGAAGCTGCAGGCACGGGGAATGGAACATTTTCGTCGGAATCAGCCAACCTGGACAGATCTGAGAAGTCGATTGTTTCAACATGTTCATCATCAGCCACGTAGAAAGCCGCAGTAACATCAGCAACATTAAAGGTCGCAGGACGAGGCGCTGGTGCTGCGCCCGGTGTTGACTGCCAAGTTTCCTTAATCCCTTCTGTAGGGACAGTTGCAGATTGCGATATTGGAGATAAGGTTGCTCTTGGCGTGGGTGCAATAATTTCCGAATCAGGTAATTGGGACACTTCATCCAACTTATCTGGACTAGGCAGGAGAGCAGGTGCAACGTTTTCCTTGGCCGGGGACAGCGGCTTGAAGGTGTGCTGAGGAGGGAACTTGTTCTTCTCGTTTCTTTGCGATCCGGCTCGTGACCTCGTTCTCCAAACTGGCCCTTCAGTACCAGTGGCTGTTGAAGAAATGTGGTTCTCGGACCGCAGTGTTGGTTTCAAGACAGCTGGAGGCAGATCTACGTGTGCCTGGGTGACTGAAGGAGTTGGTTTTGCGGTCGCAGACTGGACAGTTCCTTCCATAAGGGCAGCAATGGACTCCGCCTTCTTTCGAGCACGTCCCTTTTCCTTCTCTCTCTCTTCCTCCTCCAGCCTACGTCGCTCCCTGGCCCTCTCGGCTGCGGACTGCATTGACTCTTTACTGAACACAGCAATGTCCGTTTGGGTAATTGTCTTCAGAGCAAGGGGTTGAGACCCTTGGAGGGGGCTCGCAACTGATAAACCAGGCTCTGATGAAACAGCTCCGACGTTTGTTCCTGAAACTTGACGAATGTGCGAAGCAGAGTGGAATGCCGGAACTGCGGGCGGGTCGATGATGCCATGGGACGCCCGACGAGACCTTGCATGTTGTGAAGGAGAGCCAATTCGGACATTATTGCTATCCGGTTGATCACGGGCCAACGTGTGCTCATCTGCTTGTGTCGCAGGGGTGACTTGTGAGGCACCTATATCTTTAATACTGACAGGATGTTATTGTTCACGTTGGATGGTTAGGCCAAATCCAAAGGCACTTACGGGTCAACTCGTGAGGGTGTTCGCGAAGGTTGGGGGGGTAGTGGGGATGCCACAACCTGAGGAGATCGAGAATCCGACATTTGACCAGTCCTACTGCTCGTGGGCTGGGAAGTTCCCGTGCTGAGTGCTCTATGACCGACTAGCTTTTGTGGAGCGCTAATATTGGTGTGGGGAGGATCTCGACCATAAAGCTGGGGTTCGGCGATATTCGAAACCGATTGCATCTTCCCATAACCATTGACTGAGGGGCGCCGAGTAAGTCCGGGTGTCTGCGAAGTAGGTAAGGCATCACGAGTGTCCAACTTGACGGGCTTTGAAGGCTCCAGACGGTTCGAGTGTTCATTGAACAGCGTACGTCCATCAGTTGGACGAGGAAGAATCTCGAGGATTGGATATCGAGGGGACCGGGATGCTGGAGCCACGGAAGAGGTGGCAGTAGCTCCTTGGTTCCTCGGCCAACTGCGATCAAAGTCCTCTCCGAATCGCTCTTCTTTACTGACGGGAGCATTGTCTACTTGGCCCTCAACCGTCGAATCAGAGACATCCACACTTTGCACTTGGGGATCTGCCTTGATGGTGTATTGAGTACCATCCCCAAACTCGATCACTTCGGCCAGAAAGTCATCTCCGTCTTCATCTCCCATCTATAATTGGGATTAAGCCGGGGTTCGTTAGGAAGAAACAACCAAAATCTACACACTTCATCCCAATGATGCGCGTTTGGATCCAAATGTAGTCCGCGGAATGCATCCGCCGAGGCCTCTGCTTGTTGTATTGAAGAAGCTAAAGGAGGGGTGTGAGTAACCTGGACTGCTAGAGAAGGCTGATGGGCAAGTTTCGACTTCCGATCTGCAAAAGGCTCAACGATCACTGTAAGTCGGTCACTAAATCATAGACATACTTGAGGATGCCTCAGCTGCAGTAGGGAAATCTGATGCCGCAGGAGTTGACATCGTTGTTCTTGTAGATTGACTCGCGTTCCCCCATACTTTCGATGTACCAGAGCCATTCTTAGAGGATTTCGGTAATGAGATGGCAGTTCCTCCAGGGGGTAGCAAGCCATTTTTTGAGGTTGCAGTCACAATTTGAGTGGTAGCTGGATCGCTAGTCGCACCACCATTAGGAAACTGTGGTGTTGGCGCTGCAAGTCCGGAAGCCTTGTTCCAACCCGTAGCGACTTGTGATGAATGGCCAGCGGAAGTGAGCTTCGCGGTGACAAGTTTAGAGTGTGTCGGAGGCTGCGGCGGAGTAGATATTCGAGCTGAATGCACCGAAAATAAGTGACAATACGAAATAAGAATACAGATGACCCACGGGTCGGCCCCAATGCATTGGGTTTATTGCTTTGGGCAGTGGAAGATGATGTCGTGGAGTTAGTTTTCTCGAGAAATTTGCGATTCACATTGACTGCCGTGAAGCGTTTCGTTGGAGCGGTGTATGTTGGTGAATGAACAGGTTCCTGGTGGGCCGGCGCCGGTAAGGCTCCATTGGTGGCAGAGAATGCAGGATTAGCGACATCAGGCTGGTCAAAGTGAGGTGGGTGGGTGGCAGAGGCACCATTCACGCCAGTACTCAAATCAGCAGGCGCGCCCGAAGCTAGGCACTGTGTCGTCAGCGTAAGCATTCCAGTTTGGGGTTGGTCATTAGTGAGCGCGGAGATCGAACCACCAGAGGCAGGAGCATTTTCAGACTCAGGAGTAACTCTCTCAGGCGCATGCCCCTCCGACCGCTCAATCCGGGGACCAGATACCGCCGGAGGGACGTGCTGCGAGGCCTGGGGCAAAAGTGTCGACTCTGACCCAAGAACTACGGGGGAATCATCTTCCATCAGCTGCGAGGATTAAAAGCATCACTAAGTAAGCCTTCCAAACACCGATCTTCCATGAGCGTGTTAGGGCAAACCTGTTCTATAGAATCCGACCTGAGGACTCTACTCGCACTTTGTGTTGCAGTTAGGATGAAAGTGACACCGGAATCAAAACTCAACACAGCGCAGAAGCGCCGGGTGCCAATTCACAACGAATGAACCAAGTGCAGGCGCATCGTAATTCCGTGAATTGGATCTTACAGAAGTGGGAATTACTGTTGATTAATCGAATCTCAAAAACGCCAATAACGAGAGGTGCAAAGGGGCAACCACTGCATGCTTAAAAGTTCCACGAGCCATTTATGAGGTAAATACACAATATTCTCTTATTTCTTCTCTGGTTCCGATGGGTTTGGAAGAGGGACTTTGAAAGCCTCGGGTCGAGCGTTCTTGCCTTCCCCAATCATTTCCCACGGACTGCTGGCCTCGAAATTGCTGTGGAAGACGAAATGTGTGAGACCGCGTGTGAACGTCTGGGATCAAATTGCATACCGGAATGCCTGCGCAAGCTGCAGCGGCTCGTATGTGACCCGCTTTTTTTCCTCATCATAGCGAACCTCAGTGTAACCCTGATAAATGACTGAGAACCGCACTCTGATGACGACGATAAAGGGGACTCACCGTCAAGGGAAAGTCCTTCCGCAGGGGATGCCCCTCGAAACCTGAAAGGAGTGATGAGACTACATTGCCTAAACGGAAACGCCAAGGCGGACGCTACCGTAATCAGTTAGAATCCTCCGTCTGGCAACCAGAAATGGGGTAAGCAGCTGTCACCATGCATGACTGTCTTTGACGCAACGTACAGATCGGGATGTCCCTCGAAATAAACGCCAAATAAATCCCAAACTTCGCGCTCATACCTTCCCACGTTAAAATTGGCATTGATGGCTTTGAATGATGCCTGTAGAGATGGAAGCTCACCAATCAGCGCCTCTATAGACACTAGTTGCGCTCTGCACAGGTGAGACTTCGTCCGCGTACGTCTTGACACGAATACGGGAACCAAAGCGAATGCTAAGGAGATGGTACACCACCTCGAACCGTTTACTCCGAGTGGGATAATCGGCACCAGAAATATCCATCACAGAGGAAAACTGGCATTGGGAGTGGTCACGGAGGAATGAGAGAACAGGTACAACAGCATTTGGCCCGATGTAAAGCGTGAGCTCGTCCTGAAGAACACTGAACTGTTGGATGTATTTGGGCATGATTTGCAGAAGATATGATCCATATTCATGCAGGGGGGCAGCTAGTGCTTCGTACTTCTCTTTCCCGTCTAAGCCCACAGGCTCACTAAACGGGCTGGCCGATGCTGCGACACATCTGAGAAGTAAACAATGGCTCGTAGGTGAATACTAACCTAATCCCGATGGCGTAGAGACAATTCCTCGAACCAAAAATGGCCTTGCACCCCTCAATGGACGCACGATACGCGCCCGTACCAGTGAACGCATGAATGCGGACATCGGGAGTATGGCCGTAGTGATCGGGAACTTCCGTTGGCGCTTGCCCTCTTATTCAAATTCGAGAATAGACGCTGACTCCCCGCAAGCCCCAATCCTTCTTACCCCGAAATGACCGACTCGATTCCCGATTCGCTCCCTTACATTGATGTAGATATCGACAATCCAGAGCTCAAAGCTAAGGTCGATGCCGAAATTGCGAGGGAATTGAAGAGAGTGCCCAAAAACCCAGACGATCACCGCATACCACCGGAGATCAAGCTTTTCGCTGTCTGTAAATTCCTATGCTATGAAGGTGCTTTAGCTCACCTTATTTATCTGTCAGAATAATGCACTCCTAGCTGCGGAACTGGAACGAGTCTCGAAGAGGGAACCATTGCATGCTCTGGATTCTGACAGATATAGTTTGTCCGCTCCGTCCAAACCAGATGTATCGGAAGACGAGTGGACTGAGGCACTAAATAACGCTTACGCACAGCAGGAACATCAAAGATCGAGGTGGGTTCATGTATGTGCTCTTTACGATTCAAGAGATTGACTTTGATTGGTTTGCAGATTGGAAACCCTCAGTCTATTGCAAAACTATGGCTCGAATGCTTGGAGGCTCCATAACTACATGTTAGAAGCCGATGCTAAAGCTATTGAGGCTGATCTCGAAAGAGCACGAGAAAGGGTTACGGAGATTAATCGAGAGAGAAAGAATAGTCAGGTTTGTTCCTGTTGTCCCCGTTCCACAACCGAGTCTAATACTTTCGCACAGCTTCAATTCGGAAAGACTCTTAACTCGTTAGAGAATAGATGGACAGAGCTAGTCTCTAATGTCATTCAATTGGAACTGGCAAATGCATCGCTGGAGGTCCAAGTCGAGGAATTGCGGCAACAAGAGCTTGCTTTTGAGGAATCATGATGCATTCACTGAGAACCTCTCACTGTATCTTACGACGTGTAGTCGAATATTATCCGGGTCAGATGATTGGTATTCTGGAACAATGCACTCGAGCAGTCAACATCAGTGGAAGTTGAGCAGGGGTAATAACCAGCATTATAGAGGGTCATATTTTCGATTTCATGAGGTCTTGACCTTCACTACCTTTCCTACTCTCAAGAGTCGAAGGGGCTACTCCAAATGGGTCGTCGGAGGCGATGCCCTGCGTCATAAAGGTATGAAATCAGTCGCACAGTGGGGGCCACAGCACAATCAATGCTTACCTGTTCGGCAGCAATCACGCGAATCATGGACCAATGGTGAATGGCATGAAGCGAAGTGAACCACAGCTATTGTTGGGGAATCGGTAAACCAACGCTGAATTTGAAATACTGGAAAGAACGTGGGTGAGTACCTACCTCCCGTCCAAACGTGGTCTGCATCACGGCAGGGAAGGGTGTGACAGCATGTAAAGTTACCGGCTCATCAAGTGGTACGGTTGGGACCACGTTCTTTAACCGATCTATAAGTCCTAGAAGCTCCTCCCGAGCTCTGCTAATCGAAGTTTCGACGGGTGTGTTGCGGGACCGAGTGTCATAAGATAAATCGTTCAGCTTCCCTTCAACAACAGCCTATTCATGAAGTAACAATAGACAGCGTGAGGAGAAGAAACGCCAGGGTCCCGAGGTGCATATTCACCTTAAGAAGTAAATTGTAATGGTCAGCAACATGCCTTATGTGTTTACCGATTGTCCCACCAGGAATGGCTTGTGATGGATACGTGAGCCTCTCGTCAGTCCCAAGAATGTCTAGGAAGCCGATAGCTTGCTCGACTATTGAGACAGCGACGGATATTGCATGGTCAACCACTGGACCCTCAACTGGGACATGCTCGGTTGCCTGCTGGGTGATCGTCGCACCGTGGTGGTTTGGAGGCATCGAAAGCTGAAAGCGAAGATTCGTTGGGGACTTATAGGGCGGCCGTGCAATGGCACATTTATCGATGTGAAAATATTGTCACGCGATCGGGCTGGAGGTTCATAACCGAGGTGCAAGACCCCCGAACACTGCGAAGAGCCTTACCCTTATCTAGTACAGCATGTACGTTACTGGAGACTATGTACAGGGAAAGAGATCGCACAGACAGTCGAGGAATTGTGACTCTGACCAAATTCCGGATATGCCGATGAAAAACGACGCAATCCGGACTCAATGCGAGTGTTCTCATTATCCCAGACGGACCAGCAGCATAAGTCTCTTTTCAGAAAAAAGGGAGTGCTGTCTGGGAAGAGACAGGCTTGAAATTGGCAAAGTTTGCCTCTCGAACCGTCGTCTTCATCTGGTTAACGAAGGAAAAGTACAACGCTTGTTTCCGAACTTTTATATGGGAGACCCTGCAACCCCGGAGCAAAATACATATCGAAGATAGGCAGCTACACGTAGACACATTATATATAGTACAAGAGTGCTTTACGATATCGGATGAGGCGAGAGCGGCTCGTCTCGCAGGGCACTAGGAGGCCCATCCGTATTGATATTAACGTTTTCTTCATCAAGAGTTGTTTGGACGGGAGCAGGTTCCGCAGTCGCTGCATTAACACCACCATCCATCTCCATCATGTCTTCGTTTGGAAGTTTCAGTGCAGTGGCACTCGGTGAACGCGGTACCGAATGGTTCCGCTTGCGGTCTTGATGATTTCGTCTACCACCTTCGCCTTCATCCTCCGAGTCCGAAAGCTCCCCCTCGGGTTGTATTCGCCTGTCCCTCTCAGATTCTGTAGAGGATTTACAAATAATTAGGGATTCGATGTGAGCCTTTTCCAGAGAGGTACGAACGAGGTCTCCTTTCATTCGGATCAATGAGATCCTCGTCCATATTCCCATCATCTTCGTCGTGAGCAAGGCGTGGGATCTCTGAGGGAACGGAAAAGAATCAGTCAGTGATAGCTATGCAGTGGCATCGCAGCGCACGATTACCTGACATCTGAATTCCGGGTGGGCCACCTTTTTGCCTAAGATTTTCGAGTACAATTCGCTTCACTCTTTCGAGATATTCTGGCGTGTTTAGATCGTCCATGTTACTAGCTCTCACATCCAGCTCAAAATCAGGACCAAAGTATTCATAGTACTCGTTCATAGGTATTTCTGAGGGATGGGATGGTGAGACTACGAAACACTCTCCAATAGAAGCTGCTTACTTCGCCCTAACTCGACTCCCGCAGCGAGTCCCGTTTCGTATGCCCATGCTCGACTAACGTTTCTCATGGTGTAACCGCCACCCCCGAGGAGAAGAAGTGGAAGATTGAAGGATTTCACGAATCGAACACAATTGGCGTGCCCTTCATTCGCACTGAGCACGTCGCAGTCTCACTCAATGAATGCGACCACTCACCCCTCATGGAAAGGTTCAGACAACCCAGTTTGTCGCCGGAAAGTGAGTCTGTACCACATTGCAATACAATCGCCCCAGGCGCATACGAACTCATCACTTCCCTGATGACCTGAAGATCGATGTGAAGTCCTCCCGACCGCACCTCTCGGAAAAGTGGCACTCACTGGCACGAAAACCGACTTATAGTTGTCATCAGTGACTCCATCGCGCAGCGGGAAGTTCAATGAATAACCCTTCCCTTTCCCTATACCTATGTCCTAGAGACAAAGACAATCTACATCGGCAGAGTGCTGCCATTAAATGGATCTCACTTACTCGTATATCTCCTGTTCCAGGGAAAAATTCGCCATATTTGTGGAAACTGACGGTCATAACACGATCGGTGGTATAGAAAGCCTCTTCAACACCATCTCCATGATGTACATCAATGTCAACATAGAGGACGCGTTGGTGATATCTAGGACGCATTGGCTGAATGTCACGCCGTGTGCGAGAGAGGGACAGCCTGCACACCTCAAGAGCTCAAGGATTCCCAACACTATGTCTATTGAGAAGTTAGTGTGCGAGATGTTTGGAAAGTGCAACGGACGACTATACCGTTCACGTAGCAGAAACCACTTGCTTCACTCTTCTTTGCATGATGCAACCCCCCCGCCCAGTTCACGGCGATGTCGCACTTATTTCTGCTTAAACGTGCAGCGCCCTCTATACAGGAGGGTGAGACTAAACGCCATGCGCAGTCACGAATGCACACACCCATTGATCCCCCAGCAGAGATGGAGCAGTAATCAAATAAGCCATCAAATACAGGACAATCGTCACCGACGTTATCTGAGGGAACAAGTAGAGATTTAGCGATTCTAGACATGGAATAAGAGGCGACGTACATTTGAGTTGCTCCCTTACGTAGGAGTTCATATTACTCGGATTGATCTTGTTTAAGAAATCCACATATTCGTCTGAATGAAACTGTGACATTTCGCGCTTGGTCGCCGGTTTTGCTCTCTATGAAGACTGGGGGTCCATTGATATTTCTAGTGAGAGGACTCGTGCGCTCACGAAGATTTCCATCTTCTTATACAATCCGTAATTCATGACCAGCGAGTGACACATACGTATCCGGGTAGGTTTCATGCTAGCGTGATATAGGCCTATTTAAAGGTATGTACGATGAACAGACAGAGGTGATGCCATACGGGTGTCCAGGGCCATAATGGAAGCCCCCTACATCAGAGTCAAAGAAATAGCACTGTAACACATCACGCATTATTAGCGAACATCTCAACGCCTTCCTTAAACATACCACCCGTCGGCGTGTAGAATCCTCGGATATTGGCGTCATTAACTGTGATGAGGCCATCTCAATCCCTGTCTCAACCGTTTGGTTGAGGAAATATCAGTGTCGGCCACGTGAGACATTTCCCACGCCACAGTCCGAAGTACATTTTGTGATCATCAATAAAAGAAGACATGTGTGGCACAAGGCAAAGAGCTCACGAAGCAAGAAGGTATGAGTGTGCTAGAAAGTGTCATAGGTGAGAATGTTACATATTTTAACTATGGCTGTAATGGCCCAACTGGGAATGATGCTGGTTTGAATTGAGCACCAACTTGTGCAGCGCGCAGGTTCGATTCATCCCCTGTCGACATTTCGGTGACAATTTCTCCATGCCTGAAGGCACGGTGATGACTTTGACTAGTATGTCTGCTAATTGGCCAGGGAAGCAATTCCGCAACCAGCAGGTAACCCGAGATAGTCTTAACAGACAAGGGTGATTTGATTGACGCGCATGCAAGGAGCGACAGCATCAAACTCTTCCTTTTCCCTTCTTTTCTTTTTTCTTTGTATTTCTGTCTCACGCGACACAATTCTTAATTCCTGATCCGATTACATTTCTCCGTGGACAACAATGGTGTGTGTATTAAGAATGTTCAAAAAGCGTAAATGATTCCAGACGATGTACACAGCAGACATGCACAGCAACACCCAACAGCGTCAATATCCGCACAGCTACTTCAACCATAGTTAAGTTTGAAAATGTCGTTTTGGCTAACAAGTAGGTGTTAAGCGAGATGAATCTCTGGCAGTGCGCAAACTTACACAAAGTAACTGCCGCCAGTTGGAGAAAGCTGGAACACTTGGCTGAATTGGAGTGGGTTCTCACCGCCATCGACCTTTAAGGGGGGGGGGTGATTAGTGAGTCACATCGGACCCGATAAATGTGTACAAGCGCGTACGACGAGCTGCCCAGTCACTAAGACCAAATGCTTGGTGATGCCGGACCTGAAGGCTGAGCGTCTAGCGATGTTACCTTGTGTGCCACGCTCTGAAACGGCAATGTCTGGATTCTTAGGTCAGTCGCGCAGGCGATCAACGCGCTGAATCGGTCCACACCGTCAAATGCTCTGTGATTGCTTTGGGACCCAAGAATTGTTTGTCCTCCCAGGTCAACATCGAGGTTTCTCCCTAGAGGATTGACGATCAGTAATGACGATTTCGACGGGGATCGCGAGATCGGCATACATAGAGGCTCTGCAAACTCGCGCGCGAGGTATCAAAGGTGTTGTAGTAGAATTGAGTGAACTGGACACAAGTCAGAACATACATCTCTCATCGTTGAGGTGACATGCCTGCTCTGCGAGCGCGATTATTTCTGCCATGGTGAAGGAGAAAGGGCGGAAATCTATTTGGTGAAGGAAGGAAGGGGGTTTTTGCACGGAGATCGCCGAGTGAACCCCCCCTCCCCTTGAACTCGTTTTGCAATTCACGATTCTGTCTGCAACGTCCAAGACGTGCTTGAATGAATTGCATGCCCACAACATAATGGAAAACCAGCAAAGGCCGGGTATGCGGCGCAAGTCGTCTGCTTCCAACCTACTCTCAACATTCCAAGGCAGTCGGAGCAATTCAATACAAAATATCTCAACCGGTGCCGCCCAAACTCCAAAGGATTGGGAGCCTGGGGCCGCAACGGCTGATCATGCTTTTGTTACGGGCGTCTCAACACCTACGACTTCGTCATACGAAAGCATTCGAGAAACACTCAATCGACGACTCCTGGCATTAGCTCATTTGCGACAAGGACACGAAGGGTATGGTGTAGCGCTCGTGAGCTTTTCAATCATCTACCACCTCTTACTGCATATTAGGAGATCCTATTGGTTGAACACCATATTACTTTCTCACTATGAGTTGGAGAGGGCGTACAACACTGCGAGCATGCGAAAGAGGTGTGGACATTCTGCAATCGGTCAAGTCCTGCGTTGATCATCGGCTTTATCTAGGACGTACAAATATGCCATTCTTGCAATGTCACTATCGAATCTTTTCGACTCCACCCCCCACTCAGACTTCCTACGATCCCTTGGGCAACTCATGAATGAATATGATCAGCTTCAAGACGAAAACTTTAAGCCCAGAATGGTGCGTGTAACGCGCTACACAGATGCACAGCCTATCGCTCACTCATATTTATGACACTGCCTTAGCGCAACATTCTCCGTGGATCGAAGGGCGTGAGGGGTAGGAGCGGCGAGACTTTTGATGACCAGTCATGTTTAGTGATACCGAACATGGTCCGTCATAATCTATCGTGAATTCCTGATCTTCTCTTGATCGATAAACAAATCCTAGCCTTTTCCTCTTGACTATTTTCAAGTCCTTATGTCATTTTGTGATGTCCTCACGGAGGTTTATCACAAAATCCGTCAAGTCTTGGGACCCTCTCCACTTCAGCACGCCGGAATGGCAAACAGCGTGCCTGGATCCGGATACTCTATTTCTATCCACCAACACATATTCTCGTCTACCAATCCCCTCTTCACACAATTATTCCCTAATGAGCTTGCCTCTAGCTCCTTTGCGCCAGACACCACAGCTTCCGTTCCCCCTTCTGCCCCGCTATCATCACCCCCTGCAACGTGGTCTCCAGGGACTGCCGACGCCGTACTTAAAGTGGATGCGAGGTTCAAGGTAAGGGGGGTTCGCCCATTCCTTATTCAGCATCTAACTTACACACTTGGACCCTTCACAGAAAATCATTAATCAATTGCTTAAGGAATTAGATACAATCGCTCGCGAGGCAATAAAGGACGAGCTGGCATCTCTCGATCCGCTTCTTAGAAACATGGGGTTGGCATCCCCAGAAGCTAGCAACGGACTTACTTTTGATTTTGACATATGATACCATTCATAACATACTCTTATCACTTTTCGCGTATCAATACCGGGATTTGTGTCTTCGATGTACACCATCTAGTGTTAATTGTGCGAGTTGTCCACCTGGAGATGGACTCAGTTGTATGCTATTTAATATTCCGAGCCCGTAGTCGAAAACGATCTCGACGTCTGGGTTCTTGTTTTTGTGGTATAGAGGCTATCTCCTTTCTGGACCCTGTACGCTCGACAATTATCATCTACCTCTCTTTAAGATTATTTTACTAAGTGTTGCTAATGCTGCCTCCCCGCACTCGAAACCCGCCTACTCCATGTCTTCGACTAGGCCAGATAATTGGCGATTGACTGTATCCAAGAGGCTCTTGGCCGCTTTGCACGGGACAATATTCATTCGACGCCGTACCCTGGCATCAACATGGACACAATCCTCCCCTCTCTCTATCAGAAGCAATCACAGACGATGGCATTGTTCAAAAGTTCAGAATGCAAACGTGAGTTCAGGGCGAAGAAAGGGGAAAAAATTATATGTAAAGCAAAAAAAAAAAAAAGAAAGAAAGATTTATGTAAAAGGTGAGGAAGACTTGGATTCAATGCGGAAGAGAGTAAAAGGAATGGGGGGAGAGTCGAAATGTTCACAGGAGAAGGACAGAGAGAGAGAGAGAGAAAAGCTCAACTCATTATTCTTTTAAAGCAACTGTGCTTCCGTAAAGCAAGCAGAAAAAGCAGTTGTAAAGTTCGTCATCAGCAAATAAAAGCATCAATTGAAGGCTATGAGCCAGTTACGCCCCCACCCGTTCAGCTCAGCAAGGCACGGATGGTAATGGCCCCTACTGACGCCAAGAACCATCCAAGCGCAACACTCCCATCGACCGCCACCCTCAGCGTTCCACCCGATTTCTTCGAACTTGTAGATGACCCTGGAGCGTTGGAAGAAAGGCTAGCGCTAGACGCAGAGCCCTTGTTCGTCACGGTGTTCGTCGGGTTGGTTCCCGAACCGGTTGAAGTGACGGTGGAGGTTGAAGTTGGACCTGGACCAGAGAACCCAGGTACACCAAACGGCACCCATTGTACGCTCGAATTAGGATTGTTTTGATTGTAAGGAAGGTAGTAAAGATTGCCAGAAGAGGTAAGCTGGACGAGTTCTGACGTGCTTGCTGCATAATCCGAATTAGAGTCTTTGACAATTGGACCTTGGAGTTGCACGGTCGTATTTGGCTAGGTTGATCAAGGTGAGTTTGGCGAATTCGCTACTACGATGTACGAGAAGGGAGGGAGGAGGGAGGGACTAACCTGAACGTTCAAGACATAGACCGCAGAGCCGTCATCAGGAATGAAGGCAATTTGTTCTTGAACGTTATTAGAGGGTGAGAAGAATGAAGTCGCTTTGCCATGAGCAACAGGGAATTTGTTGCCATTCTTTGGGGTGAATGGTTGAGGTTGAGGTTGGAAGTAGCTAACTGGAGGGGCAGGGAGAGGGTATCTGAATAGCGCGTTCCTAGGATAACCAAAAAAAAAAAAGGTTCACATACAATGAATTACAAAAATATATGTGCTTCCTTCATTCGACCCAGGAACATTGAAGAAAAAAATATGGTTCTGAGCTAAAGCCAGGACGGGATCGTATCCGGAAACTGAAAAGGTCGAGACAGTGTTAGCAACGTCCCAGTTAATAGGATTGCCAGAGGCAGCGGTGAGGGAAGCAAAGTTCGCGGAGTATAAGGTGTTATTAACCAAGCCATCTGTCAAGCTAGTGGTCAGAGCCGTCTTAAATCAAGGGAAATTATGGCAGTGCCATACAGAAGACGTTCGTATCATGGTCCAAGATGGCTTGAATGAGGTTGGCATTGGCGCCTCCAGCATTCATTTTCTGGGTGGTCCAACTTTTAGACTGGGGGTTGAAAATGTGTATGTCTGATGGGTTCGATTTGTCTGCATTGATGACCTTGCATGTGCTGGTTAGCAAGCGCCACCGGAAAGTCATGCAAAACGCGTCTCACATAGATTGCGTTGAAATACTACAGAACAACGTTATCCAACGCGCACGCTAAAGGACGACATCCATCATCTTACCTGTGCAAGGTAACACTGAGTGTTTAGCCCGTCAAACGGCCTGTTCGGACATTGAGATTCAGCTTATGTTGTTTCGTACATGCGGACCCGGTTGCGCTCGATAATACTTACGGACCCCCCGTGACTCGCGTGGCGTTGCCATCTATGAGGATGATTCGTTAAACATCAATCAGGACGGGAAAACAAGGCGGAACACAAGCACTCACGGATCCAGTTTGATGCCGCACCGAGATTGTAATCCCCGCCACTAACGCCAAAAGCATAGAGATTCCAATTGACGTCAAAAACAACACAAGGCTTGGCGATTGCGGGTATCAAGTGAACAAGTAGTAAGAAAAGAAGGGAGAGGATGCCTTCCGCCATTGTCGTTCTCAAGTTGGACTACGACTGTGGAAGTGCTTGAGGAGAGAGAGGAAAAGAGAAAGGAGAGGAGGGGTTGATGGTGAGAAAGACGTAAAGTGGTTGTGTTGAATTTCAAGGGCTATGGCACAATAGAACATTACATAGAATACATAGAAGCTAGGGTTCAAGGACAAATGGACCATTTGACTTACGTAACCTTCCCCTGGCCCGTTCAAATTCATCTATCCAATTCTAGATCTGCGGCTGGGAATATATATGTACTAGTTACGATCGTGGTCTCGCGCGGCATCGCCTCAAGGGCTATTGGCGCCCTCACTTCAGACAGCATCTTCGCTGTCAACAACGAAGATGGTTCCTTCGCTGCAATATTACACGGCGGGAAGTCCCCGCGAAAGTTCATAAATATAGACATGATCGAAGCATCCGACTTCGGCTTCTCTTTTTATGGGATTAATTTTAGCGTTCCCTAGGGAATCCGTCACACGTGACGGGCACGTAGTCTCGTGGGAAACATCTCGATTCAATCATCCCCACATGTCGGTTTTCGTTACCGTCGGGTCCACAGAGCACACGGCTTTAGTCGATGCTGTCCTCTCCGAGCCCTGTTTAAAAGCCTTGAGTGACAACGGTTACAACAAGCTCGTCATACAATTTGGGAAGAGTGTTTGGAACAGGCCGTTCTCATATTGTTCGAGCCACGATGTCGATATTTCTGCTTTTGACTTCAAAGCGTCCATAGAAGATGATATTACCGCATCGTCGCTCGTGATCAGCCATGCTGGTATGCAATGCTCGTCGTGGAGCCTGTCGTGTAACTCCTTACTTTGCATCTCAAGGTGCAGGCACCATCCTTGACGTTCTGCGGACACCCAAACCCTTGATTGTCATCCTAATGATAGTCTCATGGACAAACACCAAAGCGAACTGGCAGATGAATTGTCTCGTCAGGGGTATCTGTACGCGTGTAGCTCTGCGTATGTTACCTCTACTCGCTTTCCTTGTCCCTCGTAAGACTCAATACGATCACGTAGGGATTTGGCTCGCACGATTCAAACTAAGGATTTCTCATCGCTGAAACCATTCCCACCGTTCGATGGATCCCATTTCCAGCGGTTGATAGACGAGGAGATGGGATTCATATGATGAATTCAGCTGACATTGGTCTACGCTCGGACTATGCGGAACTTGACGTGGCACGATTATCATGCAGCCGTAGCAAGCATCAATGCTTCACACACATCCCAACAACCATCAAAGTGGCGGCAGACGCTGATGCCCCAAAGGGACTCAGAATACTTTTTGGGATCGATATCAAATTTACAATCGACTATATCTAACGTTTAGAAAAGGAGACGGAACGGATATCCTAGCAAAGGCGATGAATGAGATCAGCTTTGGACCACAAACGTTGGGAGTCAGCGACCCACCAGAGTTCTTTACTCTGAACAGCGACATGAGCACACTGTACAAAATGATCGTCACGAACGACCAAACGTAAACCGCCGCACGTTGTTGGTTCCGTTTCCGTATGCGAGGGACCAGTATGATGAGGGCGACCTGCGTTAAGGCCAGTGTACCATCTGAAACCGCACACAACACACACACACACACACGCATGTGAATACCTTCTCGGTCGATGAAATGCACAAACAATAACTCACAAAGCGTAGCGACAACATAAGTCTCAGCGCCATACTGGTTCGAATATCCCCCCGCTATCCACCGCGCACCTTCTCTCGTCACCTGCATAAATGGCATCCCACGAATGCGCGTAAACATGAATCCCGCCGTGAAGACGAGCGATGACATGATAGCGGCAACAGCCCAAATCCAACGCGAAAGGATAATGAACGAAAAGAGCGGCCATCCAAACTTGGCCAAAATGGCAAGGCCAAGGACGGAAAATCCAATGGTAGATATGAGACCATAATTTGGTGGATCACGGTAAGGATCTTGGTCGGTACGTGATCGGATAACACTTCAGCAAAGTTACGAGCTTCGAATGAGCTATAGAGAAAGAAGAGAAGCCCCGATTTACACCGCGAAACGAAATGTTAAACGGGGCTCTGGTACACACTTTCTAGTAAAGTCATAGCTCCACATATCAGGACGAGCCGGTTTCAATGGGCCCTCCTGGGCAGGGTAAAAGTGCACAACTGGGGCAGAGTTCAAACCAAGCTAGGTAATGATCGACCCCGAGTCTAGTGAGTACACCCACAACAACACCACTGTCAGAAACTTGTTTTTTTTTTTTTGCATACCTGACGGAAGACCTGTTGCCCATCCGCAAAGTCTAGCGACGCAAAGAAGTGGCTATCTCTGGCAGTCTTTGAAACTGTCGACCAAGCTTTTGCCACAGCACGGAAGCTCAAATCGAATGTTCTAATATCGTTTCATGCACGACAAAGTATTACACCAAGCTAGTGGGTCAGGGCGTAGCCAGTAGTGCAAGAACACTGTTATTGCACTTACTGACAAGGTTGGCAACCAAGGTCTTTCCCAAGAGCAGTGAGCTGCAATGCTACGCTCCAGTCCCTACCGGGAGATGTTATAGCAGTAAAATCTGCGGAATTGAGCTTGATGACACCATTTGGAGAGCTCGCAGCAAGCTCTTGGAATTTAGCTCTCGTCTCAGCGATCTTGTCAGCCGAAGCAGCAAAAGAAGTGGAAAGGAGAGAAGCTGATAGGAGCCCTAGCACCGCTAGACTTTTAGAAATAATGTACATCCTAGAGGATGCCGTGCGTCGGTTCTGTCGTTAACTTTTAAAGAGAGGCTGGTCACCTGCCTAATCGTTGACGTGGTGTGGCAGTTACGCCGAGTCCTTATCTCCTAACTCCGTTACTATATTGAGTAACAGAAAGCGCCATGCATCAATCGCAAGCACCGTAGGGCACGCTATGAACAAACATGTCATTCTTTCCATTTGGCACCAACTTTCCTTTTATTTCCATACTTCGTCCCATCCAAGACCTTGCCTGTCATACTCACCAGGTTCTTCACCTTCTTTCACCCAACCCATTCTATTCATCATTTCCCCAGCAACCCGAACAAACAGGGTCCCATCAAGCACATCATCGCCTTCAAGACCGGTATTAACACGCTTTCCATCTCGAATAGGTCGTACATCCCCAGCAGATTTATCACCATAGAGCGAGCTGTAATGGGCTAATGCACGAATCGACTTGAGGAGATGTTCATCGGGATGATGCAGCACCGACTGAATGATACGAAGCCAAGGGTTTTGATCGTAGTCGCTGGAAAGCGCTTTCTTATTCGGGATTGGTCTTGGGGTTCTAGAAGATGGTTTTGGATTCGTGGTAACATCCCTGTAGTAAGCTTTGATAGGAATCTGAGGTCGCCTCGAGAAACCCAATACCCGAGGACGCATAGGAAGTGCGTCTTGAGTAACAGGGCCTTTGAACGGAGGGACAGATGAGCCAGCAAAGGTGCCACGAACAGGGATGAAGTGACACAGTGCATACTAATATATAATGCAGTAGTAAAACCGTTCAGTGGCCATTCACCATAGGGGATATGTGACGGTCACTGACAGGAAAAAGTCCGCGCGAAATTATGCCCTTCACGCCACCCACCCAATCCGAAAAGGAGAGCGACAAGCCATGATAATTCCTCGACCTTGATACGAATGTGTCCCTCGTGTTCTTTAACAATCCACTTCCGCCCATACTCGGCGATAAGGTTTCCTCGGCTTTCCAGAGTATCAGCAAATCGTCTGGTGGAGGTCCTCTCGCAGGTCTGACCGGCAGCTAGCTGAGGATCCTGCAACATCTTAGCAACGATAGTGAAAGAGTGTTCGCCTTCATATTCGGTTTCGGGTTTCTCGTCAGAGGTACTTATAGTGAGGACGCTCAAGCCATCTTGCACCGGCGACGCGGATGGATCCGATAGTTGGTCAGGGAAGTCATCTGGTTGGAGGAATACATCACAACCTGGCGGGGTAGTCGCCGTTTGTGCCAAACCTTTAACAAACCGGCAGATCATTACACATGGTATCCAGAAATATTGGTGATTTTCTTTACCTTCCATCACCATCCCGGAAACACCGAATTCGACGTGACCTGTATGGATGAGAGGATGGAGGGCGCCGCCAAAGAAACGTGAAAGCATCTTTGGAGCCTTCTCTGGCGTTTCGACCAGTCCATCTGGCCAATTTGCAGCTTTTGAGAATAAAAAAGCCTCCAAGGTAGGACCGACTCCTCGTTCCACTATTTCAGCCCCAAAAAATTGACAATAGGCCTGGAAGTAGCTGCCAATGCATTCAGGGACGAAAAGCCTTTAAGTGGTAGTTGGGGGGCCCGCACACTTACTTTTCGTCAGCCAGAAAGTTCAGCCAATTTGACTGTTCGATCGGATGAGGCGATTCGAACGCAGGGCGCTGATATGAACCATCGATTTCAAACGCTTCATCGAGTAGCTTCGCATCCCCTCCAAAAAACCAGGCGACAAAAAGGTGATGGGTCAGATGGCTGGGAGCAATTGAGCTCTCGTAGGTAGTACGACAACTAGTCCAAGTATTTTTTTGGCTCACTTGTGGAAGCCCTCATAGTTGAAATACATATGGTATTTCTTGTGGTTGTCCTTCAACAGCTCTAGGAGCCTCTTCGAGGAGTCGTGAGTTGCCCCTGGCAGTCGAACCGGCACGAGAGCGTCGAACCATTCTGCGCGAGTGGGCAAAGGCCACAATCCGTTATCTAACGAAGTAAATGACTGTGTTGTGCTCTTCATAGTGGATACCTTTGTATAGGAGCGAACAAGGGCTGCTTGGGGAAGAAGGCACTGGCTTCTGTAATGCGAACGTCCAATTGGTATTGCGGCACGAGTGAGTCGCACCATGCCCTCGTGATGACGTCTCTATCCCGATTCATAAACCGGCTGTCATGATTATTGTGACGTGCGTGCGATGGATGCAAATAACCGCAGCCTTGCACCCCAGCAACAAACTGCTTGCGCACTATTCTGATATATCTTGACGATGGTTCGGGAAGGACACCGATGACTGAACTGGGAAGCTGGACACGCATACGCCGATGGGAACCTTACCCGCGAAATATCACAACTAGTGGCATGACCATTGCAGAGACCTCTTGACGGAATCCTGGACTATTTCTATGCATCATTCGCTGTCACACATTCTTAACTCTTACTCATAACTGGGTCCGACACACATGTCCAATGGACGATCATCCCATCTCATTCTTTTTTTTTTTGTTTTTCAAGCTTCGTTGCCGTGAGCTTTATATGAACGCAATCTCCCTTCCATTCATTTCATTTCATTCTATCATTCCTTGGGCCTGCGTTCGGGTGGGTGGGTGGGTGGGGGATGCGATTGCTTTTTTGGTCCGTTCTTGCTGGGTTAATCGATATAGCAGAAGGAGATGAACCGAAGAAGTTTAGAATGTGGATGTGTATCTGGAATTGTGAGCGTGGGCGCAGTGGGCGGGGGTCAGAGAGACCGGATCGGTTTGTTGGATTCAGTCGATTAAACAGAACGAAGGGTCACCTTAGGTTTTGAGATTTGGGGTGGGGAAACGTACGAAAGTGTATGTGCTTTGTGAAGGGTTCGATGAGCACATCGACTCGTCGGAACAGCTCCGCCACCAAATGAGACAACGTAGAACGCTTACCGACTGTCAGTGGTGCGTAGTGTGATGCCACGGAGCCTGTACACTTTCAAGGCGCTATCTAGGAACGGTCGGCCCCTAATCAAAAGAGAGGGAAGAGGAGGATTTTAATCCGACTTAAAATAATGCGCCTCCATACTTATCCCATTTCTTAGGCATTGGTGCGCGCACCCACTTGCCTGCATCCTAGAGTTTATATAAAAGCTGATTGCACACCAAGATCGTGATGAAGCCTCCACTCCGCCTGCCCCGGCGCTTGCCGCCGACCCCAACGCGGTGTGATGTCTCATAGTGTCATTGCTAGTTTGTACTAGTCCGCACTCCTAATCACACACATCTCCCAGTTCTAGGCGACCCAATACTGGCTCTCTCCAATAGAGTCATTTGCCTAGGTTCTCCTACAGTAGAGGCTTAAGTCACCTTATCCAGTCCGGGCCAGCGCCAGGCCATTGATGTGCTGGAATTCGCCATAGATATAAGGCTGTGTGAATGCATCTATCTCGGCCTTCCATTGTTGTACAAAGGTCTCGTGGCTTTGAGTATTAAATATTGTTCATACGTGTGTTACGCTCTCTCCCCATCAATTTGTCTGTTATCGACCATGTCGCTGCAGCAAGGGGCTGAAACTCCGAGGCAAACGATTAATGATGTCCTCGCAGCAGCGGGTAACACGGCGGTTTTAACTCTCAGAGGTATCAATGCTACGGCTGATTGGTGTCCACCCCTAAAGAATGCGACTGGTGCTGCACTCTTCATTTTTGATGAGGCCCAAGTCAGTAATGATCTATACTTGTTCATGAATGGAAGCTCACGCTGGTTTGCGCCACGTAGAAGTTCAAGGAGAACGCAAAGGCATGGACTGGTTTCGGTGAACACGTAAGGAGCACCATGACCAAGGTATCTTCGGCCATAAAGTCCGATGATGTGTCAGCGGAAGAGGAAAAGCCATGGGTAGAAAGTGTCACAGAACTTGAAGGGTAAGTCTATATCCATTTGATGGTCTTCGGTACGGTACTTACATTAAGTCCCAGCGCGCTACAGAAGATCAAGTCCGAAATTGAAAGACGGGGAGAAGTAGAGAAACGATCGACTATTAGAAAGGCATTCTCCTACTTGAAAGACCCCGGGAGGATCGACGACCTAAAGAAAGATTTTGACAAAGCAATTTCATCGTTTCAGGTAGCTTTCCTTACAGTATCGTTCCATAGCCATTCTGATTTTCGGCCGATTCAGCTTACGACGAACTTGATAGTTGGCAACAAGTTAGCGGCCGTAGAACGTCGTCTACACGATGACAAAATTCTTGATAGTCTCCGAGATCCTTCTACCACCCGTGGTAGTTCCGCCCAGGCATGCCTAGAAGGCACTCGAGTTGATCTCACTGAGCAGATCATGACATGGTGTCGCAACACTGGGGATAGCGAGAACCGGCTAATGCTGTTGACTGCTGTGGCAGGCGCTGGCAAGACTTCAATTGCGCTCACGATAGCAGAACGATGTAAAAGGGACGTTACCCTGTTACTGCACTTCTTCTTCAAAGCGGGCGAGCGGTCCCGGCCCGATTTTCTATTCCACAGCATAGCGCTATCTCTAGCCGACCACGATCCGGTTTACCGCACTTCCATTGTCGATGCTCTCCAAAAAGAGCCTTTCCTCTCCACTGCCCCTCTCGCGAAGCAATTTGAGAAATTAGTGGCTTTCCCTCTCCTTCACATATCTCCGCCTCCTGGTCATCCTATGGTGGTCATCATTGATGCTTTAGACGAATGTGACGAAGAAGCATATCAACCCCTTGCTAAGATTCTCTGCGAGGAAGTACCCAAGCTACCACCCTCCATAAAATTTTTTGTTACATCGAGACACGTTGATCTTGTCAATCGCTCCCTCTCACGTCATTTTCCTATCAATCATCTCACCATTAATCTCACGGATGACACAAATGTGCAGGACTGCGCTGCATACATCCGTTCGCAGCTACGAGAGCTTAAGAATTGGCATCCCGATTTAGCACATAGACTCCAGGACGAGGATAAAACAGTACAGGAGATCTCGAAACGAGCAGGTGGCCTGTTTATTTGGACCAGCACAATCTTTCGCTACATGAAGAATCTCAAGAAGGATCCTATGAGGACACTAGAAAGCCTGCTCGACACCGGCACCAAAAGACCCAAGGGCCCCACTGACGAGATGATGGATGACCTGTATACGAGTATTTTGCAGAAGTGTGATTGGGACGAAGATTTTGCGCACGATTACTCAATCGTGATGGGAGCAATCTTTGTTGCTCAGCAGCCTCTGTCCATCACAGCCTGGGACGCAATTTTGTCGCCTTTCCTCAAGTCTTCTGTTCGATATGTGTTGGCTGAACTTGCACCTCTCCTCTCAGGAGTTGAGGATCATTGCATTCCGGTTTGCATCCTACACCAATCATTCCGCGATTTTATTGTCGATCGGATTGATCCTAAAACAATCAGCTCTCGTTGCACCCCTGTAGCCGTGGGGGTGGAGAATACCAAGGTTGCCCTACGATGTACCGAAATTTTGAGCCAGGATCTCTGCTCTGTAAAGGGCTTAGGACTGATCGAAAACTTATCCGAACAAGATGAAATGCCGCGCATTCCTCCAGAGTTATCTGAGCACTTTCATTACGCATGTCGCCACATTGTTCATCACCTCAGTCGGGTCCAGGAACCATCACAGGAGCTTGCTGTGTCAGTTGGTATGTTTCTGAGCCAGGAAGCAACTCGGTGGGTGGAAGTCTGTGTGAGAACGGAAAGCTACGTCAGTATCTTGTTGCTCCCTGAGTGGGCTAAGGTATGGGTTATCAATTGTGTTAAAGAAATTACCTCATGGTCTTCCAGTTGGCTGTTGACCACAGGGCTGTTAGCATACTGGCTAATGTGCTTACTCAGCTTCCATGGAACCTGGAATATTTCTTAAGATTCCAGGAGGCATATGAGGCAGCAAATGATTCTGTTGTACTCTGCCGTTACCTTTTTTCTGTGGACTCAAGTTCCTACACCCCGCATTTGGCCAGGTCACTTGACGGTCTATATAATACCCTTTACCAACTCGGACAGCACTCGGAGGCACTCCCATTTATTGAAGAAAGTGCCAAACTCTGCCGCCAGCTAGTTGCCGTCCACCCAGGATCATACACCCCGCATTTGGCCAGGTCACTCAAGAAGTTATGTAAAGCTCTTTCCAATCTCGGACGGCACTCGGAGGCGCTCCCATTTATCGAAGAAAGCGTCGAACTCTACCGCCATCTAGTTGCTGTTCACCCAGAATCATACTCCCCAGATTTAGCCATGTCACTCAATAATCTATACAATTCCCTTTCAGATCTTGGACGGCACGAGGAGGCGCTCCTATTCATCAAAGGTGTTAAACTCTGGCGCCAGCTAGTCGCTGTTCACCCAGGATCATACACCCTGGAATTGGCCATGTCACTTGACAATCTATATGATGCTCTTTACAATCTCGGACGGCATGAGGAGGCACTCTCATTCATTGAAGGAAGCGTCAAGCTCTACCGCCAGCTAGTTGCCATTCACCTTGCATACACCCCGGGTTTGGCCATGACACTCCACAATCTATATAATGCTCTTTACAATCTCGGGCGGCACGAGGAGGCGCTCTCATTCATTGAAGAAAGCGTCAAACTCCACCGCCAGTTAGTTGCTGTTCACCCTGGATTATACACCCTAGATTTGGCCAGGCTACTCAACAATCTACGTAATGCTCTTTCCAAACTCGGACGGCACGAGGAGGCGCTCCCATTCATCGAAGAAAGTGTCAAAATCCTGCGCCAGCGAGATGCTGTTTCATACACCCCAGATTTGGCCATGTTATTCGACAATCTATATAATGCTCTTTCCAAACTCGGACAGCACTCGGAGGCACTCCCATTCATCAAAGAAAGCCTGCGCCGGCTAGTTGCCGTTTCATACACCCCGGATTTGGCTATGTCACTCAACAATCTATACGATGCTCTTTCGGATCTCGGACGACACTCGGAGGCCCTTCCATTCATCGAAGAAAGTGTCAAACTCCAGCGCCAGTTGGTTGCCGTTAACCCAGGATCATACACCCCGCATTTGGCTATGTCACTCAACGATCTATACGATGCTCTTTCGGATCTCGGACGACACTCGGAGGCGCTCCCATTCATCGAAGAAAGCGTCAAACTCCAGCGCCAGTTGGTTGCCGTTAACCCGGGATCATACACCCCGCATTTGGCTGTGTCACTCAACCATCTATACACTGCTCTTTTGGATCTCGGACGACACTCGGAGGCCCTTCCATTCATTGAAGAAAGTGTCAAACTCTATCGCCAGTTGGTTGCCGTTGACCCAGGATCATACACCCCGGGTTTGACTGGGTCACTCAACAGTCTACGTAATGCTCTTTTGGATCTCGGTCGTCATTCCGACGCACAAATGGTCCCCATTTGAGCGTGTTGTCCTCGTCATTGCACTCTCCATATTGCTGCCTTCACATGGTGAGCAAGCTTGAATTGGATACTCAGCTCGAGAACACCCAACCTCACTTTTTTGATTGCAAACTATTGATAAAATATTTACAGAGTTTCCTCTCCGCTACACCCATCACGAATTTCAGTCGCATCATGATCTTACAATTTTACTATCAAGAACACACATCTCTTCCTCTAACACATTTTTTCCATGTTTTTCCATGTTTCTGCATACCACCATAAGCGATGACATGCAATGGAAAGACAAAATCGGCACGTCGACCTTGTTTGGTGTATCGCGTTAGGGGAATGAAAGTCGAGAACCAGGCGAAAATATGACGGCGTGCAATCACAGCTGGGGGATGTCTAACTCCAACATGCTCTGACTTGATACTATTGTCCACACGTGCCTGTCAAATCGTCGACTGGAACGTACGCGAAGTCTGAAAGGTGTGGTGACGTCAATGGGTGGCAGGCTTGAGTGCAATCGTCCTGTTTCGTCCCAACTCCTCTTCCCCCCCCCCCCCCCCCCCCCCCCTGCTTCTCCCCCCCGTCCCAACTGCTCTTCTTCCTATCCTTAGGGGATCTATCGCTTTTCTCTGGCCGATTCTTCCACCGAAGCAATCATTGATGCACAGATCGACCCTCCCCACCCCCATCCTTTTTGTTGTCTGCCTCCTCATCTCCCTCCATACAATCATCCACGCTTCATTCCAAATCGTTAGGACTTCCATCTTCATTGTCTGCGAGCAACGGAGGAGAGGAGGTGGTGGTGGCGGACTAATAGCAGGAATAGGTGAAGGGACAAGTACCTGATTCGACCGATGTGTTGACGGCGAGGGCCAAGACGACAGGGATTATGGAGGCGAAGTTTAGTATGGTATCCCCCTCCCCCTTTGGCATTGCGTCAAGTAATGGTTTAACTCTTCCTTCCTTACATCCTTCGCTACTTTAGCATATTCAACGTAGGAGGTCAACGCCCTAAGCGTAAGAAGTGGTTACTGTTTGAATCCGTCACCTCCATCATCTTTTGCACGGCCTAATCAGAAGATCAACCATTGACGGAGAATTGGAGTCCCTTGTGCTGTTCGATTCCGGCGCGAATCCGAGATGGTTCTTTCGACCAGTATCATCCTTTTCTGAATAGAGGATGTGTTTTATGGAGAAGACCGCAGGGAAGGCTGTAGCGGAGGATAGGGTGGCGGAAATGCGAGTGGTGCAAGAAGGCAGAGTGGGAGGGTGGAGGGTAGGAGGGTCAATGACTCGGAGGATGTGAGTGAGCAGAGTGTGGGGAGTTTGAGGGAGTCAATCCGCAGTACTACGGGCGGGAGGGATATGAACAAGGCAGCCTAGTTTATCTTATGGAAGTTTTCGCAGACGAACAGGGCGAGGCTGAACATTTATCCTCAGTAAATTTTTGTTCGGTCTCATGTAGGGTGATTTTCTAGCTTGACCCAGGCCGGTGATACGGAAAATGTTTGTCCCTTGTTTGGTATGCTGTCGCTGATGCCCGATGAATGCCTTTGGTGCTTGTCCTGGACCGTCGATCCAGGTGGTTTTTGCAGCGGTGAAAGAGATGACACTACCTAATGGGCTTAAAGATGCCGGGATCGTATAGACGCACAGGGGGTATACTGCACTCGACTTGGTACTATGTGACTATCGTGCTATCCTAGGTGGGGAATGAAAGATAGCCAGGATACAGCTTGCAAAAGGTTGGGGTGTGGAGATCGCAGAGGTGTAAACACAAGAGTGAACAAGATAACCCGAGCGATAAGATAAACAAACCCAAAAAGCAGACATACGAGATCAATGATGCTCACATCTTCATCCCGCCTTTTCACAGCCCATGCGACAGGGCCAGGGCCCACCGTAATAATTATCGCAGAAATGCGCCACAAGAGTGTCTCCGCACGTGTCGGAAATGAAAATGACCATGCAAAGCAATGGACCCCACCAAAAATGATCCCAGTGACTAGAAATATCCACAAGGGGTCTGCCTCCATGATCTTCGTCGCAAGCCAAGTCAGATTTGCCGCATTCTGCATTTGATCGATATTGGCACCAGAATTTGGGGGACAGGGGTTTGCCCTAGGGAAGCCAGATCTGCCACGATCTGCTTTTGATCGATATTAGCATCAGGTTTGGAGGGATTGGGACTCCAGTCGAATTTGCTGTATTCGATATTTGATCGGTACTGGCACCGGAATTTGTGAGATTGGGGTTCACCGCAGGAGAGGCCAGGGTTGCCGCGTTCTGCCCTTGATCGGCATCAGCATGAACGTTTGAGGGATTGGGGCTCCCTGCAGGGGAAGTCGGATTTGGCATATTCTGCACTTGATCAGTATTGGCATCGGGATTGGAGGGATTGGAGTGGCTCCCTTCCATCACGTAGATTGGGAAATGCACATCCAGCGGTTTGCGCCACCACAAAGCACAAACAAGGATGCTAAGTGATGCATAAGCAAGAGTCATCGCTTCCAATTGGGACCTGGGTAGACGATGTGCCCACCGTCCAACATACTGGGCGGCAAACCACACAAGCTGGATGGCAACAATGAGCTTTGCAAAAAAATCCCCTTTACTTCTGTCAAGGATTTCCTCTTTCGATACTGCGACCTCTCCCGAATGCTTGATAATGCCGGGGTATCTCTTAAAGAGAGTAGAAGGATTTCCGTCTGGCTCTACTGCGTTTCCGTTGGCACCGTCGAAGAAACCTCCCATATTCACAAAATATGAATGGCTCAATGTCCATCCTTGTGAAAATAAAATTGAGCTGAATTGAGCTTTTTTAACATTCAGCGCAAACCTTGAATTTCAGCGCACTGCCTTGATAGTCTGCAAGCCATGGAGAAGTCTTCCCATGCAGTCGCAACAGCGGCCTCCGGTGCAACCAACGTGAAAATCATTTGAGTGTACGAGAATCCGGACTGAACGACCAACGCGAATATCGCTTGGCACATCGGGATGGTTTGCCGTCCAGATGCAAGCGAAGATGGTAAGGATGCAGCTGTACACCATGCCCCACATGGTTCGATAGTTGCGTGAATCGTTACAGTCGTCCGAGTGATTTAAGGAGAACGCCGTACTGTTGAGTGCAGGATGTTGACAGATAGGTGCGGCATGGACACTTTGGGCGAGGATAAAGCTGATGAGCAAGGTTGCCATTGTATAATGAAGATTTGGACTACCAGCTTGTAAGCTTTATGCCGTAGCGAGACGCCCCAGTGTCCGCGAAGAAGCCTCGATTCCAAAAAATCAAATTCAGCTCACTGCAAGGGGAGGTGGTTGAGGCAGCCTGATAGGACACGTGCGATCAGCAAAACAGTATAGGAGCCCATATCATATGTAGGCCACCAGCCTAGATGGACGTTCTAGGAAACATCTACTAAGCTAGTGCCCTTACTGCGAGAAACGGAATATCGGTGTTGCGAGCAAGAATCCTGTCACCCTCAAATTGGCAAAAAGGAATTACCTTTCGCTAGCGAGGTATTACGTACCCCCAAGCAGGTTCGTGAGGAAAGCGCAGCACTTCCTGTTAACAACATGTCAACAGAGATGCATGAGTAGGAGCCTGTTAGAGTCAGCGTTGAGGGAGGGCATTAGGGTCATTGCATGCGTCCTTCATTCATGAAGGATGTTGAATCTGCGTGAGCGTGAGTTAGGAGTTTGCTGAATCTCTAATGTTTTCCGCATTAGCAAGTTGGCCATAGATGGATAGATAACAACAAATAAATCGATTATGAATAGGGAATGTTGGGCTGTACCAGACTCGAAACGGTTGTCTTTCCCCAAATCCCCCTTCGAATTGCCTAACATGCAGACCAACTTTCAACTAAAGAAGACACCTGCACGCATGGGCAGCCTGCCTGGCACCAATGAAACGAGGGGCGATGTTGTTATGGTATGTTTGTCTTCAACTAGGGCGAGCGATGTGTACGTAAATTTGCAAATAGTTGTTCTGCTGGCAGGTTCTGGTCGCACAACTTTTCCCCGATATTTCGTTTTTCGCAGTAAGCTGGCAGACGAATAAGATAAGTAAACGAGCAAACGTCGTGCGGATGCTTTGGTCTGAACAAACTGCAGAAGAAAAAGAATGAGGATGAAATCGCCCCGTACGGAGAGCAGCGGTACTTACTGTGACTGGTGGCGTTTCCACCATCATTGCATAGCTAAATACGGATCGGATGACAGAGCAACAGCCACAATTACACAATGGAAGCGGATCAATGAATTGAAAGCACAATCTTGGAGTGAAGTCGGTGTCATGTCCTTCATCCAAGAGCTACTCCGGGCTGTCGAGACGAGGCTATTGGCAGTTGACTCCAGGATACTTAACAGAGCAGTACTTACAAGGGCGAGGTGGAAGGAATGGATTCCTTTTGGGCGATTTCACGAAGGATACTACCGCGGGGTTCGTATCTGGGTCGGTCGTCCGTGTCATCCATTCTTGCTTGAGCTGTATATTCTAGAGTCACGTCTGGATAAAGGCCTTCACAAACATCGCACCTGATACTTCACATACATTTGGGGAGGTATGTTGACTTGGACACGATGGGCAATTTGCGGCCATTCATTCGCAATCCTCCAAGCGACTGGCTAGCGATGTGATGGAGTGGTCCCAGTTGAAACATCCACACGTAGTCCGGCTCCACGGATGGATTTCATACGTGAGTAAGGAAAATCCATGTCCGGGCTTGGTGCCAAGCTGGTCCGACGGAGGAAATATCAGATCTTTTCTGGGGGGTACTCACGACTTCCCTAGTCGCTGGGCCTTGGTGAATCTAACTCTATAACATATGGATCGCTGCTCATGTGTATGAGGATGCTATTCTAGATTCGTGGAATTGCCGATGGCCTGCACCATCTACATTTGCAGGAGATAGTACATGGTGATATCCAGCCCGTGAGTCATTCTCATTTTGCCCATGTGCGTAATTCGTAACTTCTCATGAACACGCTTGCGTCGTCAGGAAAATATTGTCCTGAGTCGTGATGGAAAACCACAGTTATGTGATTTCGGGCTTTTGTGCATTATTTCGGAGACATCAACACCAATCGTCAACCCAAACTCGTGGCGATACTCAGCACCTGAGCTCCGCACAACTCCGGACTTCTTTCGAAACAGGGAGAGTGATGTCTGGGCATTTGGATGCACAGCCATGGAGGTATGAAAACATGTTTTAACGCATTTTTGACGCTGGGGGCTGACACCTCTGCTAAGATACTTCTCAATACGCCACCGTATTCTGGTGTTGAAGGGACTGAGCTTTTCTTGCCTACAGGACCACCATTTGCCGATCCCACTGACGGAGAGATTCTCATGCCGTGCCTCGAGACTCTCCCTCACGCTCGAACCGATATGGAGACGGTTATCCAATCGCTCGGTCGTACTCCATGAAAGTCGCAAACCGATGATGCCCTTTGTTTGGATCTCTTAGCAGCTGGTTGGAGTTGTAAACTGTGGAAGAGAAGCGCAACCCACCAAGAGCCATCGGTGTGATATGATAGTGGCGAGATGACAAATATATTGTTCTCTACGTTCGAGCATACAATTTGCTCGTCAAATTAGGATCGGATGCAATTTTTTGGGCCAGAAACAGCCAAGAATGGAAGCGGATTGATTCATTGCTGCTCTGGAGCCTAATCTGGATCCCATTTCCACTCAGACTGGATTGGGCGTAATCCTACATAAGGCTTCTCCGTACGATCTTTCCTCTGCTCCGCACACCTGCCAAGATGGCGGCCGCGTTGTCCTCTTCAAGCGAGCCTTTTCGCTTAGACTCACCCAAGCCATTTCACCTAGACTCACGCAAGCTGGACGGAAAGGTCGTGTTTGACATCAAAGGTGGTGGGGTTACCGCCCCAGGTCTAGTCCCGGGCGGTCGAGTAAGCACAACGTAGTTAACTCTGTTGGGTTTACCTCACCTGGTAGGGTGTTTAGGGCGGAGTGGACAGCGTTCTCATAGAAGTCATACACGAATCCGAACTTTCTCAGGAGGCGAGGTAGAGGTCGAGGCAGGGGTTGAAGCAGAGGTTGAAGCGGAGGTTGGAGCAGGAGGTAAAGCAGAACGACGCGGAGGTGGAGCGTTTTGTGCAGGTTTGCGATTTGTTCGCCAGCATCAGCGTAAGGCTGACTTTCTCGCAGCGTGTGGAGCGGCAATTGAGTATTATTCGTTCTTTGGATCACGAAAACATTGCTCGATTCCAAGGATGGATAGTGAGGCTTGAGGATGAAACTTGGCTTCGCGCGAGGATTGCGTATGCCCGTTGTGAGGGAGGGAAAGTGATGGACTATCTCAGCGTAAATGTGAAGGCGGATCGCCAAAAACTGGTACTTATGTGTTGCATGTGCGCGTTCAGTGTGTCCTCGTTGTTCTAAGTGCTCCATCAGATTCTTGGGGTTTCTCGTGGGCTTTCATATCTTCATTCTAAAGGTATCGTTCATGGGAATCTCAATCCGGTTCGTTTGCCCTGATCCGTTCATTGCGTACCACTCGTTCACCAATTGCCCAGAGTAACGTCTATATCGATTACGGCGCCCATGACGAGCGTGACCCCTTTCCTCGAATCAGCGGCTTTGGATCATCATACACCATTACAGATGATCCCGTCCGCCTTAAGGTGGAGGGTGTGTGCGCTGTACCCTTACGATATGTCGCCCCAGAAGTCTTGGTACGAGACGTAGATGCATGCGACCAAAAAGGTGACGTCTGGTCACTTGGATGCACGTCGTTACAGGTATGCCGAACGTTTAGTGTACCATTTGGGATCTCACCCTTTTCAGATACTCCGAGGCAAGCGTCCCTATGAGGATATCCTCAACGAATACTATATTCCATCTGCAGTCGCGAAACAGGACCCCTACCAGGGGGATTCTTCGGATCCCTGCTGGGGAGCACTTCAAAGCTGCCTCGCACGTGATCCTTCCGAGCGCCCTGCTGCCGGTGGCGTTGTCGAACGCTTAGAGTAAGTTGACTTCTTATTCACTATGCAGGTGGGAGCTGAAATTCGGCAGAGGGGCTGTCATCGATGATTGGAATATCCTCTCTGTTGCACGTCCAATCTCTCCCCGCCCATCGATTCGTCCGTCATCACCCATGTTGCCGAAGCAAAAAGTTCGCGATCTTCTTGCGGGGGGAGGCGATAGTGCAGTCGCAATTCTTACTGCCGTCGGTGCTGCACCGGATGTGTTCCATCCCTTACCCGCTGCCGCCAGTACGGCACTCGTTATCCTCCACGAGGTCAAGGTTGGTACTGATTTATACCGTGCCAGGAATGGAAGTTGACAGTCTGCATTATGAAGAAGTCCAAAAGGAACAAGAAGGAATGGGAGGATTTTGGACAGTATATTGTGAACGTCATGGTCGGTGTGATCGCAGCCATCGATCCCTATAGTTCATCCGACGAAGCAAAGCTGTGGGCGGAACTGAGCGAGTTAGTGTCTGCTCTATTCAAGCCGTTGCCGTCATATAACATAAGTACATCATAGGTCGTTGCAGCGCATTCGAACTGAAATTGGACAACGGCATGGAAGGATGGAAGGATTGTTTGCCTTTCGAAATCGCTTCTCACGTATGAAAATTCGCAGCAAGATCGATGATTTAAAGAAAGATTTTAATATGGCCTTGGCGTCGTTCCAGGTGATTTTGTTTGTTCCATATTGTGGCTTTGGTCTCATTATCGTAATCACGTAGCTAAGGACAAACCCAGCAACTGGCACAAAAAGAAACGATCTGGATCAGTTCACCCATGGAATAGAGAATTCTTCAGTTCTGGATGAACTTGAATATCCCGCTGTCGTCCACCATGACTCGACTCAAGCTTGCCTGGAAGGCACTAGGACTGATTTGATTCAGCTTATTATGTCCTGGTGTCATGACAAGGGAGTTGGTGAGAATCGTGTATTGCTACTGACGGCCGTGGCCGGTGCTGGCAAGACATCCATTGCCCTCTCTATTGCAGAAGAGTGTCAAAGGGATGGGATATTATTGTTACGTTTCCTCTTCAAGGCGGGTGAGCAGTCACGGCCAGATCATCTGTTTAGCGGCATGGCTCGATCTCTGGCAACACACGACCCTGCGTACCGCGCCACCGTCATATCGATCCTTCAAGAGGATCCAGCCCTCTCGACTGCCCCGTTCGTCACCCAATTCGAGAAACTAGTGGCTAGACCTCTCCGTTTCAAGGCATCGCTGCCTGACCGTCCCATGGTAATCATCATTGATGCGTTAGACGGGTGCGACACGGAGGCATTCCCACATCTTGCCGATATACTTCGGAAAGAAGTGCCGAAACTACCGTCCAACATCAAATTCTTTGTTACTTCCAGACAATTCGGCCTCGTTGATCGTTTTCTATCACCTAATTACCCCATCGATCGCCTCGGCCTCGATCTCTCGCCTGATGCTAACATGCATGACTGTGCTATCTACATCCGATCACAACTACGCGAACTGAAGGATGTGCATCCTGGTTTGGAAGACCGAATCGAGTACGAGGATAAATTGGTTCAAAGCATACTGGAGCGGGCAGGTGGCTTGTTCATTTGGATCAGTATCGTCTTCCACTACATGAAGATTACCAACGGTGATCCTGCGAGGGTGCTGAAGAAACTGCTCAATGACGACCTGAGCCGATCAAAGGCCTCCCCTGAGAAAATGATGGATGGGCTGTATACGAGCATTTTAGAGAAATGTAACTGGGAGGATGACGATTTTGTGCATGACTACCCGATTGTGATGGGAGCAATTCTAACCGCACGAAAACCACTATTTGTTGCGGCGTGGGATGCCATTCTATCACCATTCTTGTACTCACCCATCCAGTATACATTGGCGGAACTTGCACCCCTCATCTTGAACAAGCCAATTCGTATCTTGCATCAATCTCTTCACGACTTTCTCATGGACCGAATCGAACCACAATCACCCATACTTTGCCGATTTGCAGTGGATGCAGGGAGGGAGAATACCAGAGTGGCGCTGCGTTGCGTTCAAATCTTGAATGAGGGACTTTCCACTATGGAAGGTTTAGGGCTGATTGAGGATTTGTCCGAAAAGACTGAGCTGCCACCCATTCCTCAAGAGATGCTGTCCGAACAACTCCATTACGCGTGTCGGCATTTCGTGTATCATCTCAGCCAAGTTCATGAGTCACCGGAAGCGCACAATGAGTCTCTTCATACATTTTTCAGTCAACAAATAATGCAGTGGATGGAAGTCTGTGTAAGGACGGAAGGGTACATTAGCATATCATCATTCCCTGAGTGGGCCAAGGTATGGATTCTCAATAGTGTTTACGAGGCATTCTTGTTCAGTTTCATGTTTTTCAGTTGAGCGTTGATCGATCTTCAAGAGAAGTCATTCGTATGTTGATCACAGTATTTGACAACATGTACAAAAATCTTGCATTCTTTTTAAGATTGCAGGAGGCACATGAGTTGGCAAGTGATTCCGTTGGGTTCTGCCGTTATCTTGTGTCTGCAGACTCGGAGACCTATAGCCCGGATTTGGCTCGAGCGCTTCGGAATCTTTTTATGTCACTCAACGATTTCAAACAGTATTCTGCAGCGCTCCCAGTGATCGAAGAAAATGTCAAAATCTGGCGCAATCTTGTTGCCACCGATCCGAAATCATACACCCCGGATTTGGCTCGGGCACTCGGGATTCTTTCTGTGTCTCTCCGCAATGTTGGACGGCATCCAGAGGCCCTCTCAGTGATTGAAGAAAGTGTCAAACTCTGCCGCGAGCTGGTTGCTGCCGATCCGACATTATACACCCCGGATTTGGCCATCTCACTCGACAATCTCCGTGGTGCTCTTTCCAACCTCGGACGGCACTCGGAGGCGCTCTCATTCATCGAAGAAAGCATCCAACTCTACCGCCAGCTGGTTGCTGTTCATCCAGGATCATACACCCCAGATTTGGCCATTTCACTTAGCAATCTACATGGTACTCTTTCCAATCTCGGACGGCGCTCGGAGGCGCTCCCATTTATCGAAGAGAGTGTCAAACTCTGCCGGTTGCTAGTTGCTGTTGACCCAGGACCATACACATCGCATTTGGCTATGTCACTCGACAATTTATATAATGCTCTTTCCAATCTCGGACGGCACTCGGAAGCGCTCCCATTCATCGAAGAATGCGTCAAACTCCGGCGCCAGTTGGCTGCCGTTAACCCAGGATCATACACCCTGGATTTGGCCACATCAGTCAACAGTCTATATAATGCTCTTTCGGATCTCGGACGGCACTCGGAGGCGCTCCCATTTATCGAAGAGAGCGTCAAACTCTGCCGCCAGCTAGTTGCCGTTACACCAGGATCATACATCCCGCATTTAGCCATGTCACTCAACAATATGTTTAATGCACTTTCCAATCTCGGACGACACTCGGAGGCGCTCCCATTTATCGAAGAAAGTGTCAAACTTTACCGTCAGCTAGTTGCCGTTAACCCAGGATTATACACCCCAGATTTGGCCATGTCACTCAACAATCTACGTAATGCACTTTCGGATCTTGGTCGTCATTCCGAGGCACAAATGGTTCACATTTGAACGTGTTCTCCCTGTCATTGCATTCCCCACAATGCTGCCTGCACACAGTGAATTGGATATCCGGCTCGAGAACACCCACAAATCCGACCACATTTTTTTTTGATTGCAAACTATTGAACATATAAATAATGGCCTCTGTCTGACCAACGGCTTCTGATTGGCTCTTTCCTGTTGCTTATCCCATCCTGTTGACTACTGTGCGACCTTCAGATTCCGATTATCTTAATCCCTCTCTGCTGTTCCGGGACCTTCCCTTTGCTTATCCGCTTCTGATCTCTGCTGTTCGCTGTCTCAACCTCGGTCTGTCTTAGCCTCAGTTGTCGTAGGTGAGGGCCATTGAGTGTCGTTCAGTGGCATGTAGTTTGTACTGAAGCGGTCCGTTTGTGAAAATGCTGTGCTCTCGAATCACTGACCGCTGCAGATGACAACGACAGGGTAAACATCCTGCTTTTCTGGGAGTTATTAGACAAAGGAATTGAGGATGGCACACTAAATTTTCCCACCTACTCGACCTACTCACTACTGACTTGCTGCTCCCTTGCTGCTCCATGGCCTCTAGCTCAACCAGCGGAACTTTCCCAGTGCACTCAAGTGCCATGCCTGATGGGTTGAGGTCCACTTTTGTGATGGGTTTGGCTGGGGAAGGGCCTTCAGATTGCCCTAACGTGTGTGAAATTGCGCTATCAGTCTATTCCCAATCGTTGATGAAAGCCAATGCCCAAAAGGATGTGGTGGTGTATGTGGCCGGTGCTTTGATCTTGAGGGTCGAGAGGCCATTGATGGGTCCCATATGGTGATCAATGCAACCATGGTAGAGAACATCAGGATTTGCGCTGAGGAGCTTGAGCCATCGAGTGCTTGCCTGGCTATGGCTCACTTTGTTGGGGAATTGACTACGATTACTGATTGGAACATGTGTGAATTTGGCCTCAATGTCGGCACACACAGTGCAAAGGTGTCTGCGACTCTTCCTGCAACTCGCTGAATACACTGACTTTCCTCCCAGGATAAGGTGCAACCGCAGTTTGAAGTGCGCCTTCACTTTGATGACTCCAACTGCTGTTTTGATGAACTGGGACCCCGATGACTGAATGCAACAATTTGAGCACTACAGCACCTGCTTCTAAACGAAAGCGGTTGTTTGGTTCCGCTGCATGTCAATATTGCAGTGAGGAATCTCATTATCAGCTTCCTGCCTGGCTCGGCACTTTGGGAAACCTGATTTGATGATCACTGTTCTCAAGCAGAAGGCTGTCAACTTGTTGATAAAATATTTACACAGTTTCCTCTCCCATCACGAATTACAGCTGTGGCATCATGATCTTACAACTTTACTATGAAGAACACACATTTCTACATTTTCCCTCCCATCACTCATGAGCTCAGGCACTGGCCCATACCACTATAGTGATGACATGATGTCGGGGTCTGGATGGATGATGAATGTTGGCGCTATGGAAAGACGAAATCAGCAGGTCAACACTGTTTAGTGTATGGCATTAGGGGAATGAAAGTCGAGAACCAGGTGAAACCATAATGGTGTGGATGTCCAACTTGTTGTTGCGGCAGCCTGATGCTACACAAGGACAGAGGGGGAGGGCGCGGCCACAGGCAGAGGCACTAGTTTCCTTTTGTTACCGTCTTTGCTATACAATTAGATATATAGGCTGTAGCCCAATGGATTATATATAGCCTAAACAACGCTTGACATCATGCTCTAGCTCAACCTCATGCTCCCGCTCGTCTGAGTCCCCCCCTGAGCTGTTTAACACAACTCCGACAAGTAAAAGGCATGACTGATGTGATAAACAGTACATATGCCTGTCAAATTGTCACTGATGACCCTGCGGCCTTGCAAGTACGTGGCAGTGCTATCCCGGCTGTATACGGGTTGTGGGTGTGTACAGTTGTGGACATGCAAAGATTGGAAATTTAACTCAACCCAAAATTCTCATGGGAAATACCTGAATTTGTCATCAAATCATCATAATTTTGCAATAGAAGTCATTATCCACACTCAGAAGCCTGAAAACAAGCATTTGGTTTTTTGTCAGACTCGAAAAATTTGTGGGGTGCTAAAAAAATAAGTGCCCACTCAGTGCCTCAGTTTTCTTCTGGGTATCCACCATGCCCTTTGCTAGGTCAAGTCCTTGTCTGTATGCAATATTCATTGCTTTATGTCTTTAGACTGTTCATCCGCGATGTTCAGTTTTTCTTAGTTGTCTGGTATGCAATTGTGTCCATATTTCTGATTTCTGCTGCTTGATCGGTATGTAGGTTTATTTTCTTTCTCTTTACACGTGTCCACTGTACGCTTTGGCCTCCATGCCTTCTTTCTTTTATGCATGCCCGCTGAGTGCTTTGGCCTCCATGCCTTCTCTTCTGCGTCCACAGTACGCTTTGGCTTCTCAGCCACCACCTCTTGCTGTCAGGGGACGACTCCTGGGTCCCCATGACCCTCCCCTATGGTCCACAGCCCTGAGGTGTAACCAGCCCTATACAGGGCACAACCTACTGTGGGTAAGAAGATGGTATCAAAGAAGGGCAAGTATATACACTTGCCTACTGTGGGTAAGAAGATGAGAAGGAAGCTAACTTCTCATCTTCCCACAGTGGCCACAATATCAGCAAAACTTCCGGGGATACCCGGAAGTCACATGAAGGGATAGGGACTGGGCCCGGAGCATGCGGTGCATGGAGCGTGCACGCATGCGGGAAGCGCGGTGGGTGGAAGCGGGTCCGGACGCGGGTCCGGGTCTGGGCTAGTCAGGGTGTGTGCCCTGACACTTGCGTCCGCTGCACGCTGTTGCTCTACAGTCTTTTATCTCTCTTGCGTCCGTGCACGCTGGAGTTTATTTCCTTTTTCTATGACTCTGACATATATTTCTAACTAATTCTCTTATTAGTTTTGGTTAGGGTGGTTGGTTGGTGTTGAATATTTGGTCTTGCATTGGATAAGGCAGTTAGCCTTGGTTACCCTTTGCGAGTTGGATCCCGGATGTTTATGGTGTCTTTCTCTTTTCGGCTCATGCCTTGTTTTTGTAACTTCACTTCTTCTCTTTTGTTGGTGCTTCTCTGCTGCTACTCTCACTTGTCTTCATCGTTAAATCTATCGAATCTGCACATTCTCTCGTCCTTCGTCCAAACAAAGAAGGTTTATGCCTGACAGGGAGGAAGAGTCGATTTTACCCCAGGTTATGGCAGGAGGAACAGATGGAACTACTGAAACACTGGGAACGAGTTCATCCTCAGTAAAGGCGACAATGGGAATTGAGAGAAGGAATCCACCCAAGTCCAACTTTGATAAGGGTCCGAAGGACATCCTTGAGGACATCGTGCAAGACGCAGAATCCACTAGGGACTATAATCACATGAGAAAGGAGGCCCTTGACCTTATGATTTACAAAAGCAACGTGAGCATATTTTCTCGTTGATTGACAGGTTTGAGCAAGGGAAAGGAGATACTACCGTAGTTACTCTTGAATCAAAAGGTAAAGGCAGAGACCTGCAAGAACATCGAAAGCAACATCGAGAATTGAGTGACGAAGAAGATGGATGGAGTTGAAGAGCAAAATGAGTCAAGGGAATCCTCAGGGATGCTGACAAGTGAGAAAGCAACTCAGAGGAAACCCATTCAAGAGGAAGTAGCTTGAGCAGTGATGGGAAAAAGCATGTTAGTTTTGCAGGATCAAGTAGGGGAACAAAGCATGAGCACATATGCCTTGCCACCAAGATGAATATTGTTTGGAAATATTACTTGGAGAGGCGAAAGAGAGCACTCAGAGACCTCAAAGGCAAGTTGCATAAGCCCCCTCTACCCAACTCACTCTGGGAAGCAGTTCTCCTCAACAAATTTGTGGATTTCAACAAACTCTATGCCATCGAGTTGGGGCAGGCCTTGGATGAAGAGATGGTCCACGAATCCGGTTGCTTCAAATTCATCTTTAATCAAGTCGAAGCAAAAGGAACGATCTGAGGAGAAGCTACCTGGACGAGGGCCTTTGAAGCCTACTCCACAGCAGTACTCTTCATATACCCACACAGGAAGGGAGAACTTGAGGGGTACAAGCGTTATATGCGATGACTCTTTACCTTGGCAGGATTCTATAAGGAGCACGGAGTCATTGAGTTCGATGTCAGGTTCCGAAAAGATCTCGCAGCAGATGCTAGACTTACCTTTGATGACATCAAAACTAACCACCCATTCCTCTTCGGCTCTTTTGCAGGGAGCAGTGGATCACAACTGCCTAACCCTAGTGGGAGAGGGAGGTTTGATTCAGAGATCTGTCGATGCTGTAGGAGAAATAACGGTCACACTATGAAAACCCATTATGGAAATATGCCAGATAAATCACAAAACCTCATACGACAAGTAGATATGAGAAAACAGAAGGACACAAATTTTTACGAATTTTTATGACTTTACGCGATAAATCGAAAGAAAGAAAAATAGCAAAAATACTTCAAGCTTACCATCAACATTCTCGGGGGAATTTATAGCAAATATTAAACCAAGAATTAGGACAATCGACCAAGATTTGACTATAAAAACAATCAGAGAACCTCCACAGAAACTACTTTCCCACGTCTGCACATGTATCTAAACATGGAAGTACCACAGAACAAGGATTCCTCAGGAACTAATGCAAAATTCAAAGTCGTGTTTATAATAGGAAATGTAGATGTCCACCAAACGGACCCAATGAGAGTAATTACAGGGGAAACTACCCATAAATGACGGAGATATGACTAAAACTCCTGCAAAACAAGGACCATGTCTAAAAGGCAAGCGCGAAGATTAACCAGTAACGACTGAGACAAACTTGATAGCCCATTAGAAAGGAAGGGATCTAATCTTAATCCTCCCAAATTTTCATAATAAGAGGATCATGCGTTAATGAGATATCCAATAATGGGAATAGCGACATCAAAAGTCCAAGCTCAGGGAAAAGACGATGTTTGCGTAGGATTCATAATTAAAACATACAACGAAATTTACACAGAAATTATAAAAAATGGGGAACTATAGTTATGCAAATTTTCAGCCCAAACGGTCCAGCCGTTGTGAAGTTATACCCATGACAGGAATATAGAAATCCGCAT